ACATTTAGTTCTTCTTTCTAGGGTTTAACAACAAATCAATTATTTTAGTTTACTTTCATTTTTTTATTGCTCTGTTTTAAAAAGTAATGGGCCTCATTTATCAACTCGGCCAAATATGTGCAAAGAGTGAGAATATATTGAAAGTGAAGCTCTATATGAAACTTGTCCCTCACTCTTTCATTATTATGAGAGGGTTTGATTAAAAGGTAAAATTTCCTTTGTTAGATTTGGCAATAATCAGAACCACACAGGACCAGCACACCAGAGGAACCACTGGGGGTTCTTCCGCTCTGCTCTGCTCTGGGTCCAGGGGGAAAGTTCAGATGTGATGATGTAAAGTCTGGTCTGGTTTGGTGCAGGTCCTCATCGCGCCTCATGCATGTGCAGTAGTTTGGACCTGGTTTTGTCTTTCTCCGTCCGGACCAGTGCTGTACCAGTACCAACCCAGTTCCGGTTCTGTCTTGTGTGCAACAGTCTGGTTCTGTGCCCTGTGCTCCCAGTTTTCTAAAATAAACTTAAAAATCAATTTCAATGGAACAAAACGTATTTCTACTTTAGGGTCAAAATGTCAGAGAAATGTGCAGACCATAATTAATGTGATATTTGAGTTGAGCCATTTTTATAATAATAATAATAACAATGAATCGCAATATGTTTAGAATGGCAATAATATCTACTTTTGAATTGGCAGACTTTTTCCAATTCCCACCCGTACTAAACGTTCCTTCTCTCTGATTTCAGGACCTGGAGGAGCAGAGCCGTCTCATCGCCGCCTCCAGCCGCCCTTCCGCCACCACGCCCTCCTCCACAGACGGACACTTCCTGGTTCTGGGCCAATCGGAGAACGGTGAGGAAGCAGCTCAGGGGGAGGCGCCGAAGCAGGAGTCGGACGCGTGATGAAGCGACAGCACAGACTTTTTAACCTAAAGATGCTGCTTTTTATACCGTTTTACGCAACTGGTTTTAAAGATAAACAGCCCAATGTGGAGAGTTTTGAGCTTTTGATTGGTCCAGAGCCTTTAAGCCACGCCCCCAGTGCTTTAAAGAACTAACGATATACATCATTTGCATTATTTCTGTCCCTTAACCATGTTCTTGAGAATAGTTTAAGTTTTAGAATGTGAAAAGAATACGGGATGACTAGACACTGCCATCTACTGCCAGAAGTGGAACATTACATCCTGCTGTCTTTTCTAATTGAAAGCACTAATTTGAGAGGCAATACTTTTGTTCCTAAAAGCGTATACATGTTCTGTCTATGACATCACTGAAAAGAAGTTTGAGATGGGTCGTATAGACAGAAGGGGTGGAGGGACATGATTGTGCCGATTCGTGGACAAATCCAGGTCTGGTTTGGATGAGAACAATATTGGAACGTGGTCAAAAACACACAAAAATACGAGTTTTTTTCTATCTAATATGTGTCTTTAGATATAAATGTATCCAAGCGGGACATGGTGCTGGGTTGTGTGAGGTTTTATGGGTTCATGGGAAATTGCCATAGCATTTAAAAACTCAAAACAGAACTAAACAAAACTAAGCAGAACTAAACTATAAATGGGGAAATGCAATCTGCACAAACCATTTAACTGTCATTCATTGTTTTGAAGTGCCAATTCCATTTCATATTGTCTTACATGTATAATAAGTATATATGCGGCTGAAATCAGAGCGGCTTCAGACCAGGCCAGGCAAAACGTATGTCAGTTGAAATTGGACAAGAAAGAATATTCCATGGTCAAGAAAGGACTCAAACTATGTCTATACTAGGGGTATTAACTGAAACAACGGGTATAAAAAAGACCGTAACCATGGCAACCTGGAACCATCAAACTTATATAGCGCTTTTTTTGGACACTCAAAGACTCTTAAGAGTATTTGTGACGTACAGAAAGTCTAAGTTGAGAACCTTTTCCATCAGCTGCGTGTTTAATTCAGGTTCATTGAGTAAATTTACAGCCTCCTACAAAGCACTCGTGAAAGCCAGATAATTTTTTCACTTCAATTGAATCAGATCGAGCATGTGAGCGGATACTACTGAGACGAGGCCAGCGTATGCATTTAAGAGCACATGGGTGTTATTTGTAATGTATGGACACACATCGGCGACTCACTCACTTGGACCAGAAGCACCCAGTCCCTCCTCATGTCTGGCATTGTTCTCGTCTCGTTCTGTGATGCAAAGTCCGGAGACGTGGTGCGTTTAATTGCACTGCGTAAATTGAAAAAAAAAACGTGTTACGCTGCGTTTTTAAGCCGAAAATCAAACGCTCAATTATTTACATTTGCCAAAAGTGCTGCACAGTTACATAGCAATGGCATTTCAAAGTTTTGAGTGAAAAGGCAAAGTTACGAGATGTCCTTGAAAGCATCACGGCTCATCTTGCCCCCTGTAGACTGGGACCAGAGCGGATAGACCGGTTTAGGAACAACACTGAAGAGAGTCCTTTTGGTGTGACCCGTATTCTTTTGCTTTGTAAACATCCACACTGTCCGCCGGGGAAGACATTTAGAAAGAATTCCATTTAACAATTTAGATTTTAAAAAATGTAATCGGTTTTATAGTTCAGCTAAGATGTTTGAAGTACTGTTTTACACTTTTTAGGACTAAGCAGCTTGTGAATTACGAAAAAATGTTACCTGCAGATCACAAACTTGCAAAAAACCCACCTGCGCTAATTAGCCAAATATTTTATAGCTGCTTATTTACAAAGACCTTGGAAAAATATTGGAAAAAACGTTGACTTTTGTACTGATGAATAACAATAATATACTTGTGTTCTACAAGTATTTACAAAGCCATAACTTACTTTAGCTTGATAATAATACTCCGATCACATCCTGTATAAGTATTCCTTCTTAAAATCATGCCAGACGCCAATGTGTCGCTAAACGTGTAATGATTAGCATCTCACTCCTCGCCGGTCAGGACGGTTTTATGCTGTTTTACTTTGTTGTATATTTTGCCTTAAAGGGGGTGAAAAGATGTTCTGTTTTGTCGTGATTCTTTCTGAAATCGAGGTTACTGAGTCGTGTTCGGGGGCTGGTTCTGGTGAAGGATTCTTGTTGTTTCTGAGCACTTTACAAAGAAAAGGCCATGATTAACCCACTGTACATATAACTGTGTTGGTATTCTAGACGACGGAGATGAGACGGTGAATAAATGACTAACTCCACCCATGGCTTTTTTATTATCATGGATTCAATCGGCAATAAACGTAGATGACACAATAACTGTATCGACCAGAAGCAAAAACTACGCAGGCCTAGTGTTGCAAAGGGGTGGAAAAAGTCTGGTAAACTTCCATGTGGAGTTAAGCTGGGGAATTTTACGTAACTGGGATTTAATTGTAATGTAATTCATTTAAAGGAGCAGTATGTAAAAATCTGGCCAAAAGTGGTACTGCAGCCTCTCCCACTCTCCCTGACTCAGGTTGCCAGATATGCGAGAGGCATCTGGCTGCAGACTTCCCCCCCCCCCCTCGCAGACCTCCCTGTTCAGCCCCTGTCAGGTAACCTCCTTCAGGAGCCCCTGTCACGTGACCATCGCCATGAGCTACTGTTTCGTCACTTCCCTGGGACTTGAAAACGTTTTTCTTCATAAAGTTATAAAGCTTATATTTAACATATAGTATATATTTTGTAACAAACAAAAATAGTGACGTTTGTTCCACAAATTGTGACCAGGTATTAAGTATATGAGCGATCGCTGTTTTCATCTGGGCATTTGGGATACCAAAGGACAATTCTGTTGCCATTTGTTTACAAGAGCGCCACCTACACGTCACCCGTAGTATAGAACATGAAAACACGTCAAAGACAATATATATGGAGATACCATGGCGAGGTTTTATTATAGTAATATAGACCCGGACAGTGAGGAGCATGAGAACATCTTGGAGCCCTTCAAGTTTGTCTTCTCTCGGATTGAGGACATGGAACTCTTTTCTGTTGAATGTGTTGATAAAAGGGGTTATGTGTTGTATTGTGAATGCATAATAAATAGTTGAACAGCTTTAACATTGAGATATTTATTCACCACAAAAGTGGAATGTTCAGTATTATATCACAAGTTACAGAACGGTAGGAAAATCAAAAATGTGAGTAGACCTACAGGTCTAGCAAACTCTGATTCCTCTAGAAAATAATAAAACAATAAATATTGGGTCCCTATGTAACTTTAATGCTGTTGCAAGAATAATATAGATGAATGGAATAAGCATCTAGAAGTTGCAGCTCTTTACCATAATAAAACCTCGCCATGGTATCTCCTACCATACATTTAGTCTATACTACGGGTGACGTGAAGGTGGCGCTCTTGTAAACAAATGGCCACAGAATTGTCCTTTGGCATCCCAAATGCCCAGATGAAAACAGCGATCACTCATATACATAATGGCTGGTCACAATTTGTGGAACAAACGTCACTATTTTTGTTTGTTACATAATATATAAATATAAGCTTTATAACTTTATAACTTTATGAAGAAAAACGTTTTCAAGTCCCAGGGAAGTGACGTAACAGGAGCTCTTGGCGATGGTCATGTGACAGGGGCTCCTGAAGGAGGTCACGATAAAGGGGCTCCTGAAGGAGGTCATGTGACAGGGGCTGAACAGGGAGGTCTGCGAGGGGGGGGGGGGGGGGAAGAAGTCTCCAGCCAGACTCTCTTGAGATAGGCAGACGAATCCAGTTGGGACCATAACAGCTGAATAGGTAAGATTTTTTTCAATGACGAATCTATAACCAACACCTTTTTCACAAAGATAGAAATCCTGGTTTTATTCCTTTTTTTGTCAGGTCATGGTACTTTACCAGTGAGATTAGCTCGACGCGGTGAGTTCTGGCGCCCGGATCACAGACTTTCTGATTGGTGAAGCAGTGGAGGGCGGGACATCGAAATGAAAACAATAACAAGATTTTGGAGCTGTAAAACTAGTTTGGAAATTCCAATATCTCTGAACTCTTGTCATCAGTTAAAGAAGTATTGGAAAATAGCATGCTTTACTAATGCCTTTAGACAGAATAGGGCCATTTCATGATGATTTGACATGAACATTTTGCTCCTTTAACTATTAGACCACTAATGGTTCATATATGTTTATAGTCAGTTTATCTGCTTATTTATTCTGCCAGATACTGAATGCCTATAATTGATATTTGCTGCTCATATGAAACATTTACAGCTACTTATATTGTATATTTTGTGTGCCCCTTGTGTTACCACTGTCCTGTATGTGCGCTGCAACCTCACAATTTCCCCACTGTGGTACAAATATTTTATCTCATATTTATACATACAGTTCCTTTACGTTGCTGAGACTGATACTTCTGCCACCTCTGGTCCATAGTAGTCTGCCTAATATCTGTCTGTATCTGGATCTCAAACCCTAAAGAAAATAGGTTGGGAACCACTGAACAAGACTCTGGGCATGTGATGATGGGCAGAGCCGAGGCCGAACTGGTTTGGGTTCATATTTTGCGTCTACAGTAAGTCACACATCCACAAACGAGGAAGTACTGGTGGATATATAAACTGCAGTCACTTCAGGATCGGCAGGAGGCAAAAGGAACTGCACAGACTTCATCACACTTGTTTACGTTTGGTTATTGTTATGGCTCCTGTTTACAGCATTGGTGTCTGCATTGTTGTCGGTGTGTTGTTGTGCAGTGGGGCGACAGTATGGGCCCACACCACCACCCCGAAAACCACCACCACACCGCAAACCACCACACCCACCACCACACCCACTACAACCACCCCGAAAACCACCACTACAACCACCACTACAACCACCCCGAATACCACCACACCCTGGACCACCCCGAAAACCACCACCACCACCCCCGGTAAGTCTAAAGACCTGCTTTGGTTGTGCTTCATAAATGTAACCCTAAACCAGGGGTGTCAAACTCATTTTGGTTCGAGGGTCACATTTAGACAGCGCTGGTTAGGGCCAAAAAAAGAGAAAAAAAACCCACTGTATTTAACGCGAGTTTGGATGTTATTTTCTAGTAGGTTTGGCATCAACCACAACTGGCCAAATATCAAGATAAGATAAAATAGACTTTTTTGATCTCACACAGGAGAAATGTAATTTTTTTTTTTTTTAAAGATAAGATACAAGAAGAGCTGTTTTTCAAGACGGATAGCCATACTCTCCCACTTCCATAAATTCTGCAAGTTACTGCAAAAATGATCACTGGAAACCATTGAAGGGGCCGCTAAAACTGGTGTTGCAGGCCGGATTTGGCCCACGAGCCTGAGTTTGACATGCATGCTCTGCTCTACACATGCATGACATTTTTTGGTTGCTATTTGAGTTTGGATCGAGCTATTTCAGAAAAGACAGTGAAAGTGGCGGAATACTCACGCTAATCCAACCATGTCCGCCCAAAGTAAATAAATCTGGTCTGATTTGTTCACAAAATGCATTTACAATGTGTTTTGTCTTGAGAAAAATAAAATGTATTTATGGGAAAAAGTTAGGTTCTGTTTCATCTGATGAGCTTTAAAAATAGACCATGGAGTGAGCAGGTTTAACAAGTCACTGAGTCACACCTGAAGAACTGGTCGAACAGTAAAAACTCTAAAAACTCTATTTACACTGTTGAAATTTTCCACTTTTCCACCAAACCTGTTATTTGTATTTATAGATAGTTACTTTCCTGATCCCTGTAGGAGAAGTTCAGGTGTCCAGCAGTGGAAACGCATCATTCTAAAAGTGACTCCCAACCGTAGTAACGTGCACATGTTTGACTCATTGACAGCCAAAAAATGGTCAGGGGTTTCTCAACTGATTCAGACTAATGTTGGTGTTCTGAGTCCGAATATCACATGCTTTTTGCTCTATCAGGTCAACTTTGTGAGATACAGCCACAGTGTTACGGATTATGTACGTCTACGTTATTATGAATTCTGCTTATCAAATTTGATGGAGTAAATAAAAACTGAATGACTTTGGATACGTTAACTTTTATTTCTTGAGGAAAACGGAAAAAACGTCGAGGGTTTCTCAGCTGATGATCCGCAGAAATTTGTTTTTTACGCAAAATCCATTAAAAAAAATATTTCTGTAGCACAAAACCCTGATCTGATTGAGCAAAACCAAGGTCATTTTCGGACTCAGAGCATCAACATTAGTCTGATTCAGCTGAAAACCCTGGACTATTTTCAACAAATATTTTTATAGCTGTGCGGATTCTTTTCACTGTTTTCACGTTTTGCACTTTTTTTAAGATTAAGATTAAGAGATCCTAGTCCAGACTACAGGGATGTGTGGCCTTCTTTGAAACCTTGAATTTTAATCTATACCATCAAAGCCTACAATCACTTTTTCCCTCTTAACTTCAACCCTTTTCGTGCCGTAACGGATTGAGTGTAGCTGCTCCACATTCTCCCAATAATCGACATTTTTATAACAGATTAAACATGGAATTCTACCCCCCCAACCCAGAAATGTATGTATAAAAGAGTCCAAAAAAAGAGGATTTTAATGAATGAATGAATATTGCTTTAATGCATTTTATTTGGACAAAATCTGAGAAACAAACAAGTATCGTTGCATTTAAGTCTGGTGCACACTGGGGACTTTTGTGGATGTATTCCAATGTGGTTTTACTGCAAACGGCAATTAAATGAATCTGAATATTATATATCTGTGTCTTCAACAAACAAAACAAACAAAAACCAGGTTCTGCTTTTTCCCGCTGTCTGAAAGGTTAAAGGTGATGTATTAACAAAGGTAAGTAATGTCTTTATCTCGTCTCTGGACATAAAAAAGTTGTTGTTGTTGATATTATTCCCCTCACTTTTTTGTTTCTTGTGTTTTGCCGTTGCTCCAGGACACAATCTGGACGGGAAGATGGTCACTCTGTCATCGGACTCTGGCGTCACTTTTTATCCTCTGTCCCACAATCCTTTTACTGCTACTACTACTACACCTAGGACTACTACTACACCTAGGACTACTACTACACCTAGGACTACTACTACACCTAGGACTACTACTACTATTACACCTACTACTACTACTACTACTGCTACTACTACTACTACAAATACGACTACTACACCTACCTACTACTACACCTTACACCACTACAGCAAGACCGACGCCTGCCACCAGAGGTCAGTATTGTCCTTATATTCAACATACACAGTTCCCCATCACTCAGGCGTTGGTTGTGACAATAGTTTAGGATCAATGTAGTTTTTTCTCTTGACTTTTCAAAACACAATCTCGAATCTTGAATGGTGTGTATTTACTTACGCGGTTTAATAAATTGAATACGTTGATTGAGGGAGGTTTTCTCTTTTTACTTTTCTGTCTGTGTGTTGTGAGAGCGAGGCATGAGTGACTGAAACTGATTTTAATACATCGTTCCAGTGACCGAACAGTGGGTATACATAGCTTAAATTGCCAACCCTAAAAAGCAGTATACACTACTCCACTGTCTGACCTGTGAAGCTAAGCAGAGCAGGGCCTGGTTGGTGCTGTGATGGGAGACCTCTAGGAATATCAGGTGTAACAGTGGGGCAGCTGCGGCTGTAAAGTGCCAGACTGTTGTTGGGCCCTTTGCAAGACACTCCACCCACCTTGCCCAGAATTAGTCTTGGTGTGTGTGTGAATGGTTGGTGGTGGTCGGAGAGGCCGATAGCACATAAGGGTTGCCTTGCTTCTGTCAGTGTGCCCCAGGGCAGCTGTGGCTATTATTGTAGTTTATCACCACTGTGTATGGAGCGAATGAATTATGATATCTTTGTCCAATATAAGAAAGAAAGAAAGAAAAAATAGGCTTTAATAGACAGAATTTCTTCAATGATACCCATAATCCAGCCAGACAGACATAACGTAAATCTCCTGGTTACACTGCAAAAAATGATGAAATTAAAGATAAAAATTGCAAACATTTGGCTCAATGTGTCTGAATTAGAGCACATTTTGACTGCCTTAAAACAAGATTTGCCAGTGGAACAAGAAAAAATGATCCTGTTTTAAAAAGACGCAAGACATTTCTCCCTTGGAATGAAAAAAAAAGCAACAGTTCTTAAATTCAAGTCAAAATCGCTTGTCTCATTAGCAAATCTCGTTTTAAGACAGTCAGGATGAACTTAAATTAAGATAAAAACCACTTGATTTAAGCAATTATTATTTCATATTGGATTTTTTGCAGTGTACACACATTCCACTCGTTGCTCTTGAGGTTTGAGATGTTGCGCCCCCTGCAGGTGTGACCGTGTGCCTACGCTTCATGACTGACTCCAGCTCTGGGGACCTCTTCACACTGGCCCCTCGGTCTCCTCTGACGCTCTCGTTCAGTTCCAGCCAGAGGTATCTACTAACTTCGAACCACTACTCATCGATCTACTTGAACCCCTCGATCTATGCCTGGCCTTTGGTCCGGATTCATTCCTGGACCAGTGTCTGTGTGGTCCAGGACTCACTCAAACGTGTAGTTCAGATGTTCCAGGACGAAAGGATGAGTATCCGGAAGATCCAATATTCTCGGGTAAGTCTGAAGCCCACAGTTCTTCTTTACTCTTCCTGTCAATGTCTTTGTCAATGTCATACGTGTTAAAAAAAAGGACAATAAGAACATCCCCAAACATACACAAAACAGGACACACTTAGGGACTGATTAAAGCCAAGCAGAGTGTTGTAAATTCAGATTGAACTCACCCACAGTCTCAGCCGAGTGGAGCTTTAGGGGTGAGCTCTGAGCCTGGACTGAAGACCATCTCTGGGAGGAGTGTGAGGCTGCAGCAGCTCTGACAAGTCCTGTGGCCCCAAACAACATTTTAAAGCAACTGGGGGCCAGTGCAAGGAGCTGAGAATGGGGGAAATATCCTCCCACTACCTCTTGCTTTAGGAGACACGCCGCAGCATTAGCCTCTGGGCAGTCTCTGGACTGAGCTGAAAGTAGTGTCTATATCATTGATTTGTCCCATTTAAAGTCTAAGATCACACCAAGATTTCTCTTCACAAGCTACAACAATCAGGAAGTGGCCGATGTCAAAGTGCTGATAAGACGTTGGCAGGGCAACAAAACCCAATGATTTCTGTTTTGAGGGACGTGAAGTTTGAGCTCATCCCATTTTGGACTTGACCAGATTTGACTCTGAAAAAATTACAGGCCCTGGAACCAGTTTATTACGGACCATGGATCACAGATGGTCTGTGTGTGTAAGTGTGTAGTTATTGTCAGTATATTTGTGTGTACAGATGGCCTAAGTGTGTAGTTATTGTCAGTATATGTGTGTATACAGATGGCCAGTGTGTGTGAGTGTGTAGTTATTGTCAGTATATGTGTGTAAGTGTCTAGTTATTGTCAGTATATGTGTGTAAGTGTGTAGTTATTGTCAGTATGTGTGTAAGTGTGTAGTTATTGTCAGTATGTGTGTAAGTGTGTAGTTATTGTCAGTATATGTGTGTATACAGATGGCCAGTGTGTGTAATTGTGTAGTTATTGTCAGTATATGTGTGTATACAGATGGCCAGTGTGTGTAAGTGTGTAGTTATTGTCAGTATATGTGTGTAAGTGTGTAGTTATTGTCAGTATATGTGTGTATACAGATGGCCAGTGTGTGTAAGTGTGTAGTTATTGTCAGTATATGTGTGTATACAGATGGCCAGTGTGTGTAAGTGTGTAGTTATTGTCAGTATATGTGTGTATACAGATGGCCTGTGTGTGAGTGTGTAGTTATTGTCAGTATATGTGTGTATACAGATGGCCAGTGTGTGTAAGTGTGTAGTTATTGTCAGTATATGTGTGTAAGTGTGTAGTTATTGTCAGTATATGTGTGTAAGTGTGTAGTTATTGTCAGTATATGTGTGTAAGTGTGTAGTTATTGTCAGTACATGTGTGTAAGTGTGTAGTTATTGTCAGTATATGTGTGTAAGTGTGTAGTTATTGTCAGTATATGTGTGTAAGTGTGTAGTTATTGTCAGTATATGTGTGTATACAGATGGTCTGGTCTGGAGAGCCTGTGGTGGACATCTCGGGCTTCGATGGGCAGGTGACAGACCTGGAGGTGTGGGACTATCCGCTGCAGTACAGAGAGGTCTTCTACTACATGAGCTATGGGTGAGAAGTCACAGGGAGACACATAATAGCAAGCACAAGAACATAATTTGTTGTTTAGAACAGAAACCATATTAGATATAAAAAATAAAATAAAAGCTGAAATTGTATTATTATTATTATATGGTTTTTAAAAATAGACCAGCATTAAATATCATGACTTTTATTTAAAGTGGACATATCGTGTTTTCAAATAATAGATTTTTACATCTAAATCATTAATTTGCGGCCTATATAAAGCATAACTGCAATGCCTGGGTCTGAGTCTCATTATTTGTAGCTCCACGGGCCTTTCTTCTACACCTGTTCTGAGGTGCGTCTGAGAGCAACCTGTTTTGGTGCTGTCTCTTTAAATGCAAATGAGGCGCTTTTGACCACGCCCCCATTCAGGTGACACAGGTTCAACTCCACCCCGAGCGGCCATTTTTGTAGTTTCTAAGCACAGATACAATTATCTCATAGAAACTTCTCATTACATCGCAAACATGAAGCAGGCCTTCCTCATTGACTGAAAGCAAATGTTTCATTCTTAGTCCAGTCTTATTATCGACTCTTCTCTTTTTAGCTTTGGGATCCATGCGCACAGTCTATGATGCTCACACGCCGGTTTGTTTACAACAGCGGCCGCCTGGCACGGGCCTACGTCGCAGGATATGACACACTACGTTGACAGAAATGTTTAAATTGAATATTACTTATGCATAATTTTACAGCATTTAAAAACGTTAAGAACGTTTTTCCTTCTACAGAAGGAAAGAGACGCATGCGCCTCCGGAGCCGCAGGTTGCCGACTCCTAGTTTATACAGTATGTGGAAGCAAATACTGTAGAGGATCAGGATATGTGCAGTTTCAACAATAAAATAAAATGCTAGTCTACATTAAAGTCTACATTAAAGAGAGTAATAAACATGTCTCAGAGTGAAGGAGGTGGACACAGACAACACTATTGTTTGTTACAGGGATGAGAATTGGTCAAAAAAGTCTAAAATGCATATTGTCAGCCATTTGCTGGCTCTAAATCTGTTTAATTTGTTCACAACATATTACTTTTGGGCTCAAACATCAACCTTTAATGCAATGCAAAATGTAGGTATCAGAGCTTTATTTAGGGCGTTTAATCGCGCTTCGAGAGGAGAGGGGAGACGCGGACTGTTTCCTGCAGCAGTGTATTTATTGGGTGCACAGATTACTCAAAGACACGCATGGTCCTGTGCGCGTTTATGGGGTTGGGTACATGGCCACGTTGAGGCTGCGCGCTCAGCCACAACACGGTGGAGCGGCTGCGAGCGGCTGGACGCTCACAGCCTCTCGCAGCCGCTGGACGCGGAAGCTGCTCATTACAAAGCGGCCGCAGATGCCCCGGAACACTGCGGCCGCTGAGGTGGCGGAATCCCGTTCGAGTACATACAGCAGGTGCCCCGCGGATACGCGCGCCCCGCTCAAACAATTCTCAACAGATTTACACTTCTCATAAACATGTGTTTTGTATGAGGCAGACAGACCGGCCCAAATATGGGCATCGGCCCTTTGGGCATTGCCCGGTACGCCCGATGGCCAGTCCAGCCCTGTTCGCTGGCATCCTTGAGCTTGGACTACAAATTCGAAGTGAAGCACAGTAGAGGAGGGCTGGGCCGAAGTGTTTTGTTAGACGCCCATGCCCTTATATGGCAGTCTCGCTGCAAATACTGTGACGTAATAATTCTAAACACGTAATAGAGAATGGCAAAATCAGAACGGGTTGAAAAATCTTACCTAAACAGAATATGAAGTGTTCTCTGCATTTAAGGCATAAAAAGTGGATTTTTCATGATATGTCCCCTTTAATTCAATGACTGATAATATTGTGACGTTTCAACAAAAATCTAAACATAATTATGAGTATGTTTAAAGCCCATATGACAGCAACATGGGCTTCAGTGTGTCTGCTCAGGAGTGTGGCCAGTGGAGGGAGTCGAGTTTGACACAGCAGGATGTTTATGTTTTCATTTGATATTGCCAGAGAGCAGACTTAGCATAACATGAGTCTCGGTGAAATTCAGCTGTGGTCTTTACAAAAACATGGTCAACCGCATCATGGATTTGAGGTGAAATCAGTAGATAATCAAAATAAAGCATATTTCTACCACACGACCCTGTAATATCATTCTTCATGTAGTTGGTGTGATGTCTCTGGTGCGAGTCCTGGATTTAGAAAGTGCTTGAAAACAATGAGCTGGCGACGTACTGTCTGTATTGTGAGTCCTGGAGATTAAAACGGCTCTCCTTGTGTTGAACCCCATGAACACGGCCTAAGATCTTACCCCAGCGTAAGATTTTCTGGAGAACAGTTCGACCAATGATGAAGAATGAATTGTCTTTTCCAGAAGCTGAGGGGGTGAGCATGGGCGAGTCAAACATTTTCTCTCTCTCTCCCCTATTTGAAAGGCTAATGATTTTTGGTTTAACTTGATAGTACAGGGTCATATGGTCCAACAGGTGCATTCTGTTACAAATGAAATGAAATTGAGGTTACTGCTGACTTCAGAATATCATCTTGTCTTGGGTTTGGTTCATGCTTTTGTATCATTTTTGTTGTGTTTTAATACTCCATCTTCTTCAGGTCTCGTGGGACAGTTTTGACCTGGTCCAACATCGCGTACCAACCCAGAGGGAGCGGCATCCTGTTGGAGAACTCCTATAATTTCCAACAAATTAGCAGCAGCGAGGCACAGGAACAAAGGTGCAAGTACAGGAAGATGTGTAGTAGAAAGAGGCTCTTCCTGTAAACCAAAGGTGTCCAAACCGGTCCAGAAAGGGCCGCTGTGGCTGCAGGTTTTCTATCAGACCCAGCAGGAGCAGAGCAGACTGCCCATTTCCTCAAGTAAGCTCAGTCTTAACCTGAAGATTTGAGGAAATGGAAGGAGTCTGCTCTGCTTCTGCTGGGTCTGATAGAAAACCTGCAGCCACAGCGGCCCTTTCTGGACCGGTTTGGATAACCCTGCAAGTGTAAACCATTCTCACAAAAGGCCTCATTCCAAACTTCCATCACTTTGCTGACTTTGATCTCAGTTTTATGCTTCCTACAAATGATCTCTGTTCAGTTCTAGAAATGCTTTGGTCTGATGTAGCGTCTGAGTGGCCCCACCCACAGCAGAGGACACACTCTAGACCTGCTAATTACTAGAGGGTTTAATAATTAAAAGTAAATGTTTTTTTTCTGTCTGATCCTATCTGTGTCTTCTTTGACTGTTGAACCAGCTGAACATGCACACGATGGAAATGATAGACATTAAAAATGCCTCTTTTTCTACTGTGGATGAACTGTTTAGTCTTTTACTTCTAGTATTTTGAATGCTCTGGAGACACTTGTGAAGTTTAAAACGGGTAAAGATAAACAGAAAGTGCTAGAGAAAAGCTAGCTCATGTAAACTAGCATGATGGAGCCAGATCCCGTCAAACCTCTGAAGTTGTGCAGGGCAGAGCTTGGTTAGTACTGTGATGGGAGACCTTTGGGAACACCAGGTGACACAGTGGGGCAGCTGTAAAGTGACAAACTGTTGTTGTGTCCTTAGGCAAGACACATTGGTTGGTGGTGCTCGGAGGGACCCATGGCACATACTGGTTGCCTTGCTTCTGTCAGTGTGCCTCAGGGCAGCTGTGGCTACGGCAGCAGTTAATTACAACCATGTATGGAGTGAAATAACTGACATGTGAAGCCTCCGTGAAAACTCTGACTAAAACAGATGCATTATTATCATTCATCCAAACCTCAGACCACAAACATCAGTCTAGTCATTTATCTAGTTTAAAGTTTCCGAGATACTGCCCATCCTTTCCCACACTGGTCACACTTGTTTGACCTATGTTCACTGTGAATCCTCAGATGAATATCGAAAAGACTTTAAAGACATTGGTCACGGTGTGGGCTCTTATGCTTAGTTTTTCTGAATGTGTAAATGTCTTTGCACAAACATCACAGCTTTTCTCATGTGTAGGTTTTGTGATGCTTTTTTTAAACCCCCTACTCCAAAAGAAAAAAAAAACTGTCCACACTTGTCACACTCAAGAGGCCTCTCTCCAATGTGGACTCTCGGAGGACAGATGAGTGTATCTCTATTAATATCGAGTAAGTACCTATTTGTATCTTTTATTTGAGAGTTTTACAACCAATATATCAACAGACTGATTTCCATTTTTACATTTGTTCTACCTTCGGGTCTTGACTTTCCACAGATGATTTACAAGTTGAAGAAAAATACCCTTAATTGGGATCTAAATGAAGCTTCCTTTTCTTGCGACCAAATCAACCAGAGAAAAATAACTAAATCTGATACTTGGGTTTCTTTTTCAATTGTTTTTATTTCTATTTTATGACATTGTTAAGAGTAAAAATAGAAACCTTTAATATACACATTCAACATAATTATATACATGTTAAAAACATTTCATATAATTTCAGTGCATAGATGAACATACATAGTTTACATACATTGTAATAAAGTGACAGTGTTGGGTTTAAGAGCTCCTGAGACTGTGGTAAATTGGAGCACTTTCATTTGTGGATGTGGTTTGAGAGCCAGTCCAGACCCTCGGCGAGACCTGCCCCAGAGACGGCACACGACGCCTGAACCATCCACTGGAAGAAGAAGAGAGAGTGAAACAAGGCCAAGAGCAAGTTTGAACTGGAGTGGAATTTCAAGATAAAGGACAACAATGGGACGGACTATATTTACATTTTTCAATTTTTGATCTTTGTGTGTGAGCGTGTGCTATTAATTTACTTTTACACCTTTCATGAGAAAAAAACGGGGACAAGATCAATCCTAGCCTGGTGTTATCCATCCGTACACTCCGTTCAATCATTTCCCTGCCTGTAACGTCTGGGTCTGGTCCCTGTGTTAGAGATTACAATCGGTTGAATTCCATCTGACCAATCGGCGAGCGCGGGAGGCGGGTGTTGTAGTTAGATGTGGGTGACGCATAGACTGTATATATTAACGGACAGAGTCACGCCTATCTCCGCCGTTCTAACTAATGGGCCAAAAAATGTGCTCTACTGGAACAATCCAAAATGGCCGCGAGTGGTCCCGCCCACAAGAAAATTGTGAAAAAACGCATCTGCGCATGCGTCAGCCGGCGTCAGCTCCATTCATTTGAACGAGAGACTTCAAAAATTCACAGCAAGTAAACTAGAGTGGACCAAAACACTCCCCTCAGCATTGACACACATGTGGAACGGAGCTTTGGGCCAAGAGACAACTTTTGGTCCATCCTGTAAAGACGTTTTTGAGAGATCTGCCAATGTTAGCATTGGCTAATTCTTCTTCTGGGTCCACCCCCACAGGCCCGGGGTGGTATTGCAGCTTGTCAGCGCACGTCATTTTGGCCACTTTTGAACTGGGACCCTCCCCCACTGGGGTGACGTCAAGAGTTTGCGCCGATTGGGCAGAATAATGCGATAGTAAAGTAATCTGGTTCAATCAAGAAATTGAAGCCGGAGCAAGGTGAATGTTTAGCAAATGTAATCTCTAGCAAAGATTGTGGCGCTACTCCTTCGTTAGCGGCAAAGGAGATGGCTAGGCTCAATGCTAAATGCTAACGACTCACTCGGGCGCATTACATACGTCACAGTAAACTCAGATCCAATCGTTTCAATCTGCAAAAGGAGTTAGCCCCTCCCACCTGTCCAGACCTTAGTATGAAATGTAATTTGTACTATGGTGTGGTACGACCAGGCTAGATCAAGGCTAAACCAGGACTCACGGGATTGGAGACAGCTGATAGGCCGAGGGCGTCTGTGATGTCAGAGGTCGTCATGGCGCGGGGCAGATCCTGTTTATTGGCAAAGATCAGTAAAGCTGCGTCCCTCAGCTGATCCTCCTCCAACTGTGGGAGAGGGAAGATATTAGTGAGTCTTCAACTAACTTTTCAGTGAGATTCAGGATCAGTTTTTCAAAAATCTAGAGACATGTGCTTTAATTCTGAGAGCCCCGCCTCACACCGACACCGTAGACTGTGGTCACGGTCTTGGCTCTTTGGTTTTTGTCTCTGCTTTAGTCCTGAACTCACGAGACTTCGAGCGACACCAAGCGTTGTTGAAATCATTAAACACATAAAGCTCCAAATAGAAATGATCGACTGACACAAAATTGCGATCAAATCAAGATAGCAATGTTAGTGGTCACATTTAGCAAACCGCAAAAGTATTAAAGTATTGTCCCTTGCAACATTAAGATAGACATTTTTTCCTGAGAAGATTTCAAACAAAAACTAGCCGACTAAATTCAAGTTTGCAGTGAATCCATTCTTTCATTCATTTCATTTCATTTCCATTCATTTCCATCCACAATCCATTCTTATTACTGAAAAAACCTTGTGTTGTATTTTAGACATTGGAAGTAGCAGGATATTTCCAAACTTAACATTCCTGAGGGTGTTGGAAATACAAACACCTGTTTTTTACACATTTATTGTAATTGAAAAATTGTAATTCGATCTTTTGGCAAAACCTCATCCTGTTTTTAGTTTTCCCTGAGACCAGACACAATATTCTCACCATAGTCTGTAGTTCCATCGCTGCTTCTTTGATCCTCTCGGGGTCATTACTGTCCACTACGAATATCAGGCCCTGAAAACATGCAGGAAACAGGTTACACTCAGTTGTTTGGTTCTGTAGAGAGCAGACCTGGGCAAAGTCCGACCAGATCCACATTTCTACGCATTGGTTTTATAAAGTGCTTTTTTGGACACTCAAAGACTCTTCACATGTCATTATTCTTTCACTCCAAACACAGTGGTGATAATCTACTACTGTCGCCACAGCTGCCCTGGGGCACACTGACAGAAGTGAGGCACCCAGTCTGTGCCATTGCTCCTTTGACCACCACCAACCATTCACACACACACCAGACTCATTCTAGACAAGGTGGGTTAAGCATTTTGCCCAAGGATACAACAACAGTTTGTCACTTTACAGCCGCCCCACTGTAGCACCTGCTGTTCCTGGAGATCTCCCATCACAGCACTAACCAGGCCCTTCCCTGCTTAACTTCTGACTTAACGTCTGACTGGATCTGGCTTCCACATGCAGGTAAGGCCACACATAACATGCCATATATGCTACCACGGCATGTTATACATTTATTCTGTTCTAATCGATGAACCCAAGATGTTACTATTAATAATGATTGAACAAAGTCTCAAAAAACTCAAAGAAAACACTGGAAATCTTCATATTTGTTTTTTATATACATTTGTGTAAATACTGAAGTAGCTTTTAACCCTTAAAAGACGATGCCATCGCCGACGATGGTTGCGCACATGTTTTACAAGTGATCAATTTACTCGCGACCCATAAAATCTAGCAATTTACTTTTTTTTTCTCTGTTATGTACACATTCCAGCCTTTCCGAAACGGGCCTCGGTTTGCCTGTGCGATGCACGGAAGATAAACTGCGCGTGTATGAAAGTCAGTCCCCCAATCGGATCTTCGAGCGGTGCCCCGTGAGCTCCACACAGCCAATTGTAAAGTTGTTTACTCAAACGGGGACTCGCACAAAGATCGTCAGAGAGTAGGATCTCTCACTCCTGTGTGTACTTGGTGCACATTATTGAGAATAGACAATAATAAATACAGTAAAATGATATTATGTGTATATAATGTATTTGTATATAATATAAATTAGATGGTTTTTTTTTTTTTTTTGTCTTAGTTTGTTTTGTTTTACGTATTTTACAGCTGTGATACAGAAGCAACCACAGCCTCATAGACAAACTGCTTGAGGAAGGGCATCAGGAGTACAGCGTTTTTGGCTTTTATAGTGGAATTTTGTAAAAATTATAATAGTCACTGTCATTTTTCCCCGTTATCCCCAAGACCATAAATAACATTTCTATGGAGTCTAAAAAGTTGTTTATAGCATTTCATTGTGTTTTTTCAATACAATTTTGTGAAATTGATTTTCCGTTTCTTTTTTTTTTTTGTCTTCATGATTCCATAATCATTATATAATTGATATGACAGCTCCAAAATATGAATATTCTAAAACCCCAGGTTGTACTGAAAAAAACAAAGTATACTGCTTGACTCTGCATCAAAAGATGACTGTTTTATGAACAATTATACACACAAAAAACCAGGCGAGGAAAGTTCCCCAAAATGACTCTAGACCTTGGAGGGTTAACATAAATACAAAATTAGCGACATAAAAACAGGTCCAGCCCTTCACAACAGAGCAATATCCTCAAAGATAATGATTCCACCACAGACAGAGATATAGCAGTAACATTAGAGTAGTAAGAGTAGTATTTACCTGTGTGTTGATGAAGTAGTGTCTCCACAGGGGTCTGATGATGGTCTGACCTCCCACGTCCCAAACCGTGAAGCTGATGTTCCTGTACTCCACCGTCTCCACATTAAAACCTGCAGCAACAACATCAGAGCTGCAGTTAATGCACATCAACGATCACAATATCCAAAAATCAAGCGTTTGGAATCTCTCACATTTCTGCATAAAATCAAAGTCAAACAGACGAAAATTAAAAGTGTCTGCTTAAACTAAAACCTCCTGCACATTTATAGGTTGTCGTATTTTTTGTGAGGATAACATGACCAGACTTGGACCGTACGCGCGCTCTGATTGGTTGATTATTGATTGGTCTGATATTTTCCCATCTCGGACCGTTACCATGGCAATTGGTCCGAACAGCCCGTATCACACAAAACCCAGTCGGACATGAACATACTTCACAAATATCTCAAAAGCATTGGTAAAGACACAGACGAGAGTCATATAATAAAACATTTATTAACCTCGCTTGCTCGGTCTGTGCAGAGGAATATCAGACCTCGGCCTTTTTGCACAGACCTCGCCACGGCTCGGTCTGTACATTAAGGCCGCGGTCTGATATTTCTCCATTCAGACCTCATGCTCGGTTAATAAGCCGTTATTATCTTGAATCTTGAACTTAAATTTACAAGATACAAGATAATAGCTATATTATTCCATGTTGTGTCCTTCCAATAATTTCATAGGATTCACTGACCGATGGTGGGGATGGTAGTGACCACTTCATTCAGCTTCATTCTGTACAAAATGGTGGTTTTTCCAGCAGCGTCCAAACCCACTGTAACAGAAGGTTTTATGATTTATTATTAGTACAATTCGGAAATCTCAGCAAAACTTAAAGACAATAGAAATACATTAACATTAGATTAAAAACTAAAACACTGTTCATTACTTGAGAATACAGAGCACTTTATACCTAAAGAAGTACTAGTAGTAGTAGTGGTAGTTGTAATAATAGTAGTATAGTAATAGTAAGATAATAAGCAATAATTCTATTTAGTGGTTTAAATTTAATCTAACAACGAAAAATTCTGCCTGACAGAAGATTAGACACAGAAAAGTCACAAAGTAATGTGGACCTAAAACGTACCTACCAAAACAGAAAGCCGTCAAATTGACTGCTCTGGGAGTTCTAATGTCCACAGATCTATAACCTATTATACAATATAAAATAACATATTCTGAGCATACTGACCCATCAGGATGCGGACTGGTGTTTTGGAGGTGAACTTGTTAAAAATCTGGGAGATGATCATACCCATCGCGGCTCGCTTCTTCGCTTCACAAAATGCGGGAAAATGAAAATAATAATAATAAATAATAATAAAAGCAGATATCAAAATCTTCTTCCAAACATTCGCAGTCGTCGTGGGTGGATGTTGTTGTGCGCATTTCGCCTGCGGAGCGTGTTTTATCCTCCTGAGACCCGAGCATTTGTCTGGTGTGCATTTTATATATTTTTTTGCTATTTAGGATAAGTAGGACCCAATAAGTATAATACCTAAATTGTGATTTTGTACAGGAAGTAGTTTTTGAGAAAAAACATGTCCTCGTATGAGGACAGTGGGTCTCTCATAACCTAAAGAGAAAATGTATGCTCTTTGAGGCCGGAAGGTCCTAATTAGTTGAAATTCAAAATTTCAGCGTGATCCAATTAGTACTTCTCTCAAAAATCAATGTCCTCATATGAGTACAGTGGGTCGACCTTACTATACAATACAAATAGACTCCATTGGTCTAAAATAGTATATAACAGTTTATTTGAAAAATGTAAACATCAAAGTTAGACATAAAATCCAAACAGCTCTATCTTCAAAGCCTAAAAATGTCATGGTGTGGACATTTTGACCTGGTTGAGTTTGAATCCTGCCTGTCCTGTTGATTGTTGCCCCGCCCTAATGTGATTCACCTGTGTGTCCCTGTGTGTGTATATATACCCTGTGCCCTTCCTCACTTGTTGTCCGTCCATTGTCTCCACAACGTTTGTCCTGTCTTCAGTTCTGTTTTTACATTACCTTGGATTTATTTTATTAAATTTAGCTTGATTTTCAGTCCTGCAATTTGGGTTCCCTTTTTCTTCATTCATCCACATGACAAAAAATTGGCTATACATAAATAAAACCGCAAAATACTGTGTAAACTGTCTATTTTAAGCCTTCAATATGGCTGAATTGAATTGATAAATACAATACTAGAACAAATAATGGCAAATATTATTAATAGTCCTAAAACAGTAAAATTCTGCTGAACAGCTTATGAACTGGGGCTTTTTTCAAACTAGCTCCCTCTCTTTTTCTAGAAAGCAATCTGTCTGCCTGTTTGGAAGAGCCCTATTGGGAAGTGTGAAATGCTGCAAAGCAGTTGCGTTCACTTTGCAAGCACAGGTACACATTGCATGCCATGCATCGGACACAGGATTTTGCAGTCTTGTGCTCTGCAATGCATGGGGTTTTTCAAGGCTACCATCTCCGGGTTAGGATTAGGATTACAATATCCCCAGTCGAGGTCAGCAGCTCTCCACCCGCACCATACACGGTGTTGGCAAAGAACTGCTTCCCCCTCCTGAGGCGCCGGAGGGTTTGCCATAACCTTTTTGAGGCTGACCGATAGTCATGCTCCATGGACTTTCCAAACTGCTCCCAGTCCCGGGTTTTTGCCTCTGCAACAGCCCGGGCCGCGGCACGCTTGACCTGCCGGTACTGGACAGCTGCCTCAGGAGTCCCACGAACCATCATTGCTCGATAGGACTCCTTCTTCAGCCTGACGGCATCCCTTACTGCCGGTGTCCACCACCGGGTTCAGGGATTGCCGCCGGGACCAGCACCAGAGACGTTGCGACCACAGCTACGAGCCGCTTTATTGGCGATAGAGGAAGAGAACATGGTCCACTCGGACTCAATGTCCCCCTCCTCTGGGTCCTGGGAGAAGTGAGTTGAAAGTCCGTCTGACAGGGGGCTCAGCGAGACGTTCCCAGCAGACCCTCACTACACGCTTGGGCCTGCCAGGTCTGACCGGCTTCTTCCCCTGCCAGCGGATCCAACTCACGACCAGGTGATGATCGGTTGACAGCTCCTCCCCTCTCTTTACCCGAGTGTCCGAGACACGCGGTCGAAGGTCAGATGATACGACAACAAAGTCGATCATCAACCTCCGGCCTAGGGTGTCCTGGTGCCACGTGCACTGGTGGACACCCTTGTGCTCGAACTCCGCTTGGGTTCAGATCAGGGGGGCCGTTCTTCCCGATCACCCCTCTCCAAGTGTCACTGGCGTTTCCCACATGGGCGTTGAAGTCCCCCAGGAGAATAATGGAGTCCCCGGGCGGTGCACTGTCCAGTACCCCTCCCAAGGACTCCAAGAAGGCCGGGTACTCTGCACTGCTGTTAGGCCTGTAGGCCGTCACAACAGTGAGAGACTTGTCCCACCCGGAGGCGGAGGGACGCGACCCTCTCATTCACCGGGGAGAACTCCAACACGTGGCGGCTGAGATGGGGGGCAATGAGTATGGCCACCTCAGCTCGCCGCCTCTCCCCGTGGGAAACACCAGAAGATGACTGACAGGTATGAGCTGATGATACAATCATCCCCATCTGAGAAGTCCTCTATCTCAGAGTTGTCTGCAATTGCCAACAGCAATTGTTCTGCTCTTGATAATGAAAGTGTGCCTGTAATGATAATGTTAAAAACCAACATCAAAATCTACAGTATATCAGTGACACATCATAGCTTGGCTATCATGTGCTAGCAATAGCCTAGCTATATTGTTTATGATTAAGCATTTAGCAACACTAAACAATACTTAGCATATACCACTTAGTACTTAAATATACTATTTACAACTGTAAACCACATAACTAAGCAAATGTGTGATTCAAAACAACTATTTACAACTGTAACTTCATCTAAATCTTCCACACGGTTAGCTAAACAGATAGCGGTACATAGTCCTAGCGTCCTCAAACGAGTGCTTCACTTTTTTTACTGACATCCTAGCCTGCTACTACAATCAAAATTTGTCAAATTTCAAACTCCATATGAAGCTAGAGACATTATTGTGCATAAATAAATTGATTTCATTCATAAAATGTTGATAGAATTTTTACCTGAGGCATTTTTCTTCTGTAAACTCTTGTAGAAGTCTTTTGCTGATATTCCCACCATTTTTTTCCTACTGCCTTAAGTGTAATTCTATCATATCACCACAAGATGGCGCGGGCAGTGTCCCTAAATGTGGCCATCAGGTCAAGGATGTAAAAAATTGAGTATCATTGTGCCAAGAGGCAAAAATGTAATGTCCTCGTATGAGGTCGCAGGGTCTCAGGAGGTTAAAGCGGAGAGATCTCCTGCTGGCTCTGAGAACGCGGATCTGAGGCTGTCATTTCACTCCACGTGGAACAAAACGTAAACACACCTGGAACCGGAAATGACGTACGGGACCTTCACAATAAAACGTATGCAGCTGTTTGTAAGCGAACACCACACCGTAGAGTCTCCTAAAGTAAAATGGACTCATTTCAAGATAATCAATCGATAATCAATCAATCAACATTTACCCAGCGGGAAACTTTCTTAGGAAACGATTTAAATTCTTGTACATTTTGAAACGTTGAAGACGAGTCACTAGATAATTTATTCTTCCATTGTCGTCACACTCAACAGTTTCGGTCTAATGTCAGAAGTTGGCTAAATCTTTAAATGAAAATTCCACCTGTGAACATATTTCAGATATTGCACATGGACAATTTAAAGTAGTTGTTGATTTTGTCCTAATGTTAGCCAAATATCACATCCACTGTAGCAAGAGGAGAGGCAATAAACCTCCTTTCCCTGTTTCATCAACGAATTCAAATTATATTATAGCTCCTTAACTTTACTAAATATAAATCTGACAGAACTACCTCTAATCTGATTTCTAAGTATCTTTTGTTTGAACTATTCTATTGCTCAGTTAAATTGTATATGTGTTTATTAAGTGTCTTTGCCCCTTAGCTTGGTTATTTGAGTCCTCTCTACTGTTCTTACTAAAGTATTATTAGAAAAAAGAAAGAGAACACCGTAGAGTCTAGACTGAGAAAACTATTCACTGAACTTTTTTTTACAATCTATGGAGAAAAGGTCAAAACAAAGGCTGCATCTGAATTCGGATAGAGAAGAAGAGCAGAGACGGTAACATTACTATTTTCGCTGTAGACATTCCAGAATAAAAGATTGAGATTTTAAGAGAAGCTTTATTCGTCCCACAGCGGGGAAATTTCAGTGCCAAAGACAAAGAATGTTTATTTCTTGCTGATGCGTTCGCTGTTTGTGTGTGAGCTACAAACCTTTTATTGTGAAAGTCTCAGTCACTTCCGGAGACAGGTGTGTTTACCATTTCTCTGGTTCCACGTGGAGCGAAAATGTTGGCAAAAAAGATCAATAATATGAGGAAGAAAAATACGGAAGGAGGAATTGGAGGAACTACAACAGCCAGTGTTTATCTGTTCATGTTTTATACAAATGTCTAATCTAAAAGTGATCTGTGGCACAAACAAATAAATTTTATTTTATATGAGTTTGTATTATTTATTTCCTAGTTGATTTTTCCAAACAAAATACGTGACTGTTGGTTTGGATTGGCTCAAAACTGAACTGAAGGTAACAAAGGCTTGTAATAGTAGATTGGTTTGTAAATAGTAAGTTAGTAAGTACGTTTTTTATTTATATACCGCCTTTTCACTGCAGATCTGAGTCTCAAAGCGGTTTACAATTGTTATTTTTGGGCATTTGTCTCTCACTCCACACAGAGATGGGAGCAGGGCCAGTACAGGAGGCGCATGCCAGAACTATTGGACATATTTTTAGTGGTAGGGGAAACCGGAGTACCCGGAGGAAACCTACGCAGACACGGGGAGAACATGCAAACTCCACTCAGAAAGGCCCTGGTCCGACCGGGATTCGAACCCAGGACCTTCTTGCTGAGAGGCGTGCTATCCACTCAGCCACCGTGCCGCCCACACACGCTTTTTTATGCTTTTTGTTTGGGTTCAGCTAGCTTATAAATCAACTAATTAATTCATTGTGGTTAGCCATGCTTCCAAGTCAATCAAGTAATTCATTGTGGTTAGCTGTGCTTATAAATCAACTAATTAATTCATTGTGGCTAGCCATGCTTCTAAGTGAATTCCGTCATTGTGACTAGCCATGCTTCTAAGTGAATTCCGTCATTGTGACTAACCATGCTTCTAAGTGAATTCAGTCATTGTGACTAGCCATGCTTCTAAGTGAATTCCGTCATTGTGACTAGCCATGCTTCTAAGTGAATTCACTCATTGTGGCTAGCCATGCTTCTAAGTGAATTCAGTCATTGTGGTTAGCCATGCTTCTAAGTGAATTCAGTCATTGTGGTTAGCCATGCTTCTAAGTGAATTCAGTCATTGTGGTTAGCTATGGTTACCACGGCAGCTGCTTTGTGATAGAGCAGGTGGAGTTGGGTGGATGTGAGTTTCCTGGATAGAAGACATTCACTCAGACAGAAATCTTTATTGTTATATTTGTTTATTTAGTAAGTAACCGTGGTACAAGTAGTAGTTTCTGATGTGAAAACTATTCATAACATTTGTTTCCTCCGTTGTTTTCTATCACTCTTGTCTTGTGTTTTGGCTCTGCCCCGTCTCCGCCCCTTCTCACTCTGGATGCTGCTGATTGGTCGCTTCTGTTGGCGAGTGTAGGTGTCTTCAAACAGGACGGTCCCTCTGGGTCTGTACGCGATGTTGGACCAGGTCAGGACTGTCCCCCTCGACCTGAGCAAGAAGAACGTCACACATTCACTCACAGCTGCACGGATGATCACAATACAAATAGATCGTCTCCAAAATGTATTCAATTGTTTTATCTTTACTGACAATTGCCTAAAAATCCACTCAGAACGTTTGGAGTAATCTTCCTCAAGAACTAACGATAACTGACACAGATAAATGAACCTGAAATATTACATTACATTTTTGTCAAAGAATCTTAGCGTGCCTTTAACTGGACCTCACGAGTCCAGTTCTCGGGTCTCTGCACCAGTGGCTCAGAGGAGAGACTTTTACACTAACCCTAAACCTCCATGGCCTCGAACCAAAGTACATCTGTGACATGTTAGAGCCATATGAACCAACTGGGACTCTGAGGAGCACAGGGACTGGCCTCCTGCAGGGACTCTGAAGAGCACAGGGACTGGCCTCCTGCTGGGACTCTGAGGAGCACAGGGACTGGCCTCCTGCTGGGACTCTGAGGAGCACAGGGACTGGCCTCCTGCTGGGACTCTGAGGAGCACAGGGACTGGCCTCCTTCTGTGACTCTGAGGAGCACAGGGACTGGCCTCCTGCTGGGACTCTGAGGAGCACAGGGACTGGCCGCAGGGACTCTGAGGAGCACAGGGACTGGCCTCCTGCTGGGACTCTGAGGAGCACAGGGACTGGCCTCCTGCTGTGACTCTGAGGAGCACAGGGACTGGCCTCCTGCTGTGACTCTGAGGAGCACAGGGACTGGCCTCCTGCAGGGACTCTGAGGAGCACAGGGACTGGCCTCCTGCAGGGACTCTGAGGAGCACAGGGACTGGCCTCCTGCAGGGACTCTGAGGAGCACAGGGACTGGCCTCCTGCTGGTCCCAGAGTCAGGACTAAACATTCTCTGACATAGTTCAAATCCAGGTTAATACATTCCTGTTTTGCTGCTACAACTATTTGTGACTTTAATGCCTTGTTGTTTCTATCTTGTTTTGTTTGGCATTTTGTGTTGTCTTGTGTATGAACTGAGCTGAACAAATAAGGAACAACAAAAATCATCAGTAGTGGGTCCTAACCATAGACTGTAAATATCCCTAACTTACTGACATTTCCTGTAGTGTGTGTAGAGTTGTATTGGGGTTTCCAGTCAGCAGCTTTTTAGCTTCAGTGTGTGATGATTATCTCGGCTAAAAGTCTGTCTGACTCAAATGTAGTATCAGCCTTAAATTCTTGCAATAGGAACATATATGATAGTATCTCCTCCCCCAGTGGCTCTCCTCCCCCAGTGGCTCTCCCCTTCTCACCCATAGTTCATGTAGTAGAAGACCTCTCTGTACTGCAGCGGATAGTCCCACACCTCCAGGTCTGTCACCTGCCCATCGAAGCCCGAGATGTCCACCACAGGCTCTCCAGACCAGACTATCTGTATACACACATATACTGACAATAACTACACACTTACACACATATACTGACAATAACTACACACTTACACACATATACTGACAATAACTACACACTTACACACATATACTGACAATAACTACACACTTACACACATATACTGACAATAACTACACACTTACACACATATACTGACAATAACTACACAGTTACACACATATACTGACAATAACTACACACTTACACACATATACTGACAATAACTACACACTTACACACATATACTGACAATAACTACACACATATACTGACAATAACTACACACTTACACACACTGGCCATCTGTATACACACATATACTGACAATAACTACACACATATACTGACAATAACTACACACTTACACACACTGGCCATCTGTATACACACATATACTGACAATAACTACACACTTACACACATATACTGACAATAACTACACACTTACACACATATACTGACAATAACTACACACTTACACACATATACTGACAATAACTACACACTTACACACATATACTAACAATAACTACACACTTACACACATATACTGACAATAACTACACACTTACACACATATACTGACAATAACTACACACTTACACACATATACTGACAATAACTACACACTTACACACATATACTGACAATAACTACACAGTTACACACATATACTGACAATAACTACACACTTATACACATATACTGACAATAACTACACAGTTACACACATATACTGACAATAACTACACATATACTGACAATAACTACACACTTACACACATATACTGACAATAACTACACACTTATACACATATACTGACAATAACTACACACTTACACACATGTACTGACAATAACTACACACTTACACACATATACTGACAATAACTACACACTTACACACATATACTGACAATAACTACACACATATACTGACAATAACTACACACTTACACACACAGGCCATCTGTATACACACATATACTGACAATAACTACACACTTGCATACACAGGCCATCTGTATACACACATATACTGACAATAACTACACACTTACACACACAGGCCATCTCTTTATCTTGTTTCCACCAGCCCCACTTGGCCCTATTCTTTTCTACCTTGTGGTTGTGGTTCCATTACGCCTTTGTATCTGGTACTGTATCTTATCAACCTACTCACAACAAACCAGTATTCAGGAAAAATGTCTTGGTAACCATGGATACCAGCACTCTGGCCAATCGCTGGTAGTTGGAACAATTTAGTCCCAGCTTGGCCTTGACAGCACCAGCTCGGCCAGGTTAGAACCAGCTTGGCCTTGACAGCACCAGCTCGGCCAGGTTAGAACCAGCTTGGCCTTGACAGCACCAGCTCGGCCAGGTTAGAACCAGCTTGGCCTTGACAGCACCAGCTCGGCCAGGTTAGAACCAGCTTGGCCTTGACAGCACCAGCTCGGCCAGGTTAGAACCAGCTTGGCCTTGACAGCACCAGCTCGGCCAGGTTAGAACCAGCTTGGCCTTGACAGCACCAGCTCGGCCAGGTTAGAACCAGCTTGGCCTTGACAGCACCAGCTCGGCCAGGTTAGAACCAGCTTGGCCTTGACAGCACCAGCTCGGCCAGGTTAGAACCAGCTTGGCCTTGACAGCACCAGCTCGGCCAGGTTAGAACCAGCTTGGCCTTGACAGCACCAGCTCGGCCAGGTTAGAACCAGCTTGGCCTTGACAGCACCAGCTCGGCCAGGTTAGAACCAGCTTGGCCTTGACAGCACCAGCTCGGCCAGGTTAGAACCAGCTTGGCCTTGACAGCACCAGCTCGGCCAGGTTAGAACCAGCTTGGCCTTGACAGCACCAGCTCGGCCAGGTTAGAACCAGGGCCAAGCAGGTACGAGTGGGGCTGGTGGAAAACAGGTATCCAAAGTTCCATTTGTTTAGAACAGAAACACAGCAGGATTCTCCCCCCAACGTGAGACTGTGCCTTTAGTTTGGGTTATACGTTCAATTCATCCATCCATCCATCCATTTTCTACCCCTTAATCCATTTCTGGGTTGGGGGGGTGGCCACAGATGCCACCCAGTACACAGAGCACCAGCCCCTCACTGATCCTCCTGTAGGTGTTGGGTCCACAGGAGGATGGCTGCTCTATGGCTTTGCCTTGATCTTCCAGCGGGGGCTTCAGCCAAAGTGAGGTTAAGTGTCTTGCACAAGGACACAACGACAGCAGTCATCGGTGGAGAAGGTCTCATGGTGGCCTCGAACCCTCAACCTTCAGGCTCAAAGGCCATTGCTCTACCAACTGAGCTACTGTCGCCCCACGTTCAATTCAATTCAATTCAATTTTTTATGTTGCCCTAAATCACAACATCTCAGAAGACTTCACAAAACCGTCGATTTGCCAACGCAGATCAGAAAATCAGTTCAAATGTGCTGTGTGTGCTCCTCGTTCCTACCTAACTTGTGATACAACACTGAAATTTCCCCTCCGTGGGACGAATAATGGATCTCTTAATCTTAATCCTAATAATATGTTTTTTTATTATAGAAAGAGGGAAAGGAAACATATTGTCCCCTACAGATTATTGCAGCACACAAAAGGCTCGTGTGGACGTCGTACCCGAGACGGTGGAATCTTCCGGATGCTCATGAGTCCACCCTGGAACAGCTGAACGACATTTCTGACCGAGTCCAGGACCACACAGACACTGGTCCAGGGCTGAGTCTGGGTGAAGGACCGGAGGGGGATCCTGGGTACGAGAATGACATGGGAGTAGTAGGGGTAGGTGTCGGAGGTCAGAGCATAGCCTTGGGGGCCATTCATGATGAGCGTCAGAGGAGATCTTAGAGCCAGTTTGAAGAGGTTCCCATAAGAGTCAGCCATGAAGCGCAGGCACACAGACACACCTGCAGGGGGAGCACAAGGGCCACAAAACATGACAATTAAAGATGCAGTCAGTGATTTTTTTTCCAGATGCATTTTTTTAATGTTGTGGGAAAACGTCCCTAAACCCTAAAAGTAGTCAAGTAATCATGTGTTTTCAAATAGTAATGGAATTGACCAGATGCCTTTAGTCTCCAGAAATTAATGACAAATATTTTGGAGCGGACCGATAGAAATTAACCAATGGGATGCGTTCATCCCCTTCACCCTCTTCCTGTTTCTCGCGAGTTCACCTGAGTTATCGGATTTTCTAAAACCTAAAATGGCTGAACAGAAAATGCCAATTTCACGTTTGCCGCCCAAAATGCTGGATGTTTGGTTTGCTGGAGAGGGAGGGGAGGGGGAGTGGTTTCCAGTCACGGATCTATAATAATAACTGGATAGGGTATTACTAGCTTAGAGCTGTCCCACCCATGGGCACAGGGGGCGCCTGTGGTACTGCAGACTAAAGCCTAGCGTACATCGGACTGGCAACTGATTATATCCGTCGCAAATGAGTTGCTGCCCCGCACACATCGACAATCTGACGAAAACGGGCAACTCCCAGTAGCAGGTCAGTCTCGGGAATAACAGCGCGTACATCGACAGCAACTGGCCTCAACTACAGTGTGTTTTCTGACATAAACTGTAGAGGGCGCAATACACGCAATACACACACGCTGTCGGAGCGGCGCATGGAGCGCACACATCGGGTCATATCTCCGAAACTGAGGACAACTAGTTGCCGAAAAGTAGAACACGGGCAACTGACTGAAACTGGAGACCGACTGTTTATCTCCAGTTGGAAGAGCGCTCACATCGACCGATTTCGGCAACTGATCATCTCCATCATCTACTCTCAGTCGCCAAAAGCCGCCTTGCAACTAGTTGTCCCCAGTTTCTCTGTCGATGTACGCTAGGCTTAAATTCACGAGGGCTACCCAGAAAAAAGTCCCATTGAACTCAATGTAAATGAAAACAGCTCGACCTTAGCTGACAGAGAACCTGACAGAGAACCTGACAGAGAACCTGACAGAGAACCTACAGCTTTCATAAAGATCGGATTTTGTGGGGATTTTAGTGTCCCTTGTCGTCCTGAACTTTTTTTCTTCTTAAATCCTTCAGTTTTCTTTAAATCCACACTTTACTGCCACAAACTCTGCTCCCTGCCTTCCCGCTCTAACTCAGCTCTGCTGCTGCTCTGATGATCAGCTCTGATTGGTCAGAGCGCGGCCGAGCCCCTCTGTGCACGTGCATGAAAGCCACACACGCACGTTTGGCTAATCCACTTCGCAGAACCGGGAGGACCAGGCGATGCCCAAATATGGGCGAGTTCAGCTAATCTCCCGGTCTCCATGAAGTCCCATGAACTACTGAGCACAAGCCATTCATTTGAATAGGGCGCCATCTTGGATCACCGGGGCTTGTTTCCAGTTGGTGCTACGGCTAAGCTAACAACATCGCTAACTGCACCTTTAAGTGTATCACCAAATGTATCACGTATATGTCGCAGTGTAAATATGTCGCAGTGTAAATATGTCGCAGTGTAAATATGTATTTGTCGCAGTGTAAATATGTCGCAGTGTAAATATGTCGCAGTGTAAATATGTCGCAGTGTAAATATGTCGCAGTGTAAATATGTCGCAGTGTAAATATGTCGCAGTGTAAATATGTATTTGTCGCAGTGTAAATATGTCGCAGTGTAAATAAGCATGCGACATTTCCACATGAAAAAGTTCATCCATATCGACAGAACTACCGTAAATTCCAGATTATAAGCTGCAGACTTTTTTCCTGCATTTTGAAGGGTGCGGCTTATAGTAAGGTGCAGCTATATTTATTTATTTTTTATGGGGCAAGAGATGTTATGTGGAGCTGCCATGCAGACCTGTTCCAGTTCCAGGATCCACTTCCAGGATTTCCAGCCTGCATCAGGTTCCCTGCTGGGAGCCTATAAGACCACACCCTGACTCCACCCATCTCTCTCTCTCTGTCCTGGCAGCAGCAGCCCTGCTCACCACCACACCTGCCTTCCCCTTTTTGGTTTTCTTTGTGTTATCTCCCTAGACTTTTGTTTCTGTTAATAAATTATATTAACCTTTAGTAACCTGTTGTCCTTTATGTTGCACCTGTAGAGCCAGGGTGTACTTAATATCGCTTTCTGCATCTTGAACCGATTTTTCCATACAGATGTTACCAACAATACAGTTCAGTTAATTAGTCACAAAAAATGGCTCTGCAGACGGCAATTAGGTATGAGGGAAATGTCACGTGCAATAATGTCAGAATGTGCAAAATGGGATCAAATATAGCGACTGGCAGCTATACTGAATATTCATTTGTCTTTTTTTGTTTTTGTCTACTCCTCCTTCTTACTGTTCTGTGGTTTTTAAAAGTCATTTATGCACTGTGGGACGAGAAAAGTATCTTAAAATACAAAAATGGCAAACAATCTCATTAGAATAAGGACATTGAAACAACAAGCAGCGTTTCCGTCGAATTGTTATTCACGCGGGTGGTAATGACGTTCGGCGGAAACAGTCCGAGGTGTTGAAGCTGCAAGTCGCCGCCGTGTGCAAGCTGGCTAGCACAATGGCCGACACTGTCATCTTCTCTGGGCCCCTACCTAGCACTAGCAGTGCAGAAGCATTCAGCAGACACTCGGCTTTCAACCGCTGGCTGTCTGGCTGGTGCCCTCGAAGTGGTGTTGTTCATGTTGACAATTGGAGTGCCTTTTGGGGAAAGCCCGGTCTCATCCGCTCGGATGATATCCACCCAACGTTGGCGGGTACATCCCTTTTGGCTAAGAATTTGGCCCTGGCTCTAAACTGTTCTGCTCGGCTCAAATGACGATGCAGAACTGAGGCCCGGGTGCAGAGCTGCTCTGCCACAACCTCTGAGCCCCCATCTGTTCAGTTACTAGCCTCAGAAGCTAGTCAGATTGAAACTGTGTGTGTTCCCCGCTTGAAGTCTAAAGCACTATATGCGAGGAAATCTGACCTAGGTGTCAGACACAGTAACTTAATAAAAGTTCAGACAGACAGAAATAGTTCTAGCGGTAGGGTTGTTAAATGTGGTTTAATGAACGTCAGATCAATCTCGTCTAAATCGCTTCTCATAAACGAACTTATTATAGACAAGGGCTTGGATCTGTTTGCGCTCTCGGAGACTTGGCTCCAACAGGACGAGTACGTTAGATTGAATGAGTGCACTCCTCCGACGCATGTTAACTACCAGAAAGCCAGAGCTACAGGTCGCGGCGGTGGCGTTGCGATTATATAACACACCAACTTGGTTCTTAGTCCCAAAACCAACAACGCTTTTCACTCGTTTGAAAACTTAACACTTTCAATCACCTGTCCTGGGTGGAGAAAACAAAAAGCAGTACTATTTATAGTTTTATACCGACCTCCTGGTCCTTACAGCGAGTTCCTAACAGAATTCTCTGACTTCATTTCAAACCTAGTTTTGGAATGGGAAAACATAGTTATAGCTGGAGACTTCAATATACATGTGGACGACAGCACTGACAGCTTAAACAAAGCTTTCAGCGCCGTACTAGATGGTGTTGGTTTTACTCAGAATGTTGAGGAACCTACTCACATTCATAACCACACCTTGGACCTTGTCCTGACCTACGGCTGTGATGTCTCCAATGTTGACATCCAGCGTCAAAGCTCGTTGCTGTCTGACCATTTCTTGATCACGTTTGATCTCGCTTTGGAGGACTTTCCTGTCCCGCAAGATAAAACCATAATGAAAAGAACCTTAAATGATAAATCTATCACAAGGTTCAAAGAACTGATACAGCCTATGTTGAATACTGCTGCAGGTGAACCTGTTCACAGCAGCTGCAGTCCCTCAGTCATTGACCAAACGGTGGGCAACACTATGGAGTCTTTAAAATCTGCATTAAATGCAGCAGCTCCTTTAAAACAGAAAACCATTAGGATTAGATCATCGTCGCCCTGGTACAGTGTTCAACTCCACACTTTAAAACAGGACGTCAGAAAATTGGAGAGGCTATATCGCCACTCCCACTCGGAGCCTGTCCACAGGGAGTGGAAAGCAGGTCTCCGAAACTACAAGAAGGCCCTTCGCGGGGCTCGAACTCAATACTATTCAACTTTAATAGAAGCGAATAAAAACAACAGTAGATTTTTGTTTGGCACCGTCGCTAAACTCACAAACTGCCATAGCGCAATCGAGCCTAAAATTCCAAGCTCACTGAGCAGTGTCGACTTTCTCCACTTCTTTAATAATAAAATTACATCCATCCGTGACAAGCTGGAGGAGGTTGCTCCTGCTGTTGGTGGTGGACAGGTTGAAGCGGCATACGTGACTTCCCACTTAGACTCTTCAGTGGGCCTCGATAAATTCATGGCTGTGAGCCAAGCAGAAGTGATCTCTGTGGTCACATCCTCAAAAGCCTCAACTTGCATGTTAGACGCAGTCCCGACATGGCTCTTCAAAGACATACTTCCTTTGATAATTGAGCCTATCGTAAATATAATAAACGCATCCATACAATGTGGCTATGTCCCACAAGCTTTTAAAACCGCGGTAATCAAACCCCTTCTGAAGAAAACAAACCTGGACCCAGAAATACTTACAAACTACAGACCGATCTCAAACCTCACTTTTATATCTAAAATCCTGGAAAAACTCGCTGCCACCTGCAGGAAAATAATATGTTTGAAGTCTTTCAATCAGGATTCAGAGCTCATCATAGCACTGAAACGGCACTAGTCAAAGTCACAAATGACTTACTACTAGCTGCCGATAATGGACAAGTGTCAGTGCTGGTCCTACTGGACCTTAGTGCTGCATTTGACACAATAGACCACAGCATTCTACTGCAGAGGCTAGAATGTGATATAGGTCTTAGAGGAACAGCCCTTGGCTGGTTTAAATCCTATTTATCAGATCGATATCACTTCGTCAATGTGAATCAGGACTCGTCGCCTTATTCTGGAGTGGAATTCGGTGTGCCGCAGGGTTCGGTACTCGGACCCATTCTTTTCACTCTCTACATGCTGCCACTGGGAAACATTATTAAAAAGCATGGAATTAATTTCCACTGCTATGCAGATGACACACAGCTTTATCTGTCGATGAAGCCTAACCAGACAGATCAGCTAGAAAAGCTCAGTGCCTGCATAAAGGACCTTAAAATGTGGATGACTCTTAACTTCCTACTTCTCAACCCGGAGAAGACAGAAGTGATCCTACTCGGTCCGAAGCGCCTGCGTGACTCCCTCACTAACCAGATGGTTACTCTCGATAATGTCAGTATAATACCCAGTAACACTGTGAGGAATCTTGGAGTCATTTTTGACCAAGAACTCTCCTTCAAGGCTTATATAAGCCAAGCAACTAAAACGGCGTACTTCCACTTACGGAACATTGCTAAAATTAGGAATTTCCTTCCTAAAAGTGACGCGGAAAAACTCATTCACGCGTTTGTCACCTCAAGGCTCGACTACTGTAACGCTTTATTGGCAGCGTGCCCTAAAGCCTCTTTGAAGAGCTTCCAGCTCGTTCAGAATACAGCAGCTAGGATCTTAACAGGTACCAAAAGGAGGGAGCACATAACTCCGGTGTTAAAATCACTCCACTGGCTCCCTGTGGAGTACAGAATAAAGTTTAAAATCCTACTCTTAACATATAAAGCCATAAATGGCTTGGCTCCCTCTTATCTCCAAGACACGTTAGTGTCGTATCAACCAGGTCGAGCGTTGCGCTCACAAAACGCCAGACGTCTGGTGGTCCCTAAGGTCTCAAAGGTCACTGTTGGTGGCAGAGCATTTAGCTCCAAGCTCCTTTACTGTGGAATCAGCTTCCCATTTATGTTAAGGAAGCAGATACGGTCTCCACATTCAAGGCCAGGCTTAAAGCACTTTACTTTAATTTAGCATATAATTAGGTAATATATAATATGTAGTGTATATATTATATATATATGCTGTATTATGTTATATATTATGTTATATATTATTCAATAATGTATTGTGTTATGTTGTATATTATGTTATATATTATGCTGTATGTTATTCTTTATTCAAGGCTAGGTTTAAAACAGTCCTCTTTAGTTTAGCATATGGCTAGGAAGGTAAGACTCGGAGAAGGTTAAACTCCTCAGAGTGTCAGTCAAGCTGCATAGGGAGTCAGTTTGCTGGGAGAAGTATGGTAACTTGAGCACTATCCTCTCCTCCTTCCTACTTTATCTGTTTAGCATTTTTAGGATTCTGACTGTAGTTTGTTCATTGCTATTCACCCGTTGTCCCATTGTCTGTTTCATGGTACGATGACGGGATCTCTGAGCCTGGCCTCCTCCATCTACACCTGCGGACTGCCCCGCCCGACCCGCCTGGGAGTGCTTCGGTCCTGCACCGGACCTGTCCACGTTCAGCGGCCACTGGTCCACGTTCTGTAGCTAGCTTAGGTCCTGGATCATTAGCCTGTCCGTCCGGAGGAGCGGATCCCTTTCTCAAATGGGTCTCCCTCCCTGTGGGTTTCCCTAGTGCTCCCCAAGGTTTCTCACGTTTTCCCACTGGGTTTTTTGAGAGTTTTTCCTTGTCGATGCAGGAGGGTCTTGTTGGACAGTTAGTGTCCAACAGAAAGGATTGGTGATGATCAGGACACTTTAGCATTCTACAACATGTATGGACATTTTCTTCTGTGTGTGCTTTATATTCCTCATGTGTTTTAACTGTTGATTCTCTGACCTGTGTTGGTGATTTCAATGGTTTTGTTAAGTCCTCTGAGATGACTTCTGTTGTGACCTAGGGCTATACAAGAATAAATTGTATTGTATTGTAAGACTAAATCCTTCCTTTACTGGTCAGACAGTAGAACAAATGTATAAAGTTTACATTATGCATAAATTAGTCATTTTCTTTGATCGAATCGATTAATAAAGGTCAAATTGATCAGCACTGACTGTTACTGGGAGTCGGGGTGGTCCAGTAGTTTGTGGTGGTCCACCATCTCGGGTTGAATGTGGTGGTGGGGACGCGGGGTCTTTCGGTTGTTCTATCGCCCTCTGCTGGTGCATTGCTGTAATACGGCTGGTAGAAAGTCACCCCAGAAGACTGAGACAGCGTCAGCATTCTCCCCTTCAGACTCACTCCAGGACCCGCTGCAAAACAAAATCATATTTACACTGTGGATCAAAGGGCAGTTTTGGGCATTTTTGAGTCATGAAATAAGATAAAACTTTATTGATTGAAAAATGTGCATGTTATATTTGGCTTCAAGAAGGTCACTCAGAGTATGATGTATTATTTATTGCTATTCACCCGCTGTCCGATTGTCAGTTGGGAGCCTTCTCAGTCCTGCACCACACCCGCCTCAGTCCTCGTTCTACAGCCTGAGTCCTGGATCTACAGCCTGAGTCCTGGATCTACAGCCTGAGTCCTGGATCTACAGCCTGAGTCCTGGATCTACAGCCTGAGTCCTGGATCTACAGCCTGAGTCCTGGATCTACAGCCTCAGTCCTGGATCTGATCTACAGCCTGAGTCCTGGATCTACAGCCTGAGTCCTGGATCTACAGCCTGAGTCCTGGATCTACAGCCTCAGTCCTGGATCTACAGCCTCAGTCCTGGATCTACAGCCTCAGTCCTGGATCTACAGCCGGAGTCCTGGATCTACAGCCTCAGTCCTGGATCTACAGCCTGAGTCCTGGATCTACAGCCTGAGTCCTGGATCTACAGCCTGAGTCCTGGATCTACAGCCTGAGTCCTGGATCCACAGCCTGAGTCCTGGATCCACAGCCTGAGTCCTGGATCTACAGCCTGAGTCCTGGATCCACAGCCTGAGTCCTGGATCTACAGCCTCAGTCCTGGATCTACAGCCTCAGTCCTGGATCTACAGCCTGAGTCCTGGGTCTACAGCCTCAGTCCTGGATCTACAGCCTGAGTCCTGGATCTACAGCCTCAGTCCTCGTTCTACAGCCTGAGTCCTGGATCTACAGCCTGAGTCCTGAGAGAGACCCGTATTGAGAGCAGATCCCTCTTTCATTACGGGTCTCCCTGAGGTTTCTCAATTCTTTCCCCCACCGGTTTTTATCTAAATGTTATTGTTCCTTGTCGATGCCGAAGGGTATAAAGACAGTGATGATCCGGGACATTTATGGACATTTATTATAATTTATTCACATTTTTGGACATTGGACAAACCACCTTCACTATGGACCACTGTCCCCCTTTTGTTGTTCTTTCCATATCTTGTCAAATTGTTTTCTATGACAAAGAAACCACTCAAATGATACTGATCAGAAATCTCCATCCCCCAGTTCCAAGGTCAACTACGGCCCTGATGTACAAGCAACACATGAATACAAAGAAATGCACATCTTATGTATGTTGTGTGCTCATAAACGGTCTGAGTTGGTTTTATGAGTGATTCTCTGTAACGGGTGCCTTTTGGGTCCTCTGAATTTTGAAAAACGACCAAAAATTATTGCATTTCTGAACATTGCATCTGACAAAGGCAAGGCAAGGCAAGTTTATTTGTATAGCACAATTCATACACAAGGCAACTCAAAGTGCTGAACAAAACAAGAAAGCATTAAAATCATAAATAATCACAGAACATTAAAAAGAAAGATAAAAATATAAAATCCCTCAGTTGTATGCACAGCTAAACAGAACTGTCTTTAACCTGGTTTTAAACATTGTCAGAGAGGAGGCCTGTCTCACATCGTCAGGGAGATTATTCCAGATTTTAGCAGCATGAATCTGAAAAGCAGCCTCCCCATGTTTAGTTCTGACTCTGGGCACTAACAGGAGTCCAGTCCCTGTGCTCCTCAGAGTCCCAGCAGGAGTCCAGTCCCTGTGCTCCTCAGAGTCCGGGCTGGTTCATATGGGACTAACATGTCACTAATATATTTTGGTGCGAGGCCATGGAGAGACTTGTACACAAGCAGAGCTGTTTTAAAGTCTATTCTCTGAGCCACAGGAAGCCAGTGCAGAGACCTGAGGACTGGACTAATGTGGTCGTACTTCCTGGTTCTAGTTAGGACTAATGTGGTCGTACTTCCTGGTTCTAGTCAGGACTAATGTGGTCGTACTTCCTGGTTCTAGTCAGGACTCGAGCTGCTGCATTTTGAATGTACTGCAGCTGTTTTACAGCCTGTTTGGACAGACCTGTGAGCAGGCCATTGCAGTAGTCTAACCTACTGGAGACAAATGCATGGATAAGAATCTCCAGGTCTGCTTTAGACACTATGTTTTTGATCCTGGCAATGTTTTTTAGATGGTAAAAAGCTGCTGATGTTACTGATTTGATGTGGCTATTAAAATTTAAGACTGAGTCCAGTATTACCCCTAGATTTCTGACCTTGTTTGAAGGTTTTAGGGAGAGAGACTGTAGATGACAGATGACGCTCTCTCTTTGTTTCTGGGGACCAAAGACAATCATTTCAGTTTTGTCTGCGTTTAGCTGAAGGAAGTTGTTTTGCATCCACTCACTGATCTGTTGGATACAGTGAAGGAGTGAGTCCACTGGTCCATGTTCTCCTGCAGTCAGTGAGACATAGATCTGAGTGTCGTCTGCATAGTTATGATAGGACACTTCGTTTCTGCGTATTAACTGACCTAACGGCAGCATGTAGAGATTGAACAGAAGAGGTCCCAGGATCGACCCCTGTGGGACTCCACAGGTCAGGGCCATATGATCTGAGACACAGTTTCCAATCTCCACAAAGTACTTCCTGTCTTCAAGGTAAGACCTAAACCAACTTAGGGCGGTGCCAGCGACGCCAACCCAGTCCTCTAGTCTCTGTAAGAGGATCTCATGGTCGACGGTGTCAAAGGCAGCACTTAGATATAACAAGATTAAGATTGAGACTTTGCCTGCGTCAGTGTTCAGCCGGATATCATTTGTAACCTTAACGAGAGCAGTCTCAGTGCTGTGGTGGGGTCTAAAGCCGGACTGAAACATATCAAATGAGTTGTTGATTATAAGAAATCTAGTAAGCTAGTAGGTAGACAACTTTTTCAAGGACTTTCCCCATAAATGGCAGATTTGAGATGGGACGATAGTTGTTAAGTACAGTGGCATCCAGACTGCTCTTTTTTAGCAGGGGCCTGATGACTGCAGTTTTCAGGGCCTTTGGGAATATTCCAGAATGAAGGGACATGTTTACTATCTGTGTGAGTGAAGGTAACAGACTGCTCAGAACAGACTTCAGAAATCTAGTGGGTAGAACATCCAGGCTGCATGTGGAGGAGCTCAGACTGGAGATTATCTCTTGGACAGTTTTATCATCTGCAGGTGCAAAGTGAGTTACAAAGGAGTATTTGAACCTCTGGTAAAATACTGTTTCCCACCTTAGACATGGAATACCAAATATTACTAGGAATTCGCCATGCTTTTTGTTACGGGGTAGAAGATTCTAGCTAAAAGTGCCCATCTCTCCCACGTTAGCAAACATGTTAGCACCACATGGCATTTGGAAATCATGAAATTGATACTTTTCCACACAGTTGTTTGATTCTTCCTAAACAATACCTAAATAGCATGACCTTGAAAAGACTTGAGTGAGTAACTTTGTGAATGTTGAGTTCGTTGGACTGAACAATTATTTTCAAAAATAATGGAAAATGCCGTTACGGGGTTGAACAAACTTGGGGGACATGATTACAAATTCTTTTCAGTTTTATTTTATTTAAGTTAGAGCAGACAGGGAAATGATTATTAAAATGGGGTTAATGGCAATTCATGTATGTTTTAGATTGAATGGAAAAGTAACTTTGGTCACTGGGGACATGCATGATCCTCTGCCATCAGAATAATGTATTTGTGTGTTAAACCTCTGGGACACAAAAGGCACCAGTTACAGAGAATGTTGATTACGTTGGTGGAGAGACAGCTTTTTAGACTCTGCGGCATTTCCTGTTTATTTTTACCTTCCAACTTTTTTATCTCTGGACTGAAACTTCAACTACACAACTCTCAACTGCTGTAAACACTGCCAAATATTTACTACCAGTTTTATGTGGCCACAATCAAAAAGCTAAAAGTCTAACCACAAAATACATACAGTACATGCCTTTTTTGGTCCTGGAGTGTTTCTCGACTTGTAGATTCATATTTATTATTGTATGCTAGAAATACAGCAATACATATGAAGTATCTATCTGTCTAGTATAAGAATGAAAAATGGTTCGCAATTGTGAACGGTGGTGTACCAAGAAGGTCCTGGGTTCAATTCCACCTCTAACGGGGCCATTCATGTGTTCAGGTTTCCTCCAGGTGCTCCGGTTTCGATAGGTCTGAATGTAACGAGCGAGTAGATGGTGACTGTGTAGTGTTTTGTGTGGCCTCGGTCTGTGAAATGCGCTTTATAGATAACTTACTTACTATTACTGGGTGGAGATGTTTAATCGTATTCGCTACTGCGCAGAAATGCCTCATTGTTTATATTTAAAAGGACAGTAAAAGTCAAGTTTTAATTTTGAATGATATTTTCAGAGGTCACATGTAAAACTTATATTTGACGTCATCAGAAGTTTAACGTAAAGTTATTCCTAAAAAAAAGGTATATCCATAATATTTATGTTTATGAATGTCCAGCAGTTTATTTGCGGCTCTCAGAAAAATAGATTTTCCGTTTATTCCTGACTAAATATTTATGGCATTTTTCTGGTAAATTTACTTTTTTTTGGTTGCAATTATTCAAGGTCTTTGGTTTTAAATCCCCTTGGCAACCTCTTTACGCATTATAGTTATTATTTTAGTTTTTTATTGATTTAGTTTTGTACATATATATATATATGTATAATTTTACTTTTAGATTGATTTTATGGACAGCTCTTACGTGTACATATTAGTGTGTGTGTGTGTGTGTGTACGTGTGTGTGTATGTGTGTGTGTGTGTGTGTGTGTATGTGTGTGTGTGTGTGTGTGTGTGTGTGTGTGTGTGTGTGTGTGTGTGTGTACGTGTGTGTGTATGTGTGTGTGTGTGTGTGTGTGTACGTGTGTGTGTACGTGTGTGTGTATGTGTGTGTGTGTGTGTGTGTGTATGTGTGTGTTTGTATGTGTGTGTGTGTGTACGTTAGGGGTGGAAACCTAAGGGTACCTCACGATACGATACGATACACGTCAGAAATATACAATATGCCAATTTATGGCATAAATAAAAGAAAAAATACACTTTATTTCATGATAAATGGAATGGAGATGCGTAATGTAGCCATATATTAGGTATTGATACCAATATAAAAAAACAAATAATAATAATAATATATATATTTTTTTTTCAAAATCGATATTGATACTTGGCAAATGCATATCGATAATTGAATTGCAGGAGAAAGTATCGCCATATATCGAAAAATCGATAAATCGTCACACCCCTAGTGTACGTGTGTGTGTGTGTGTGTGCACGTGCGTGTGTGTGTGTGTGCGTATGTAGGGTTTTGGTTATTTGTGTTCTCTTTCTTAATCTTAGGTACCTGGTTTGCACATTGTATTCATCTATGTTGATATACTTTGTACCTTTTGTCAATAAAAAAGTCAAGTAGATTACCCAATCAGAGAGAAGAACAAGACCCTCATGTGGGGCGCCAGTTTGGTTTGAAATGTGGGTTTTTAGCTCCATTTCTTTCTTTTTTTATCAAAATAATTCCCAATGAATCCAAATATCCCACACACTTTCAGCTCAAGTTGTTTAATGAAAGCAGATCGTGTTTATATGTTGCCTGGGACCTCTTATTTACGTCCACGATGGTGAATCAAAGTTCCCCAAGATTCAAATGATATGAAACTGTCTTTTCATGAAGTGTGAAAACTGAAACATGAAGTGGTTTTTCTGAAGATTTCTGTTCCCGAAAAGAAAACAAAGACTTCCCCAAAAACTATTCGACCTGCTGGTTCACAAAAATCACACACTACGATAAAAAAACACCTTTATTACCTTTATACCTACTGTATATTCATGCAAAACACAAGTGGCACCAAGTTTAGTGTCTTCTGTGTCAGGAAACAAAACCATCTTTTCACAATAGCTTCAAAAAGTGAATTATTGCTGTAAGAACATAAAACTTAACATTTGTGGATCATAAGTTTTTAAATATTTCAGTCAACAGGCTCATTTTAAAAGTAGATCCCCAGATTTAGGGGCTGTAAAACATATCTAAATTTGAATATCTCTGAACTATTGGAAAAGAGCATGTTTTGTTTACAGATTAGGGCCCTTTAATGATGACTTGACATGAAAATCTTACATATATTAACCGATCTATTTCAATTTAATAGTAGCGTTAAAGATGGGGAACCAGACATTTTCTCCCCATTAATATTACATGTTGTTTGTCCCGAATAACTCTGACCACGGCAGGCTGTTTTTACAGGATTTTTCCAAATTTTAGGAAAGAACCGCCCTCTCCACTTACTTGACGAGAACCAGAAATATTGACAGTTGCGAGGACCAATAATCTTGATGATCCACCCGGAAGTAGACAATCCTCCTGTAGACCTTTAAGCTATAATTGGTAAAAATAGAATGACGCTTTGGCCTATTCTACAAATATTTGCAGTATAAATGCCAAATACATTCTACATGGAGCACGGGGACTGGCCTCCTGCTGGGACTCTGAGGAGCACAGGGACTGGCCTCCTGCTGGGACTCTGGGGAGCACAGGGACTGGCCTCCTGCGTGGACTCTGAGGAGCACAGGGACTGGACTCCTGCTGGGACTCTGAGGAGCACAGGGACTGGACTCCTGCTGGGACTCTGAGGAGCACAGGGACTGGCCTCCTGGACCCAGAGTCAGAACTAAACATGGGGAGGCTGCTTTTCAGATTCATGCTGCTAAAATCTGAGACAATCTTCCTGAAGATGTGAGACAGGCCTCCTCTCTGACAATGTTTAAAACCAGGTTAAAAACAGGTCTGTTTAGCTGTAAGTAAGTAAGTAAGTAAGTAAGTTGTAGCTGTGCATACAACTTTTCATATTTGTATCTATCTTTTTAATGTACTGTGATTATTCATGATTTTAATTATCTTGTTTTGTTCAGCACTTTGAGTTGCCGTTTAAAAATATCAATGTTTTGTATTTATTTGAATATAAATGTTGTGATCTCACCTGTAATGTACGGGTATCGAGTGGTGGTGGTCCAATAGGAGTCTCCCTCACAGAGCGCCAGGAGAGCACTCAGAGTGTACAGAACCTTCATGTTTGGACTGCTTCAGCTTCACTCCAGGCACTTTTCCTCTCTTGTCCCTACAGAGACGACTGCTGCTGTTTATCACTGCCTGCTCCCATGATGCTCTTTCCTTTACACAGAAATGAAACCTAACAGCCTTATATGGTCGTACATCCTGGTCCTGGCTCCGATCAGACCCTCATTGTTCTCCAGCACCCAGTATAATATCTCTAGTATGTAAAACCCAATCACTGCTTTAGATTTGGTGTCTAAAGCAGGCTGAGGCTCAAATCACTTAAACATATAAAGGTATTAATATATGACTCAAAATCCTGCCTACAGTAATCATAGCTTTTAAAAATATTTGTAACTTCTTGGGTGAAAAGTTTGTACGAGACAGAAATGAATGCACATTAGTCAAATCTTAGTGTGTAACCAAAAAGGTATAGCCCTTTAGTTCAAACTACTACTATTTACTAACTTTTCAGACTGTATCCGGACAGAACACTACTAGAATATTGTGCAAAAGTTGATTTATGTCTGTATTTCTATTCAAAATGTGAAACTAATATATGTTATAGACTTCGTACAGGCTTTGTTATCATGTTGATGATTATGGTGCAGGGGTTTGAAGTCAAAATCACATTTATCTTTAGTTTGATATTGCAGAACTGGACCAAACTCAATCTTGAAGTAAATTCTTTGGAAATGGCTGATAACATGTGGACAATGTCATTAATTTATTCAGTAATTATTTGAGTCCTTATGATTTAGTTAGCGTAGTCCAATTCTCTTCAATGGCTTTCGGTAATTTTTTAATTTTTTATTTGGGGCTTTCACAGTTGTAAACACAAATATCTACATTATAATAAAGGTTTTGTGTTATGAGTCTGTCACATTGTTTGCATATTGTAAGCCAAAAAAAATAAATAATTGAACGATGTTCTAATTTTCCGAATTTCACGTGTCTATAAATCAAAGTCCATAACCGACGTCAAATGTACGTGGTCTCCTGTAGTGACCCGGGGGCAGGGATGTGTCTACAGGAGCTCGGCCTTAACCATCCGTAAAATCCAGTCAATTAGTTCCCTACATGTACAAAATGAAATGTGTACAATGGTGTGGTAAGACCAGACAGCGCTCCAGGTCAAATACAGAAAAACACTCTTTTTAAAGGGGCATAAACGTAAAGCCTCTCTGAATAGGTTTTAAGTGAAATATGTAGCTTACTATATACAACTATGACCGTTATCATTATGGATCCATGGAGCCTGACCGGTTATTTGAGTTTTAAACAAACGCAGAAAAACACACATAAATCTTTTTTTATTCAAACCTGCAGTGGTCATGACCGTCTCTTTCACACAGACATCTTAAAACACTCTGACATTTAAAAATCTTAGTTTCATTTCATCGTTTGCATTCTTAGTCCCAGCTCTTTGTGCCGTAAAATCTGAACAGGTTTAAAATCCATATCATCTCACAGACTAATCCACAGGGTCAACCGTCTTCATATATGGCTCAGTCACCATTTTGAATTCATTCAGAGACCAGAGAGAGAGAAAGAGCAGAGAGAAAGACCAGAGAGAGAGAGAGAGACCAGAGAGATAGAAAGAGCAGAGAGAGAGAAAGAGCAGAGAGAGAGAAAGAGCAGAGAGAGAGAGAGAGACCAGAGAGAGAGAAAGAGCAGAGAGAGAGAAAGAGCAGAGAGAGAGAAAAAGCAGAGAGAGAGAAAGAGCAGAGAGAGAGAAAGAGCAGAGAGAGAGAAAGAGCAGAGAGAGAGAAAAAGCAGAGAGAGAGAGAGACCAGAGAGAGAGAAAGAGCAGAGAGAGAGAAAGAGCAGAGAGAGAGAAAGAGCAGAGAGAGAGAAAAAGCAGAGAGAGAGAGAGACCAGAGAGAGAGAAAGAGCAGAGAGAGAGAAAGAGCAGAGACAGATAGAGACCAGAGAGAGAGAGAGAGACCAGAGAGAGAGAAAGAGCAGAGAGAGAGAAAGACCAGAGAGAGAGAGAGACCAGAGAGAGAAAGACCAGAGAGAGAAAGACCAGAGAGAGAGACCAGAGAGAGAAAGACCAGAGAGAGAGAAAGAGCAGAGAGAGAGAAAGACCAGAGAGAGAGAAAGAGCAGAGACAGATAGAGACCAGAGAGAGAGAGAGACCAGAGAGAGAGAGATAGAGACCAGAGAGAGAGAGACCAGACAGAGACCAGAGAGAGAAAGAGAGAGACCAGAGAGAGAGAGAGACCAGAGAGAGAGAGAGAGAGAGACCAGAGAGAGAGAGAGAGAGAGAGAGAGAGCGAGACCAGAGCAAGAGAGACCAGAGAGAGAGAGACCAGAGAGAGAGAGAGAGCGACACCAGAGATAGACCAGAGGGAACAGAGCAAGAGAGACCAGAGAGCGAGAGAGACCAGAGAGACCAGAGAGAGAGAGAGAGAGAGAGACCAGAGAGAGAGAGAGCGAGACCAGAGATAGACCAGAGGGAACAGAGCAAGAGAGACCAGAGAGAGAGAGAGAGACCAGAGAGAGAGAGAGCGAGACCAGAGAGAGAGAGAGAGACCAGAGAGAGACCAGAGAGAGAGAGAGCGAGACCAGAGATAGACCAGAGGGAACAGAGCAAGAGAGACCAGAGAGAGAGAGAGACCAGAGAGAGAGAGAGAGAGACCAGAGAGAGAGAGAGAGTGCTTTCGCCAGACAATATTGCTGAGTTTACTAGTGATTAGTAAAGAAAAAAAAAAAACAAGTTTCATAATTCACTCAGAGCAGCCATTCAACAGAACCCACATTTTGAACCAGCTGGTCTTCCTAATGAAATGCAACACTGGGTCATGTCTGAACTTAAAATCCAATCGATAACAATGTATGGACTGTGCTATACAAAAAAACCTGCCTCGCTTCGTGTTTTCAAAAAAAAAAAATCTTAATATGAGAGTTTCTCAAAAGCGTGTAAAGCTACGTGTTCTGTCGCTGCTACTTCTTGTGTTGTCGTGTAAAATGTCCCCATCTGGTGGCCGGTCACAATAACTACAATAATCGACGGTTTCGTTCAAATGAGTGATGAAGTTTATGTTTTTAGCCTCAACTTCGATCGTCTGAATTTGTCTTTGCAACAATGGGGAGATTTGACATTTTCTCTGTTAAAAAAGAGAGAGAAAGAGTGATGCCTTCACCAGAGAGCAGGTAATGGGAGAGAGAGTGTGGGTCAGAGAGTGTTTGGGCCTGTGTCTTGTTTACAGCAAAATTGTTTATTGTGACAGGCCTAACTCTGTGTTATTTTTTGTGTCTTAATTCACTTTTCTATTGGAGTGAGCCGCCGTCTGTCTCCATAGAGATGTTATTTCTTCGTCTTGATCATAGACCATACATTACTAGCATAGCACCAACAGCTCTAGTGCACACTGGGCTAATTTCGGGTATTCCAATGTGGTTTTACTGCAAATGGCAAACAATCTGAATCTTATTATTATTATTATTATTATTATTATGGCATTTCCTGTGTTTGATCTGTTTGATTCTTTGATCTGTTGTTGGTGAATCGACAACCTTGTGTGTGCCGATGTCACCCTAGCGTTAGCCGATTTGATGCTACACTAGCTTGGGCCCATTTCCTTATATGGGCATTTGTTCCGATGACGTTAGCTTCGTGGAGGAACAGCCGCAGAGGTGTTGCTAAGGTGGTTGCTAAGGAAAGCTAGAGTATCCCTCGTCTTGTGAAACTTCAAAATGAGCTTGATATTGATAAAATTACACTAAAAAAGAAATATTCCCACAATAAGTAGGCTTGCCTCTCCGCTGCTCTGACCTGTCAGTTTCCAGGCACCTTCGAGACGAGAAGCAGCGGCGGACACTCCCGATAGAAAAGATACACAGTGACTCTACGTTAACTTAGGATTATGTACTTTCTTGAAATACTCGGGACAAATTCAATCTATTGTTGCATAAATGTGAGTTAGTATGAAGTGCACTTGGTATAAAAACACTTGGAAAAACATTGGGGGGAAAAAATTCGGTTAAAAAATTAGCTGCAGAACTTTTAGCACGCCTCCAAAGAGACATCCATCTTCTCTAGTTTACATCATTGTTAATCCTATGTCGATGTTTTAAAAAAAAAAAAGTGTCTTCGAGTCTCGACCCGTTTAGGAACCGTGTCTCATGATGTGGTTCCGGTCTTCAAAAGTCCCGGTTTTAGAAGTCCATAGGCTTCTTGTTTAAATAATCCACAGGGGAGTAGGGGACTGCTGTCAAGGCGTGTCCGGTTTGTGCAGAATGCCCTGGAGGTCCTCGGGTAAAGCCAGGATCACGGCGTCGATGTGGGACCGCAGTTTGGACACGGTTCCTGGTCGGACCGGAAGCTGCTCCTTCTCCGCCTGAGTCTGACAGAAACAAAAAACGGACATTTTCTCAAGAAATACAAATGCAAAAGACATGAGCAGTGTTTGGGACTTTAAACAAGGTGCTCCGCTCTGCTAAGAGGACTGTAGGCTGTGAACTTCCTGTCCTGGAGGCTCTTTATCAATCCAGACTTTTTAACAGTGCCCTGAGAATTATCAATGACTCTTCTGGCCACCCAGGAAAAGCCTTGTTCCAGCTTCTTCCCTCTGGCAGAAGATATTGTTCTCTGAGATGCAGGACATCTCGTTATGCTAATAGTTTTTTTTCCCCGAGCTGTTATCAGTTTGAATAGAGCACTTTAATGTTTCTGCACTTGTACAGATCTGTTTTAGTTGGTCAACTTCACGGTGACATTTGTTTACTGTTTTTAAAATTTGTTTTATTTTTGTCTTTTAATGTTGTTTTATGTCTGTACTTGTCCTGTGCACACTGGGAACTCTTACTAATGTATTCCAATGTAGTGTTACTGCAAATGGCGAATAAATGAATCTGAATCTGAATCTATATACTGATCAACTTGTCTGCATCTTGAAGTAATCTATATATTTCAGAATCAGAATCATTTTTATTGCCGTGTAAGTAGCAGAAAGGTAGAGAATAGAGTGAGGCATGGTAAAAATCACCATACACTTCTAAGGTATAAAAAAAAAACTCATCAAAAATGAGACAATTTCCATTTCATGTTTTATAATGTGAAATAATTATAATAGAAAATAAAAAAATTAACTGAAGCATGTATTACACCAATGATCCAAGTAACAAAACACAATTTTATACTGGTCTTCAATAATTGAATACATTTGCAAAGGTTTCTCCCCAAATCAGTGGAGAAGGATCTCACCAGTTTCTCTTTGAGTTTTAAAACCAGGTCCACAGCCTCCACCTCCGTGTGCTTCTCAATCCTCTGTTGTAGGTCCTAAAAAAAAAAACACACATTTCACATAATTATTGAGCAATGTATTTGTCCACAGTCAGGCTTCAGTTCCTCTTATCGCCAGAGATTGAGAAATGTCTACGCTGCTCTCCCAAAAGGGTCGTGTTGTTTGCCGTTTTTCTGTCTGTAACATGTGAGGATCTACAACAACAAAATTAAATTAAATTGAATAGAAGCTAGAGCGAGAAAAACTTAATTGAGCGAAAGAGTTAGCATTGCACAGACTGTATACAGTGTGACCCAGTCTTGTCTGGTTTGTGTGCTGCTGCTGGCTTTCTCCTCTTTTCAGGATCCAGCCAATGGGAGAGCTGATTGGGGCTGGCAGCGCCTGGAGATGGACGGGACCGGCCACATTCAAAAGCCACAAACATTTTGAAACATGTCTGAACCTCGAGCCAGTTTGTGACAAGTCTATGGCTCTGACTGAAGCATTATCCAAATGACCAAAACAAACATTGTCTATTCAATGTTCCTTTAACTGACACAACTCACAAAGCTAACCGTTCACACTGCAGCATCAGGTTGATTTAGCTAAACTTTCATTAGCTTCATTTCCTCGTTAGCAGCAGTGGTTGTGTACAGTACCTCCTCGCACAGCGCTTCCAGGTGAAGAGCCTCCAGTTTCTGCATCATCTCTCTCCTCCGGCTCCTGAACCAGCCGTCAAAGTTTGGAGACTTGAGAAAATGTCTACAAAAATGAGATTAGCTTAGTAAAGTTAAAGCTGGGTTACCGAATACAATTATTGTAGCTAGTTCCTCGTTCTCAAAGGGAATATATGACTATTTTTCTCAGGCCTGCGTCACATTTTTAGCTCAGGATATAAAAACAGAAAAGTGAGCAGTATTTATGAGACAAAAAGTTAGGTTTCAGGCATTTAACCGCAGACAGACTACATTAGGGATGACACAGTAAGCTAGCGGAGGCAGGAAAGTGCTCATGAGGGAATTTCTCTCTCTGGCTTTGGATCCACTTTTAATTTCATTTTGATATGGTCTTAAAATCAATATTAGAGGTGGGGGGAATTGATTCTGTTCAGTATTGCCATATTTAGAGCATGGAATTGAATCGATACAGTAGTGAAGAGTATTGCAATATTAAATTAAAGGATTACGGTACGGGTTGGTAGAGCATTGGCCTTTGGGCCTGAAGGTCGTGGGTTCGAGCCCACCGTAAGACCTACTTCACGACTCCCACTGATGACTGCTGTTGTTGTGTCCTTGGGCAAGACACTTAACCCCACTTTGCCTGAAGCCCCCACTGAAAGATCTCAGCTCCTGTGGACTCAGCACCTGCAGGAGGATCAGTGAGGGGCTGGTGCTCTGTGTACTGGGTGCAGCTCTGACTGCCGCCCCCCCGACCCAGAAATGGATTAAGGGGAAGAAAATGGATGGATGGATGGATTACGGTACCTGTTTCACTTTGTGTTAATGTGCAGACTACAATAAATCTGACGTTTGAGTTGAGCAGTCTAGTTTCCTCAGTTTTTGTGATTCCTTTGAATAAAACAAATTTGCAGAATCGAATCGCAATACTTTATCGCAATATGTTAAGAATCGCAATAATGGCCCAAATATTGCAATACTATGGAATCGTCACATTTTTGCCAGTTCCCATGGTCCCTAATCAACAAAGCTGGAGTGCACTAGTCACCTGTACAGGCCGATCCAGTCTCCCTTGGTCCTGGAGGTGAGCTGGGGCCCGGCTTTCTCCAGAGTCTTCATGAAGTCCTGCTGGATGAAGGGCCGCAGCTGCGGCGGACTCTTCCAGGGGCTGATGGACTTCTGCAGCGGCATCAGCGACGCCACGTACCGCTCCTAAAGGTTTTAAATCACCAATAAGTGTTTGGTCCCTCTCTCTGGTCCCTCTCTCTCTGGTCTCTCTCTCTCTCTGGTCTCTCTCTCTCTCTGGTCTCTCTCTCTCTCTGGTCTCTCTCTCTCTCTGGTCTCTCTCTCTGGTCTCTCTGGTCTCTCTGGTCTCCCTCTCTGGTCTCCCTCTCTGGTCTCCCTCTCTGGTCTCCCTCTCTGGTCTCCCTCTCTGGTCTCTCTCTCTGGTCTCTCTCTCTCTGGTCTCTCTCTCTGGTCTCTCTCTCTGGTCTCTCTCTCTGGTCTGGTCTCTCTCTCTGGTCTCTCTCTCTGGTCGGTCTCTCTCTCTGGTCTCTCTCTCTGGTCTCTCTCTCTGGTCTCCCTCTCTGGTCTCCCTCTCTGGTCTCCCTCTCTGGTCTCCCTCTCTGGTCTCCCTCTCTGGTCTCCCTCTCTGGTCTCCCTCTCTGGTCTCCCTCTCTGGTCTCCCTCTCTGGTCCCTCTCTCTGGTCCCTCTCTCTGGTCCCTCTCTCTGGTCCCTCTCTCTGGTCCCTCTCTCTGGTCCCTCTCTCTGGTCCCTCTCTCTGGTCCCTCTCTCTGGTCCCTCTCTCTGGTCCCTCTCTCTGGTCTCTCTCTCTGGTCTCTCTCTCTGGTCTCTCTCTCTGGTCTCTCTCTCTCTGGTCTCTCTCTGGTCTCTCTCTGGTCCCTCTCTCTGGTCCCTATGAGGTCGACCATTATAGGTTATTCCAACACCAACATTTAGTAGTCAAGAAGGACAATAACCGATATAGAGCAGTAAAAGTTAAGATAGAGCCAGAGACCAGAGAGGAGCAATACTGAGCGCAAAATAAAAGGTAAGTAAGTAATCTTTATATCCTGGAGGAGACACGAGGAGAACATGCAAACTCCACTCAGAAAGGCCCTGTTCCGATCCCTAGTAGTCGGAACAGGGTCTTCGTCTGTTTATAGTTTGTTTACCAGGGGAATGATGAAGCTCTGGGTCAGCTCCAGGAAGTATCGTCTGAGGATGGCGTTCTGAGCCGCTGACGGACGCTTCTGGTTCACGCCCTAAACACAAAAAAATGACACAGATTAATTTATTTATTAATTTCAAACCCGTTTACACACAGGGTTGAAAATGGGTTGAACGAAGCAGCTAAAGTATTATCAAAGTTGATTGAAATAGTTGAAATAGTGATTTAGTTTTTTATTAAGACAAAATCTTGTACTTTCTGAAGTTGTTTGATGATTTCTTCGTCCTTGTTGAGGTATGGTTTATATGCCGTGTAAACTCCTGGATCAGAGAAAGAAAAACGGTCAAGCAGCCCCCTCTAGTGGAGCAAGAGAGGACTACACGGACTGGAAATAATTCTGTAAATAGGAACGATTACAAATATTTACCAGGCTTTGAGTCCAGAGTTTTGAGATTCTTCAGTTTCTTCACTTTCATTTGTTTGGCCATTTCCCCTTCAACACAATAGAGCAAATTACATATTCCTGATTTGTATGCGACAGACTTCCTCATTTGTAAATCAGGTACCAAAACTTCTCTAGGCCAAGAAGATACCCCAGCTTCTCTAGACCTAGAATATACCCCAGCTTCTCTAGGCCAAGAAGGTACCCCAGCTTCTCTAGGCGAAGATGGTACCCCAGCTTCTCTAGGCGAAGATGGTACCCCAGCTTCTCTAGGCCTAGAAGATACCCCAGCTTCTGTAGGCCAAGAAGGGACCCCAGCCTCTGTAGGCCAAGAAGGGACCCCAGCCTCTCTAGACCTAGAATATACCCCAGCTTCTCTAGACCTAGAATATACCCCAGCTTCTCTAGACCTAGAATATACCCCAGCTTCTCTAGACCTAGAATATACCCCAGCTTCTCTAGACCTAGAATATACCCCAGCTTCTCTAGACCTAGAATATACCCCAGCTTCTCTAGACCTAGAATATACCCCAGCTTCTCTAGACCTAGAATATACCCCAGCTTCTCTAGACCTAGAATATACCCCAGCTTCTCTAGACCTAGAATATACCCCAGCTTCTCTAGACCTAGAAGATACCCCAGCTTCTGTAGGCCAAAAAGGTACCCCAGCCTCTGTAGGCCAAGAAGGGACCCCAGCCTCTGTAGGCCAAGAAGGGACCCCAGCCTCTCTAGACCTAGAATATACCCCAGCTTCTCTAGACCTAGAATATACCCCAGCTTCTCTAGACCTAGAATATACCCCAGCTTCTCTAGACCTAGAATATACCCCAGCTTCTCTAGACCTAGAATATACCCCAGCTTCTCTAGACCTAGAATATACCCCAGCTTCTCTAGGCCAAGATGGTACCCCAGCTTCTCTAGGCCAAGAAGATACCCCAGGTTCTCTAGGCCAAGATGGTACCCCAGCTTCTCTAGGCCTAGAAGATACCCCAGCTTCTGTAGGCCAAAAAGGTACCCCAGCCTCTTTAGGCCAAGAAGGGACCCCAGCCTCTCTAGACCTAGAAGATACCCCAGCTTCTCTAGACCAAGAAGATACCCCAGCTTCTCTAGGCCAAGAAGATACCCCACCTTCTCTAGCCCAAGAACGTACCCCAGCTTCTCTAGACCTAGAAGATACCCCAGTTTCTCTGGCCCAAGAAAGTATCCCAGCTTCTGTAGGCCAAGATGGTACCCCAGCTTCTGTAGGCCAAGAAGGTACCCCAGCTTCGCAGCAGTAGTGTTTGGAGTAAGTACCTGCTTGTTTCATGTCTCCAATCCTGATGATGTGAGGCCAGTGCTGCAGAGTTTTAGCAAAAAATGGATTTGTGACTCCGAGAATCACAGACGGCCTGGAGGCACAAGACACAGGAAGAGAAAGGACAATGTTGTAGTAGGGCCACAATAGACATCAGTTGGTTGAGAAGGAAGAATATGAATGCAATTAAACAGGCCTATTTTGTGTTGCTTAAAAAGTGACAGCAAATATATGGAGCTATCAACTTGTATTTTAACTCTTATTTTAACTAAATGTACGTTTTACTTGTGTTGTAAGGCAACCCAGTGTATCTAGAAAAGTGCCTAAGAAATCAAATGTATTATTATTATTATCATCAAGAAAACTCACAAGTCAGTGTAATTCTGTGTGTGAGAATTACTTTTTAGGTGAATTTGATTGGGAGACTGAGCCGGGGGGATAAACCTGGTCCAATAAAAGCAGACCCTGGTGTCCTTTGGGATAAATACTATTTTTATGAAGATGCAATAACACTAAAGAATCATCCACTTGTTACTTCAGTCAGAGGAATCCCACCAGTTCCTAGAATAACTAAACCAAAGTCTAGTTTTTTTTATAGTGCCCCAGTTGTTGTCGGGGGCTGGTTTTGTGTGGGTCAAACTCACGGCGCTTGGGTCCTGGTGGTGTACTCCTTGAACTCGCTGTCGTGGATGGTGAAGTACGGCCTGAAGTCGCTGCTGTATCTGAGAGGAGAGATGCAGCTGCAACAGAAACGGACATTATGAGGTTTTGTGTTTCGATAAAAATGCAGTAACACACCGTCAGGTTGAGCTGGCCATCTACTAACAAAGATAAGATAGACTTTATTGATCTCACTCTAGAGAAATGTACATGTCACATTTGGCATGGATAGGATCTCTCAGATATATATTGTGCAGCCCTACTCCCAGGTGTGTAAACTTTAAAGCGCAAATCTATACTTTTTTTGAGAGAGGCTGAACTGTGTGGAGCCGTACGGACCTGACCAGAGCCAACACCGTGTCCGAGGACTCGGCCGGAGACGGGGCCATCACCACCAGAGCCTCCCCCAGAAGGACCAGCTCCCACAGCATCTGGATGTGGAAGAACACGGGGTAGAAACATCTGCAAAAGACACGAGACGAGAGAGGAGCAGGACGTTAGTGTGTCACGATCACTGCTCGATATTTATCTACTGCTGTTTTTATGTTTATGTAGATTATCATGTTTAAGATTGTCATGATATTATGTGGGTTGTGAGGCGCTTTGTGTTGCTGTGTGTAGGAAAGGCGCTATACAAATATAACTTGATTAATAACTTTTTTTGTTTTGTTATTATTATTATTTTTGTTTTATTATTATTATTATTATTTTTATTTTATTATTATTATTATTATTTTTGTTTTATTATTATTATTACTATTATCATGATCATTATTATCATATTTTGTGTTTTTGTCTGTTTTGTTGTCTTTAATTATTAAATAAAAAATACATAAAAATAAAAGTTGATCGATTGATTCTCTGTTGCAGTTTCAGAATCAGAATCAGAATCATTTTTATTGCCACGTAAGTAACAGGAAGTCACAGACTTGGAAATTGCTCAGTGCAACAGTTAGAAAGAGATAATAAAAAATAACGAATAAAAAACACTTCTAAGGAATAAATTTAAATTTAAAACAGAGTTACAGTTACTATTTATTTACAATATACAAGTGCACATGGTGCACACAATGTAAGGTGACAGCAGTACAGTGAAGTAAAGTGACGTATGATGGGCAGTAAAGTGACTTTATAAAGGGCGGGGGGACAGGTTAAGAAGTGTTTCTTGGCATCTCTTTCCATCTGGTCGGAGGTTTTAGATTTGCTTCTTTATTGGGCTAAAGCTAGAAATGTTATACTTGCTAAAGTTAGAGATTTGATTTTATTTTAGCATAGAGTTCATTTATCATGTGCTGTGTGCTCCTCATTCCTACTGTTCTGTAACTGGTGATGCAACACTGACATTTCCCCACTGTGGGACGAATAAAGAATCTCTTAATCTTAATCTCAAATGTCAGTGTTGCATCACTGCTATAGAACAGTAGGAATGAGGAGCACACAGCACAAGTTAAATGAGCAATAGCTATAGTAATTGAAATAAACAAAATCTCTAACTCTAGCATCAATAAAAGTATAAAAACTCTTTCTTGAACATAATAAAAGTACAAAGTAAAGGTTTTATGATAATTATGTTAGATATTTATATATAGTGACATACGTTTGTGTAAGCCCTCAGTTGTACAGGGATTAGTCAAAGCAAAGGAAGGTTTTTCACCCATCATCTGTACTTGTTAGCAAGTTTTCCCGACGTTTCGTCCTCAATCCTGAGGACTTCTTCAGGGAGATTTATAACCTATGGGTGTGGTTAGCCACACCCTAATCCTGATACTAACTCATAAACAATCTAAGGTCTGTTTGATGTAGAAGGGAGCAGGTCTAACGATAGTGACAATAGTGACATGTGATAATAATATTTCAAGTTTCTCATCTCAAGTGAACAGCGATTTTTCTCCCATAAATGACTGTTACTGTCAAACAAAACCTGGAGCCTTTTAACTCATTGACTGCTATTGACGTATTTGTCTGAGACCCGCTATTCGACTGGGGATTACAGGACACAGTTTGCTAGAAGCAAACTTATTTTTGCAGATGGGAGAAGACAATTCAGTCATTCAGAATCTGGTTTCATATTTCACATAGTCTTAGGAAATAATATTCTGTGGGTCTTGAGGATCAGTGAAATAAATAAAAAACGGCCGGCAGTCAATGAGTTAAGTTTGTAAATGTTAGAATCTGTGTTGGTAAAGCCATAGTGTGTGTGTCGTCCTACCTGAACAAGTCCACCTCGTGAATGGTCGGGAGAACCATTGATACAGAACTGTCGCTCTGAAAAGACAAATGATAAAGTTGGAAATCAAGAAACAAAGTTGATGAACTTAATTTAAACTAAGACGATTCATTTTTACATGTTTTCCACAACATTAAACCACACTTTCTAAACTGTTTTTTCTTTTGAATTTAGACTAAAATACTTTACTTACAGGAATTAAGTCGTAATAATGCAGTAACTATTGAATAAATACAGATGTCAACAAATAAACTGTTGACATATTATGCAAAATTATGTTTTTTTGTGCTTTTAACCATATTAAAACATCGATCCCTCATCAAAAACAGAACACACTAATATCAGAAAAACCTGGCACAAACATGTAGCTCCGCCCCTTCAGTCTAAAAGCTCCCGTCTCAGTCTAATATTTAGTCTATGGTCTCAATCTTGTAATAATATGATGCAATTGTACCACAGTGGCATCTCAGACCACTTTTTTTACACTTTTTAACAAACGTATTACCCATAAATTAGTTTTGGAAATGGTTTGAGAGAAATTGCACAACAATTAGTAATTTTCCAATTTGGAAAATAAACAAATTCAACTCCTCCCCCTGGTGGTAGCATAGGGACTTACAGGTAGAAAGCATTTTATACCCCTCATTCTTGTTTTGAAATCCATTCTCTACTTAAGATATGATTTCACATTTTAAAACATAAAGGTTAATAGTAAATGTCATTAAAATAATCAGATAATTAAAACCTAACACCCCCCTTTGCTGCAATACCTCTAAGGGCCACCAGGGGAAGCACAGCCCTACGCTTTTACCTGAGAAGACTGGACGAGTTGAGAGGTCCCTGGTTTGTCGTAACAAGTTGGGATTCGAACCTGCAAATGCAAAAAATGCAAAAAGGAATGAAGGATTCTGATTATTCCCCTTTTGATTTTCAGTGACTCATTCAGTAAATGTGTGATGTTTACTTGCAGGGACAGGCCAATGAGAAGTCAGTACCTTAATGACCACTCCCATGATGGGGAGGGTGAGAACTCGTCCCGGGTGCGGCGTGGGCCAACGGTCGATGTCATTACATGCTGAAAATCAGGAGGGGGGAGATTAAAACTTATAATGTATTAGCAAAAGTGAACAGTAAAGCACTGTACAAAGTTATGGATTCATACTTTGTCAATATGGCTGGATTCAAGATTCAAGAATAACTTTATTGTCTTGTGCCTTCCATCCATGCTGTGCAAATGGACAATGATCAGTGAGTGGATGCAAAACAACTTCCTTCAGCTAAACGCAGACAAAACTGAAATGATTGTCTTTGGTCCCCAGAAACAAAGAGAGAGCGTCATCTGTCACCTACAGTCTCTCTGCCTAAAACCTTCAAACCAGGTCAGAAATCTAGGGGTAATACTGGACTCAGACTTAAATTTTAATAGCCACATCAAATCAGTAACATCAGCAGCTTTTTACCATCTAAAAAACATTGCCAGGATCAAAAACATAGTGTCTAAAGCAGACCTGGAGATTCTTATCCATGCATTTGTCTCCAGTAGGTTAGACTACTGCAATGGCCTGCTCACAGGTCTGTCCAAACAGGCTGTAAAACAGCTGCAGTACATTCAAAATGTAGCAGCTCGAGTCCTGACTAGAACCAGGAAGTACGACCACATTAGTCCTGACTAGAACCAGGAAGTACGACCAACTCGTCCCGGGTGCGGCGTGGGCCAACGGTCGATGTCATTACATGCTGAAAATCAGGAGGGGGGAGATTAAAACTTATAATGTATTAGCAAAAGTGAACAGTAAAGCACTGCACAAAGTTATGGATTCATACTTTGTCAATATGGCTGGATTCAAGATTCAAGAATAACTTTATTGTCTTGTGCCTTCCATCCATGCTGTGCAAACATAGACTGTGTATAGATGGACAATGATCAGTGAGTGGATGCAAAACAACTTCCTTCAGCTAAACGCAGACAAAACTGAAATGATTGTCTTTGGTCCCCAGAAACAAAGAGAGAGCGTCATCTGTCACCTACAGTCTCTCTCCCTAAAACCTTCAAACAAGGTCAGAAATCTAGGGGTAATACTGGACTCAGACTTAAATTTTAATAGCCACATCAAATCAGTAACATCAGCAGCTTTTTACCATCTAAAAAACATTGCCAGGATCAAAAACATAGTGTCTAAAGCAGACCTGGAGATTCTTATCCATGCATTTGTCTCCAGTAGGTTAGACTACTGCAATGGCCTGCTCACAGGTCTGTCCAAACAGGCTGTAAAACAGCTGCAGTACATTCAAAATGTAGCAGCTCGAGTCCTGACTAGAACCAGGAAGTACGACCATATTAGTCCTGACTAGAACCAGGAAGTACGACCACATTAGTCCAGTTCTCAGGTCTCTGCACTGGCTTCCTGTGGCTCAGAGAATAGACTTTAAAACAGCTCTGCTTGTTACAAGTCTCTCCATGGCCTCGCACCAAAATATATTAGTGACATGTTAGTCCCATATAAACCAGCCCGGACTCTGAGGAGCACAGGGACTGGACTCCTGTTAGTGCCCAGAGTCAGAACTAAACATGGGGAGGCTGCTTTTCAGATTCATGCTGCTAAAATCTGGAACAATCTTCCTGAAGATGTGAGCCTCCTCTCTGACAATGTTTAAAACCAGGTTAAAAACGGTTCTGTTTAGCTGTGCATACAACTGAGGGATTTTATATTTATATTTTTATCTTTCTTTTTAATGTTCTGTGATTATTTATGATTTTAATGCTTTCTTGTTTTGTTCAGCACTTTTAGTTGCCTTGTGTATGAATTGTGCTATACAAATAAACTTGCCTTGCCTTGCCTAGATGGACAATGCTAACCCGCTAACTCAACGACGCCTAATAGTGAGGTGTTCATGGACAAAGTTTTGCTCTAGCTCTAGCTCCTATTGGCTAACACTTAAAAGTAAACTGGTTTCTCTCTTACTCACCATTTCAGGCTTAAATAACAGATGGTTTGGCGCTTTCTATGATCCTGGTGTTTATATGTTGTAATTGTCTTTGTGAATCCAGATATGAGAATAAGAATTGACTGATCAGATACTTTCATTTACAGTGGAAAAGCCAAAGCAACCATCAAAGCAACACGTCTGACAGCGCAAAGCTAATCCTGCTAATTGGCTCCAGCTATCTTATGTTCAAATCAGCTTCTTCAGCACTTGGTCAGTCCAGTCCTAATATAAAGTCTATGGTTAACATGCCAAGATCAATAGTTATACAATACAAATATTAGTAAAAGTCTAGTCAAAGAAGTCTATCCATCCATCCATTTTCTTCCCCTTAATCCATTTCTGGGTGGGGGGGTGGCAGTCAGAGCTGCACCCAGTCACAGAGCACCAGCCCCTCACTGATCCTCCTGCAGGTGGTGAGTCCACAGGAGCTGAGATCGTTCAGTGGGGGCTTCAGGCAAAGTGGGGTTAAGTGTCTTGCCCAAGAACACAACGCCAGCAGTCATCAGTGGGAGTCGTGAAGTAGTCTTATGGTGGGCTCGAACCCACAACTTTCAGGCTCAAAGACCAATGCTCTACCAACTGAGCCACTGTCAAAGAAGTCAAATTTCTTAAAATGTGACGGCCGACGATCCTGATTAGACGCAGGCACAAAATATGAGACAAATTAAGTTAAAAGAATAGAGGAGAGCAAGGTAGCAAAGCAATTCATAAAGAAAATGGTCTTTTGGGTAAAATAGGAAATGTCTTAGTCCGGTTCACAAATTTCTACTGGTAATTGTATTAGTGTTTAGTATTAGTAAATCTTTTTATTTATTTTTTTTATTTTTTATTTTTTTAACTTTATTACATTTTAATACAATTACAAGAATGAAAACATAAAAGAAAGAAACAAAACAAAATTATATTCGTTAGTTATATTAGTATTAGTAAATCTAATAATTATTCAGTGGAAGAGAGTTGGAGCACTGACCGGCTTCCAGACAGGGCTCCTGCTTCTCAAAGTACTCTGGGGCCAAGATCTTCAGCAGAGAGTGGAAGAAGGTAACGTATGGGAGTTTACTGATCAGCACCAACGACTGAAACAACAACAAGAATGAGGATTAGAGAGGAAATGAGTGGCTTTCTTTAGATCTAAATAACGTATGAAAACATGAAAATACCACTTTTCATTTACCTTCTTGTGATTTATTAGTTCTTACTCTGACACGTTAATTCTGCGCAATTTGTGATTCTGTATATACAATCTCAAATCCATTTCACAGCTATTTTTTCACAAATAAACAAAGTTGTCAGAGCAGAAGCAGAATGATTAACACATGACACCTAGAATTTGACTAGCATTCCCAGAGTCATCATTTTGACTGCATTGAATTCAGAGAAATAACCCAAAAATGTTTATAAAAAGTAATTTATAAGGGGTTCTCTTAGCCTTATTTCAGTCTATTATCAAGTGCAAAAAAGGGTTAATATTTAACCCCGAATAATTATTAGATTTACTAATACTAAACACTAATACAATTGGGCGGCACGGTGGCTGAGTGGATAGCAGTCTCGCCTCTCAGCCAGAAGGTCCTGGGTTCGAATCCCGGTCGGATCAGGGCCTTTCTGAGTGGTTTCCGTGTCTGCGTAGGTTTCCTCCGGGTACTCCGGTTTCCCCTACCACTAAAAATATGTACAATAGGTCTGGCATGCCCCTTGTGTACTGGCGACCCCGCTCCCATCTCTGTGTGGAGTGGGAGACAAAATGCCCAAAAATTAACAATTGTAAACCGCTTTGAGACTCAGATTTGCAGTGAAAAGGCGGTATATAAATAAAGATTACTTACTACTAAAGATTACTTACTTACTTACTTAATATTAAAGATGCAGTCTGATTTTTTCCAGACGCATTTCTTTAAATATTGTGGGAAAATGTCCCTAAACTCTAAAAGTAGTCAAGTTATCATGTGTTTTCAAATAGTAATGGAATTGACCAGTTGGGGCCACGGCTAAGCTAACAAAATCCCTTACTACTCCTTTACTTGAAATACAGCAAAATAGTTTGTTCCACGGCTAAAGCTAAACACTAAATGCTAACCACTGCAAGTAAACACTGTGTTGCTTTGGTAACTAGCACTTGCACTTCTCTGGTGGAAAACCAACGTGAATCAACTCAGAACCAGGACTAGCACCAAGAACAAAAAGCTTTAATTTGCATTGTTTGCTAGTTTTTCAAAAATAAAACAATTTCATAAAAGACATGACTTCCTTTACATACTCCTGAAATTACCTAATTACCTAAAAATAAACCACAAACAGATACAGAAAAAGTGACATGCACCGAGTAATCACAATTCCAAAAGTAAAAGCCGTCAAATTGACTGCCCCGGGAGTCCTAGTGTTATAAAGCTTCACCACTCAGATAACTAACATATTCTTGTCCGTTCAAACCTTTTGGAAGTATCCCCTCTTCAGCGTCTTGTCTCGCACCTGCCTGAAGTAAACATATCCATAGTAGTGGCCCTGCTCCCTCTGAAACGCACACACAACTCATCAGAACAGAACTATTTCATTCAAACACTGTATGTAGAGCAGCAGTCTGAGGAAACATCAGCATCCTCTCATTTCACGGTGCAACCTAAGATACTTTCAACTATATTACCTATTTTTATGATTTTCTGGGTTTTTTTTTGTTTTTTTTTATGGTGGAATGACGCCCAGTTCAAATATAAATTATTGTTTTGCCCCAATAAATCTGCAGTTTGTGAAGACAATTTTGAAAGGATAGTCACAGGAAGTAGATTTGAGTTTCATAACTGCTGACGTCATCTTCTTCAACCAGGAAGTAGAATTGTAAACAGCCGTTCAAATTTCAAATCCACTGAATTTTTATGAAAAAGTGGTCTAGACACCGGTACCATACACCGTAGAGTGGGAAGAAATTGTAAATCAAGGAGAGAGATAAAGCTTTGTGTTGATACTACAATACTGAATTCTGAATCTATAGAAATATCCCATTTCCGATACCACGGCGATAATCTAAAACATTTTTTAGACAATGAGCAGCAACTTTAAACATAAACAATACAACATTCTAGCACTTTATTTTATAAATGGTACAAATCCTTAAAAAACTATTAGACAAAAATCAAATTTGTATGAAATCATGTGTATTTTTCATCAGCATTTCTAAAATGAGTATTTAGTTTGAAAATCAGTTTTAGTATCGATCATCAGACATCCGATACTTTTGACAACCTCTCTCTCCACACACAATTTTAAAAAACGCTATTTCACACCTTGAGACACGGCGGTGCGTCGCGGTCCGCGTTCTCCAGGAAGCATCCCAAAGAGGACTTCCTGTTGGAGCCCTGACGGAAGCGGAAGCAGAACTGTGTGTCGCCGAGGCAACCTGTGGAGAGGGGAACGGGAGGGATACGGTTACTGTGGCAACTGTCAATATAGCAAATAGACAGGATGAAATTGCGTGTCCTTCACTTATGGTGGACATCACAGCCGCCGCAATTATTTGAGGTTATGTATATCAGGCTCGGCAGATCAGAATCCAATAACTTTGTTTTCGTGGTTTATGGCTGGGATACTTCAGATGTGAGTTTTTTATAAGTTACAACATGCAAAAACAATCCTCAAAGTAGTGCCTAGCTTGAAAAACAGTTTGATTGTATCACTGTTTTACAAGCATAGACCTTTGGGGATCTGTCACATCTATAGCCAAACCTTTTCAGACAGAAAAGTGACATAAAAACATGAGGGAGGGCGTCTGTCTCTCACAGGGCTCTTTCTTGCCAATTTGCAGAGAACCCCACATTCTCTCATTTAATCAATTTATATTCACTTTGAAAAGACCCTTTCAGTTAGGAGAGGCAGCCCAGCTTTAACTGACAGATATAGAAAAACAACTATGAACTTGTATTCTCTTGTATCAGGTACAAGTAGATAACAATGTCATTACCTGCCTTATCTGATGAAGCAGGACGTTACCGTTGAAACATGCTAATCGTAGTTATCCCATTAATATCTGATGTAACAAACACATTTTTCTTATCTTAAGCTATAAACTACAGCTGAAGGACAATTGGTGATATTTGAAGCAAAGTGAAAAATCTACTGTTATTGATCTTAGTCTGTTCGAATGCCAGACAGGAAGTGCCGGAAAAGACACGGAGGAAGTGGATGTCGGACTCATGTTTTGTTCCCTCAACATGAGCTCTGATTGTTTACAGACAGTTACAGACAATTAGTGTTTATTCTCACCTGAGTTTGAGTCAGGAAACGACAGGTAGCAGATGCTTGTTTTCTGGAGAGAGAAAAATATGTAAGAATAGATCAAGTACGTCATAATCTAAATGTATAGTTTAATTTGTTAGTACTTACCTCCTTCTCTGATAGTTTGGAGTGATGAGGGTAAATCACCTGCAAATAAAGTGAAAAAAGGTCAGACTTAAAAGATTAGAGTCATACAAAATTGACACTCTGCAAAAAGTTCAGTCCTTTTAAGTTTTCTTGTGTGTGCTTACTCAACGGACCAGAAATCATCATAATAAAGACAACTGACCCCAAAATAGTTGAACCTTTTGTGCCATGTTTAAAAATGAATTGAAAAACACACACACAAAACAACAATAAGCCTCTAGAGTAAAGAGCCAAAACAAACTATTTTATATTTTAACGTCTCACAATTCATGGAATGGAAAAGTTCGACTCGAAAAATCTGTATCGTATCTGTTAAAACATCTATATTCATCTCCAATTTAGATTGTAGCTCACCCTTGTTATGATTGCCCTGCAACAAAGCACATTCAAGGTTTGGGAACTTGAAAAGATCAAATAAGTTAGAGGCAGTGAGGTGAACAATTAGACGATTACGATAATTGGTCTATAATGAATGCGCTCTTGCTCAGTCTCAGTTTTATCACAGCATCGTAGACATCTATCTATCTATAATGACACTAGCTCTTTTAAAACACTGAATGGGGGAGTGTTTGAAACTTTATTATTACAGCTCACATTGAACAATTATCGACTGTCACGTCTCGTTCACACTTGTTATTCTGCATTTGCCTGAAGGCTAATACGGTCACACAAAACAGTCGTAAATAATGTTTGTTTATTTCCAGGACGGTAAAGGTACACACTGAGAGGAAGGGTTTTTAAGAATAGTTTGCATTGACAGTGAGGTGGAAGGTGACGCAGTTCAAAAGTAAAAGACATTTTAGGAATCTACTTTGACAGTGTAAACCGCTTTTACTTTCACTACTGTTTGAGCAGGTATACAACCATTTAAACAGCTGTATAAATTGCAGTTTTTTTTTTTAGCATTTATTATGATCATGTTGACTATAAATATACACAATGCTTTATCAATATATGCTTCGATGTAAAAAAAAAAAGTACTTTTTTTTTTTAAAGGGAGGTAGGTTACTTTTACTTAAAGTTGGGTAACGTAATTTTTGCTTACAATAATACATATTTGCAACAGAAAGAGACTTGTAAAGGTGAAACGTTGTGAACAAATCAGAAAACACGTCATCTTTTATATGGCTGGAAGAATGAGCCATGCAAGTCACCATTTGACTTTTTGGGCAGAGTCAGGGTCCTCTCTTTTTCATGTTTCTGTCTGAAAAAGCTGATCTAAGAAGTGACAGAGGCCAAACATACATGAATGCATGGGAAAACTAGTGATAGAACCAAACTGCTTTGAGAGTATGGAACTAAGATAAGATCAGACGAGAAAGTTACACGTTTTTGTATTTTTGTAAGACTAGTATTTTTAACATAATTTCTTTTCTTCCTGTATCTTTACTTCTTCCACTAATGCACATTTTAAAGCTGAGTACAGGAAACCTCATGGGAACTGGAGTTATTGCCCCAACACAGCCACAGGTTCACAGGGAGAGCAGTGATCGCGTCTGTCCCGTGTCCCGAAGCCCTATCCCCGGGCTGTCGCTCACCTCCACGGCCTGTCCCAGCTCCAGGTCGAAGCCCACCACGCAGATGCAGTGGAGCCAGGCGGAGAAGCGGTCCCAGGGCAGCAGCACGGCGGCCTCCTGCGGCTCGTCCTCCGCTCCAGGGCCCGCGGTCAGAGTCATCTCCTCCGCCGGGGAGATGCTGGCGTCCTCGTCCAAGTCCTCCGGGTCCTCCAGCAGCTCCTCCGGGCCTTGGAGAGCCATGAGGCCGGCCCCACGGTCAGCTCGAGCCCGGGTGAAGTTTGTGCAAGCTCCTGGCAGCGGCGTAAGGGGAGTTTGTGGAGTTCTTCTTGCCCGGTTCGTGGAGCTTTTCTCGCAACAACAGAGAGCTGCCTCAGCTAGCTCTTAGCATACACCCGGGTACGTCACACGTACAAGTTTGACGTCATCACGCAGCCCCTAGTCAAAATATGCTCCATGCTCCAGTCACCACTTTGCTTTCTTTTTTGTCCCTAACTTTCAGACCACTAAAATGGAACTATGGAATAAAATCGATGTAACTAGTACCTAAGTGTCTTTCCTAATGACACAACGACAGTTTGGCACTTTACAGAGGTCTCCCATCACAGTATGACCTGTAACATAGCCAAGTGAAGTCTCTTACTATAATTTAGATGGAAAAGCCATACTCTGGAACATTCCAAGCAAAACAACAATATTCAGATTGACCTAGGCAAAAAGTAAACCCTGCCCCAGGGAAGTGTAATGCATTTGCATTATTTGTTATCATAAATTATTATTATGTTGTATGTTTTGTACATAGAGATACAAAACATGTTTACATAAATTCAAACTAAGGATGAAAAGGAAACACTGAAGAAGAACGTGGAGGAATCTTGTTCATTTCTCTGAAAAGTGCTCATGCTCAAGATATATATTTTTTTAATTGTCAGTGTATTACAGAACAGTAGGAATATAAGGAGCACTCAAAGTACAATAACCGTGATAAACATGATAAACAGCTGTCAATAATAGAGAATAATTCAAATCTTTAGGCTGAAAAATCTTTGCTTAAGTATCTTAAAAATAATAAGTCCAGTTCACCAGTAGCAGTTCCAAACTGTAATGCAGCATATGATAGAATAGAATAAATAATCAGTGGATGCAGTGATTTGAGAACAATGGATGCATTGAGACCCCATATTGCACATATTTACATTTCCTTATAGTATTTTAAGTATTAGTCCATATAGGTTAAAGGCACATAAAGAGTCAGCCATGTTCAACCATGTTCATTGTCGTCTGGAAGGAAAGAGCTGCAGGAACCGTTATTTACACACTTTGAGACTATCATAAACTAAATTTTAGTGCTAATAAACTTTAACAAGGAGGTGGTCGCTAAAGAAACAGACCTATAAAACTTTTTTTTTTGCCAGAAAGACTGCCCCAAATATATGTCTTTCTGGCATATATTTAAATAAAGAGAGGTGTGGAATGATAGTGATGAAAATAGAGCTTAGAACCAAAACCTGAACGAGGCCATCAGTGTGTGAGTGCTTTATACTGGTAAAAACCACCCTCCACCCAAACCCACAAAGACCACTGCATCGAGACAATAATCCTATTGTACACTCAAGGGGAACGTCTGTACATGTAATTAAATACTGAAGGTGTTGCAAATCAGTGAGTCTTAATTGGCTCTCATTAAACATATTCAGCATATAGACAGTCTATGATTCAGCACCATAGTGGACAGTATGATTCATAATAATACATATAATTGTAATTAAAAAAACAAGGGGTAAAAGAGATTAACCCTGAATTGAAACGACCCACCTAATCTTTCATGTAAGATGGACCATCTGCTCAAATGCAGGTCCATTAAGAGTAACCTTTAATTGTCCTTCAATGGATGAAATAAGAAGCAAACTAAACCTGAAAAGATGCACATTTTCCAAACACAAGAGATTCAAGCTACTATTGTGAAAAATCCTTTTCAGCTCACTTTGGTCACGTGTTCGTTGTTGATGAGGCAAGTGCCATTAATGTTAAAGTCTGTGAGAAACATCCATCCATCCATCCATTTTCTTCCGCTTTATCCGTTGCCGGGTCGCGGGGGCAGCAGTCTAAGCAGAGACGCCCAGACTTCCCTATCCACACACACCTCCTCCAGCTCGTCCGGGGGGACCCCAAGGCGTTCCCAGGCCAGCTGAGAGACATAGTCCCTCCAGCGTGTCCTAGGTCTCCTCCCGGTGGGACGTGCCCGGAACACCTCCCCAGGAAGGCGTCCAGGAGGCATCCTGAACAGATGCCCGAGCCACCTCAACTGGTTCCTCTCGACGTGGAGAAGCAGCGGCTCTACTCCGAGCCCCTCCCGTGTGACCGTGCTCCTCACCCTATCTCTAAGGGAGCGCCCAGCCACTCTGCGGAGGAAGCTCATTTCGACCGCTTGTATCCGCGATCTCGTTCTTTCGGTCATTACCCACAGCTCATGACCATAGGTGAGGGAGGGAACGAAGATTGACCGGTAAATCGAGAGCTTCGCCTTTCGGCTCAGCTCCCTCTTCACCACAACGGTCCGATACAGCAACCGCATCACTGCGCACGCTGCACCGATCCGCCTGTCAATCTCACGCTCCATCCTTCCCTCACTCGTAAACAAGACCCCGAGATACTTGAACTCCTCCACTTGAGGAAGGACTTCCCCACTCACCCGGAGAGGGCAAGGCACCATTTTCCGGTCGAGCACCATGGCCTCGGATTTGGAGGTGCTGATTCTCATCCCAGCCGCTTCACACTCGGCTGCAAACCGCCGCAGTGCATGCTGCAGGTCCTGGTTTGTTGGAGCCAGCAGGACGACATCATCCGCAAAAAGTAGAGATGAAATCCTGTGGTTCCCAAACCGGACCCCCTCCGGCCCCACCATGGAGGCTGCCAACCACCTTGGTGACCTCGGCCAGGGAGCTGGAAGTATCCGCCCCAACATCCTCAGCCTCTGCCTCCTGGACGGAGGACGTGACGGGGGGATTGAGGAGAACCTCAAAGTATTCCTTCCACCGCCCGACAATATCCCCAGTCGAGGTCAGCAGCCCTCCACCCGAACCATACACGGTGTTGGCAAAGAACTGCTTCCCCCTCCTGAGGCGCCGGACGGTTTGCCAGAACCTCTTCGAGGCCGACCGATAGTCATGCTCCATGGACTCTCCGAACTCCTCCCAGTCCCGGGTTTTTGCCTCTGCAACAGCCCGGGCCGCGGCACGTTTGGCCTGCCGGTACTGGACAGCTGCCTCAGGAGTCCCCCGAACCATCATGGCTCGATAGAACTCCTTCTTCAGCCTGACGGCATCCCTTACTGCCGGTGTCCACCACCGGGTTCGGGGATTGCCGCCGGGACCAGCACCAGAGACCTTGCGACCACAGCTACGAGCCGCCGCATTGGCGATAGAGGAAGAGAACATGGTCCACTCGGACTCGATGTCCCCCTCCTCTGCCGGGACCTGGGAGAAACTCTCCCGGAGGTGTGAGTTGAAAGTCCGTCTGACAGGGGCCTCAGCGAGACGTTCCCAGCAAACCCTAACTACACGCTTGGGCCTGCCAGGTCTGACCGGCCTCCTGCCCTGCCAGCGGATCCAACTCACGACCAGGTAATGATCGGTTGACAGCTCCGCCCCTCTCTTTACCCGAGTGTCCGAGACACGCGGTCGAAGGTCAGATGATACGACAACAAAGTCGATCATCGACCTCCGGCCTAGGGTGTCCTGGTGCCACGTGCACTGATGGACACCCTTGTGCTCGAACATGGTGTTCGTGATGGACAGGCCGTGACTGGCACAGAAGTCCAACAACTGAACACCGCTCGGGTTCAGATCAGGGGGGCCGTTCTTCCCGATCACCCCTCTCCAAGTGTCACTGGCATTTCCCACATGGGCGCTGAAGTCCCCCAGGAGAATAACGGAGAAACATTTGATGCCAAACTACATCGTCATTATGGATATAACAGTCACAACATCTGAAAACTTTGAGCACTCCTGGACAAATCTCTAGCAAAAGACAATGTTTACTAAACAGTGAATTTAAGCAGGAGGAAAGTGTATGTGTAGATGAGTGGACTGTAGGTTATAAAACTTATCTTATCGACTGCCCTCTGAGCCGAGTTCACGTCCTCTGCTCCATTTAATCATATCTGCTCCAAACACAAACTCAAAATGGTCTACTTATTGAGAATGTGCTCAGTCAGGTATTTGCACCCACATGTGAAAGATCTATTTTATATTTTAGTTAGATGTTGTTCTGTGAACAGGAGGGCAGCCTGTCCTTACTGCGCCCATTGAGTGAGGAAGTTGTATTCTGGAATTATATAAACATCAAACAAATTGGGCAAAGTATTTCCTTGTGTGTATGTTATATAGTCAAAGAAAAAATATTGACTACTCCTTGTGTAATGTCTTTTTGTTATGAAACAAAAAGGTATCTACATGTAATATATATTTCTATAAACAATGTCCCAAATAATTGTCTACATTTATTTGCTGTATTTTTTGAGCGTTTACATTTTGGTACATGTTTGTGAAAAATGTCCCAGCCCTTGCAGATTTGAGCAGAGGAGGTGGGACAGATCAGATTCAGCCTGTTCCTTAGAGGGACAGATGAGACAGAATCAATGCAGAGAGAGACAGGGTTACAGTAAATCAAGAGACCCACGAGGTCTCTGGAGCTCCATGGGTCAAATATGCAGAAAAAGAGCTGTACATTTAAGTGCACTGTCACAGTTGAAAATGCGCGGTCTTTGTAGAGGACATTCAAATTGAAAGGACGTATGTCTTGAAACAATGTGGAAAAAAAGAATACATACAGAATCATGTTCAGACTTTGTAGATGAGCAAGAGCTCTGTTTTTGCCACCATACTTTTTTTGTTTGGCACCAGATCTAAATCAGATGTAAACCTAGGTCCAAACCAGTTCTACACCAAGACTTCACCCAGCCATAAAACAATGTCATATTAGGTTGCCTTTTAATAGGACTAAATGTGACAGTTGTATGCCCAAACTGTAAAACAATAATAACAATGTACGAATCTAGATATTGTGTGACATTGGTATCTAAAACAGAAGACTAGTGAATTCATAGATAATATTTGTCTTGCAAAAATGAATAAATAAAGTAAAGTTTATGCTCTTTTCAACATCAATGACAACTATGTCATAAATGCAATTTTCCTTGCAAATATTTCTTGTATTAATTAATTTACTAAATATTTCAACAGTCTATGATTTCAATATTGTCTGATTTGGGGTAAAAAAAAAGAAGTTATTTTTATTTATGGAAAATACCTTGAAAGTATGCTACCATAGAGAACAAATAAAAGTACATTCAGAATGAAAATGGACACGCAGGACACGAGAGTACATAACACCATGAACGCATCTCAATGACAGTTTGGAGAGGTCCTTGAACGCACCACAGAAACAGTATGGCGGTCGCGGCTGGAGCACGTCAACTTCTCTCAGATTCCTTCCAGAAACCCGTGTAAAAGCGGTGGATTTCTACCTAAACTGCAGTTGCAAACCTCTGCCACACTGAGGAGGACTGAGTGGCGGAGACCTGCGGGGCTCCTGGGGGGACTCACGGCCGGGTATCTGCGGTTGTTGCGAGGCGAGAGCAGCCGCAGTGAAGTCCAGAAACTCCCCTGATTTAGTGGCAGTTAGCCGGGGCTAGCTAGCTCCGCTCACCGCTAGGCTAACGCTACTCTGCGGTCCCTTTCTCGGCTGTGCTACGGCAATATCTGGGATTTACCTGGGTAATTAATTACACTTGGTGACAGGGATGGCAGTTGGGCTCCAGTTGGTTAGCGAGCTGATTGAGAAGGGCAAGGGGACAACATTTGGACTTTTTGTGATAAGTTTGTCATTAGCCTAGCCTAGCCTAGCCTAGCCTGCTGCTGGTACAACGCCAAACCCAGGCGCTAACTACCTTTCGCACCCAGTCTACTGCTCCTACTAGCATTTAGCCACACTGTCAGACTTGAAGCTCGTCTGGCTAAGTCTCTGCAGGTTACTTGAGTTGTTATCACATATTTGACGTGTGGGAGTAACGTAATTTCTGTCTCAGGGCTGGCTGGTTAAGGTGTTGATACCAGGGAGTGGTGAGATTAGCCAATATTCCGAGTGTTGTGACCACTGCTTAGGCACATTGACATGAAGATTAGGTTAACTTAATCCAAGGCGTGCTAACTTGAAAGACGTGCATGGGGCGGTGAAGCACTTACTGTCACCAATTGATTGTATTTCTTCTAGCTTTACATTAAATTGTTATTTATGTGTGGTAAATTGTATGGGTCGGTAGCGTGAGGTTTGATGGACGTGGAGGGCTGTCAGTGCTATCCTCAGTCATGTATGTCTTGACACATGGCACCACGGCCTGTACATAGTGCCTAGTCTTGTATTGCTGCTTAAAGGTTTAGGTATGTAGCTTTAGTGGCGCTAAAAATTGTAAGCCTTGGACTTAAGTCTGCTGTCCCAGTACTCTATTAATCCCTAGATAATTACCCACTCAGCTGCAACAGTTGTCCATTTGACCAAATTAATTAGGCTTCACAGCCACCTCAGAAGTCTAACGGTGCTAGTTGAGTGTCTTTGGTAGTATAAATGATACATGTTACATGTTTTTGTATGTGAGTTTGGAACTAAAAGTCAGACCTTTTCAATTAATAAGTAACAAGTAGGTTCAATCTGTCACTGAATCTGAGGAATGTGCTCCAAACGGTGGACAATGTGCACAAGTTAGTGCCTGGAGGATTTATCGGACGCTCTAGACTTGAGGAAGGGGACCCCGAGGAGTGGGATTTGTTTTTTTTTTCTTGTGGAGAGACCAAGCAGCCACTCTGGAGCAGGACGGCCTTTCGTTGGTGTCTGGTTGGAGCAACACGCTGAAGTCCAAACCGATGCCGTCTGCGCTGGCTGTGTTCACGTGCCGACCAAACTCGCACCCGTTCCAGGAGCGTCATGTTTACCTGGACGAGCCCGTCAAGATCGGCCGGTCTGTGGCCCGCTGCAGACCCGCCCAGAGCAACGCCACTTTTGACTGCAAGGTCCTGTCCCGGAACCATGCGCTCGTCTGGTTCGACCACAAGACCGGCAAGGTAAGAGGAGGACACACACACACACTAGATAGGAGAGGGTATCGTGAATGTCATTTTGGAGGTGTAAAGTTCACTACTCATTCAGAATTTGGCATGTTTTCTGCAGTAAAAACAAATGGTTTGATGCAATACTGGAAAATTATCTGCATATCAATCGGACACTAAAGCAGCAGCAGCAAGTAGTGAACCCTAAAGATTATTTTTATGAGCTAGAGACAACTCCTTTGAATAATCTGTTAGTTATTTATTAGCATGTTATTTTTACCTACACTTTGATGCAGAATAAGTGATGCCACTGGAGGATATTCACATTGATACATGTCAAGGAACAAAACTTATTGTTAGACATTCATTGCATTTGTTACAGCTGCAGATTTACAGTTCACAGTGTTGGTCTTCTCATTTAGACTGGCAATTATTTCCCATAAAATTCCAAGGTTTTGCATTATTGCTGTTTTAGTGCCCGGAAATTATTACTTTGTGTGGGACATCAAGAGGATGGTAGGTCCAAGACTGAGTGGTGGGTGCTGTTTCATGCTTCTTGGCTTCATTTACGAGTTTTCACATCAACCCAACACAGGAATAATGCCCATATAGAATCCTCCAGCTCAGGTCCTGATCATGTCATGTTGTGGAGATGGGTCCTCATTCCTCAAGCACACTGGTCCTAACAGGTGTCTTTTTGGCCAATTAGGATGGACAATATACTGGACATTTTTAATCGGGGCGACAGTAGCTCAGTTGGTAGAGCATTGGCCTTCAGGCCTGAAGGTCGTGGGTTCAATTCCCACCTTGACACCTTCTCCACCGACTCCCACTGACGACTGCTGTTGTTGTGTCCTTGGGCAAGACACTTAACCCCACTTTGCCCAAAGCCCCCACTGAAAGATCAAGGCTATGCTCACACTCGGAGAGCAGCCGTCCTCCTGTGGACTCACCACCTGCAGAGGGTCAGTGAGGGGCTGGTGCTATGAGACTTGGGTGGCATCTCTGATTGCCACCCCCCTGACCCAGAAATGGATTAAAGGGAAGAAAATGGATGGATTTTTAATTGCCATATTTCAATCTTGATCTTTATAAATAAAAATCAACCAATCATCACTCACCATCACAATTCAAACCTTTTAATTCCTCAGCCCTCTCATAATTTCTCGACTTTTGGCTCACTGTCGCCTCTGCAGTCAGAGAGAACGTGAATGAATTTGTCGTCTGCCAGTGTGCGTCTCTGCGCCAGAGTCTGGAGTCGACTGATTCCAAGTTCATTGACAGGATGAGCTGAGGAACAGGTCCGACAGGAGTGTGTTTGTTCCTGTGGCTCTCAATCACTTTACTCCACTCACCATTTTGCAACAGCTGTAAAATATACAAGAGTTCATTTCCCCGCTTTTTGTTTTTGTTGCTCAATAAAATTATATTGTTGGCGAAGAAGAATTGGAAAGGCTGAACCAATTTTAGGTAATACAGGGCAAAGCGGTTCAGAATTTAGAAAAGTAAATGTGTTAAATTTGTAGAGACATTTTTGAATAGTTGCAGATCATCTATGACACAGGCTCATTATAAAATCAGAATATTTTAATTCTCAATATTTAGCTAAAACAGGGGACAATGCACTTGTGTATTCAGTCCCGCTGTTTGGATCGCCCTTTTTATATGAAGTCAGCCACCAAGATCCTCCAAGTATTTTGTGGTTATTGTGCAATGGGAGGAGCTTAATAGCAACATGCATGAACTGCTGTACAAACCATGAATAATTTTGCATCATATCTGCCTTTTTAATGCATTCCGCAAGAGCTGAAACCAATCAGATTTCTGTTGCAGTGTTAAAACTCTTCTCAAGCCGAATATATGGCATGATCCAAACCTGTACTACTCTAAACCTCTGGCCATCATTAATAATTCTGCCGTGTTTGAGCAGGTGTGTCCCAGTTATTCTCATACAGACCAGAGCATGAGTCAGCACAGGGGAAAGTGCTGTGTCAAGACTGTCCCTGTTTAAATGCATGGAGTAGACTGTAGATCACACCGCTCAGTTCATAAAGGGCAGAGTGTGTGCGTGCGTGTGTGCGTGTGCGTGTGTGCGTGCGTGCGTGTGTGCGTGTGTGTGAGAGGGAGAGACACGCAACTGATTAAGTCCGAGGATAACGATGCTCTAAATAATCTGACACCACTCTCAGTTGCATTGGAGCTGCAGAGGAAAGGAGCAGTCAACCAGAATGACAGTTAAGGTTGAGAAATCTTCCTCAACAGTAATGTTCTATAAAATGTGGATTAAGGATGTAGATAAATGGATAATTTGATAGTTTATTCCCTGTAAGAGAAATTCAGGTGTCCAGCACTAGAAAGACATACAACTTAGGGCTGGGCGATAAAACGATAACGATATATATCGCGATAGACATGTGTTCGATATCAATAGAGAATGGGGTCGATAGAATGTTCGATAGTTTAACTTAACTCCGTCAGGAAAAACAGGAAGAAAACACCGGAAGTAAAGCCGACTCATAAGCGCATGGCATTGTGGGGGATGTAGGCAGAGGCTTCTCGACCAATAACAGCCAAGCAGGAACCGCAAAACTTTCTGGGAAATGCAAAAACAACAACAACCGCACCATGCGTAGCGTCCATGGATCTATAGCTCGTGTTTCAATGCCGTGTCAATGGTTATGCACGTACGTGCGCAGAATAACATGTGCGGCGGCAGAGGCAGTGGACAGACACGATGTATTCGGCGAAAGCAAGAGATTAACTTTTTCCTCGGGAAGCACGGAGCGGTCACGGGGACACAAGACCCTCAAACAGCTAAACCAGGAGCTAAACCAGGAATAAAAAAACAGGATTAAACCAGGACTAACGACGAGGGACACAGTGTGAACATATTCCTCCAGCCTCATCGCCCCGTGACTGTAAACAAGGCTGCTAAGGTTGGTTAGCCCACACCACAAATATATTTATTTAGGTTAAAAAAAAAAAAAACTCAATATATATCGTTATCGACCGATATGAATGACTTATATTGTGATATAGTTTTCAGCCATATCGCCCAGCCCTAATACAACTACATCATTCTAAAAGTTACTAATAATAGTAAGAAAGTGGTGTAGCCGCTGGATGGAGCAGGACACGCGACAGCAGCAGAGGTGGAGTAGCCGCTGGTGATGAGCTGCTTCCTCTCCTCTGGTTGATATATGCAGAGTCTGCTTGGTTTGGACCATTTTCTATGCTCTGGTTCAGAGTGAAATGTTCAGTAACAATTGTCTGCCTAAGTTATCTGTTTCTTCTATACCAGATTAATGTATGATAGTGATGCCTTGTTGACCGTCTCATCTTGACCCAAATATAAAATGATAATCATGTTTGTTAACTGCACAAATTGACGTCTAAAGATGAATGAGTTAATCGATTTAATTAAAACTTGGCAATAATTGAAAAAGTTGTCAAATAATTGAGTAACCAACAGACTAACCATGCTGAAAAGTTTATGACACTGATCATTCCATAAAGTCTGCAGAATTATCATGTAACAAGTCATCTCTGAGTTCTCCAGGGGCAGCCTTTGAGCTTTGTTTTGGTCAAATGTATGAATCCCAAAAGGTCAGTGAATATGGGATGCTTTAAACTTAATCAATTATCAAAAATGATTGCTAATTTCAGCCAAAACCTCTCAGAAACATGCACATTCAGACAGACCTCTCTGTTCAGCTCAGACCCAGCCACTATAGTTTGACCCCCATCATGCCCACTTTTCATTATACAGATGTCTCCTCCACAACAGACCTCACTCACCGACTTTCTCCATAGGGAAATTTGTCTAATGCATTTGACCCATCCTTCCAATTCCACTAGGGCCCATTCCTAGTTGTTGATATCCGGCCTGGTCAGGACAGTTTGCTGGAGGATTTAACTTGTGGTGCATGTTTTTGGGGATTGGGGGAAATCGGAGCCCAGAGGAAACCCACCCAGATGTGTGATCGTGGCACAGATCTTCTCACTGAGACATGTAATGGGGACACAGATACAAGGGAGCCGAGCAAGTAGATGCATGTATTATACTGTTGATTTGAATATTGAGTCACAAAGCGGGTTCCCTCAGAGTTTCCAAAGCCCTTATGTCACACTTACTTCCTCAAGCGCTTGGTTGAAGTCTGAACGAGTCGGTAAATATTGCGGTTTGCTTTTTGTATTCAAATACACAAATACAGCATTGTTTTCCTCTAGTGCAAAATTGCCAACTCTGCAAATGATCTCTATATCAACAGCTTTTCTGTGTGTGCCTCTTAAACACGGAACCCACTTTGGCTTTTAGTATTTGCATTCTCCTTCACATCCTGATTAATGGATGTGGTTTGTTCGTAACCGTGACAACCAATGTAGTTCCTCTTTATATTATATTGCGCAGAAAAGTTGTAGCAGTTATATTTGAAGTTTTAATGGTTGTCCCACTCCGAGATCTGACGACAGGATATAGATGCAACAAATTCCCATCACCTCTTGTAGGAGTCAAGTGGGTGATACTTAAACGTCCCTGATTGGTCCATTTGTTTGTCTGCAGGGACTAGACCGGCAGTGATTGGTCGACCTTTTAGTCTGTACTGCTTCCTGCATGAGGCACTGGGGTCCAAACAAACTGTCATTCCATCCCGACAGTACATGCACAGGCCTCAGAAGTCAGAAACTGAGAAAGAGCTGCTTCCTCCTGAGTTGAAATCGGGTGGAAAGAAGCGAGTGCAGACATGTGAAGTTTTAAACGCAGAAAACCACACAGATGCCAAATATTTTAGTCTCAAAACAAGATCAGATAAAATATTGAGGTTTTCATCACATCAACCAATCCGTACATCTTCAGAAAACAAATTTTGTCCCTTGAAGACACACACACAGCGCAAGGAAATCACATTCTGCTAGATTAACACTTAAATCTAGCATGTTATGGTCTAATTGAAGACACACAGTTAAAAGTACAGCTTCTAGACTTCAAAATAATTCCAAGAGGTGCTACACTGTTCTATCCTTGACGTTATAGTTTGAGGAATTGCTATTGAGAAGAGTTTTAAAAGGACCCCATTTTAAAACCCGGAACAGCCTGAACCCAGTAAACAGTCTTTTCTGAAATGCTGCTGGTTAAATGTGAGCTTTCTTTGTTGTTTCAAGTTGTAGGTGCCATTTTGATTATTTTTTATTTTACCAGTTTGAACACAGCCCAGACTATGGTCTTCTGATTCCAGTCCCATCCCCTCCCTTTCTCTGTTCCACAATTCAAACAAAGACAGCAGGAGGCTCTGGTAGTAAAATCTGTCCCAACAATGGATTCTGGTCAGCTGCCTGTTTCTATGTGTTTTCGGGCCAAAAGTAGTAGTATCTAAATGAAGGCATGAGTGGAACGTTTTCCTTTATTCTCTTTAATGAGGTTGGTTACTGCTCTGTGGACGAAAACTACTTTTAGTTTATTTTCTTATCTGAGTCTCCACTATGTGAAAGCTATGGTAATACAACTTATATACTCTATACTGGGCTTGTTCACACTAAAGGGCACAAAAGTGTGACAAAAGGCCAACAATTTGATTTTAATAATAAGAAGATATTTTATGTTTTTCATTAGAAGTTGCTAGAACATAACCGTTTTATACATTAGACAATTTTCCTAAAGCGTCCCTAGTTATTTTATGTAACGGACCTGATGATTTGACGGAATGAGTTTTGTGGAAGTTTGATAGGTATTTTCAGATGTCCACATTTGATTCAGAGATTCTATTTTTTTTACACAAAGTAGATGCAAAGTGATACTTTCATATTGTCAAGCAATTAAATGTGAAAACAGACAAGAATTTTTTTTTTTTCAAGTTTAATTTTTAGAGAAAAGAGGACCGCCCTCATCACGTCCGTTATACATTTTTCAGGGGTCATTTAATTCATTAATTAATTATTAATTTTTTTACGATTAATTTTTATATCAAGTGATTTCCTTCTGTTGTGTTAAAGCTGCACTAACTGACTTTATTTTTGTATTCATTACGAAAATGCTATCCATGTCCGTGTAGGGCATTGGGATATACGTCCTTTTGACGAAAAAGTAGCGCAGATTTGTGCTGGCGTGACATTATATTTTAGATCGAGTTTTGATGAAACAAGGAAGAGAATGTGTTTCGGGTCGCGGATTGTGACCAATCACCGCGGACCACTGGCCCCCACTTTTGTGAGAAATCTACAGGTCCGTTAGCATAGACGGCTGAGTTAGCACAACAAGCCAAGGAGCTAACCTGAAGCTTCGTCTCTTCATCACCGGTTACTGCTTACACAGCAAGACAGCCATCCAAAAGAAAGTCTCGTTCCTCCGCGCTTCCCGGTTCTATCGTTCTATGGTCACGCCATCCACGTGCAAATCCATGTCCATGTATTATCCATATTGGGAGACGCTAGCTTCGTCCCAACAGTGGGTGTGTGTGGGGGGCGATAGCTTCGTGGGTGCGGGGAGGGGAGCAGAAAGAGAGAGGCCAGCGAGTCTGCTGCTTCAAAATCCCAAAGTCAGTTAGTGCAGCTTTAACTATGTAAATCTTGTGGGCTTTCATCTTCTGCTTTTTCAGACTGAGGACATTTTATTTTCTATGTAACTGGCGTCACAGTAGAATGGTCCAATCAGAGGCTGATTTGGTCGTTTAAAATGTTGCTAAACATTTTTATGTCAATCTTTCCTTTTGATTTTTTCCACACTATCTCTTCAATGTGTCTGTGTTTGAAATCTTTTTTCCAATCTATGAAAGTAATTTTATTTTTTAAGTTATAACCTTTTAAAGTCCAGATACTTCAATTGTCACTTTACTGTGAACACACTCATCTACTAGATTAGCTAACAACGTTCTAGATAAAACTGTTCAATCATTAAGTCATTGACAGTTCCCATTTCATGTCATGCAATTCTGTTTGAGTCTTTAAAATACCATTCTTTGGCATATTCATGTATTTTGTCATTGTTGCCTGCACCATAAACTTCCAACTGAAACTATTAGTTGTGAATGTGATTGATGTTAAACTATTGTTGCTATAAAATCTAATGAAAAGGGACTGATTAAGACCAGCACTCCTCATATATTGGCCTTAAAACTAAAGGCTTTGACCTTCAGTATAGAATAACATTTGCGTGTGGCCTGGTGTCGGAGTCTGTGGTGAAGTGTTTATACGAGTTATTTCTGCAGCGACTGATGGAACAGACACACAGCTGACGAGCCGCACTTTACTGAAGAATATGGAGAGGGGAGAGAGAGAGGGGAGCGAGAGAGGGGAGCGAGAGAGAGGGGCGCGAGAGAGAGAGAGGGGCGCGAGAGAGAGAGAGGGGCGCGAGAGAGAGAGAGAGAGGGGCGCGAGAGAGAGAGAGAGAGAGGGGCGAGAGAGAGGGGAGCGAGAGAGAGGGGAGCGAGAGAGAGGGGAGCGAGAGAGAGGGGAGCGAGAGAGAGGGGAGCGAGAGAGAGGGGGAGCGAGAGAGAGGGGAGCGAGAGAGAGGGGAGCGAGAGAGAGAGGGGAGAGAGAGAGAGGGGAGCGAGCGAGAGAGAGGGGAGAGAGAGAGAGGGGGGAGCGAGAGAGGGGGGCGAGAGAGAAGGGAGCGAGAGAGAGAAGGGAGCAAGAGGAGAGAGGGGAGCGAGAGAGGACCCGGAGAAAGAGAGGGAGAAGGGAGAGAGGAGAGGAGCAGGGGAGAGAAGGGAACAGACGGACAGGAAAGAGAGGACCAGGAGAAAGGGAGAGGAGAGGGGGGAGCCGGAGAGAGAGGGGAACGAGGACTTGCAAACATGGGGAGAAGATGCAAACTCCACACAGAAATGTTTGGAGATGGATTCGAACCTACTGTGCCACCATGACGCCCATTTCAAATATAAAAAATGAAATCACCAGTAGCCATAAACTTGACAACAACAAATACTTGCAGTGGTATTTTTATTTTATTTTGAAAGAAAAAAGGTAAATAACAATCAATACACAGAGAAGGGTTAGTGTCAAGCCACTGACAAGATTGTTTCAGCTGTTGATGCTACTCTGTCGTTGAATGTTAGTATTTTCTTTTATTTACTATTTTATTACTTTTAGTTCAAAATTCTCGCCATCAAACAACTTGTGTGCTTTGATCATTTGGTCAGTATCAGCCCTGGTTTTGCTTTCATTGTTTAGTTCTTAACAATTCCTTTCACTTTTTTGCCACACGTTCTGAATTACTACATTTGTTGATTTTAAGGTTTTGTATAGGGCTGAAACAACTAATCGATTAATTCGACGACTAATCGATTATTGAAATAGTCGACAACTATTTTAGTAATCGATTAATCGTTTTCTGGTTCACACGGACTCAAACAGAGAAAAAATGACATGAAAATGTAGTATTTTTGATTAAAACAGACTTTGTTTTTATAATTTCATGAATATCTGTCTGTCTCATCCAATCAGAGCAGAATTAGCACAAAGAGCCTGTTACAAACATTTACTTTAAGTTTACGCCATCAATACGTCCTCGAGTGTTGCCACTTTTTGTGATGAAAAAATACATTTTTTTCTACACAATTCACAGCCAAGCGATTACTCGATTAATCGTAAAAATAATCGATAGATTAATCGATTACAAAATAATCGTTAGTTGCAGCTCTAGTTTTGTATCCAAGACTTAATAGTTTTTAATAAGCCAATTTTGTGAAGTCTTGTCAAAAAGAAATATTTATTTCTATATATTTATTTTTTTATGGACAACACTTTGAGCATTTGACGTCACAGTGGTGTATGTGTGTGTCGGTGTGTGTTGTTGTTGCCGGGGTAAAACCAGCGTGGTTACGTCCGGAGCAGGTTTCCACGGCGACGTCAGCCTCAGCATCCCCAGGTCCGCAGAGTCGGCTCGTCGTAAAACTCCTCTCCTGCTGCATGCCTGGTCGCACACTTTTCTGGGTGGATTGGAGCTTCTGACCAGAGCTACTATTGCTGCTGCTTTTGTTCTGGTTATCGTTCTAATTAGACAGTAAACAATACATATGCATGATAGACAGTTGGATATTATGATTGTAATTGCTCAAGATTGTGTTGGGAGATTTGTGTTATTATTGACTACTGGGCAAAAGAGATCAGAAATCATGGGATAGAGGACAGACCGGAACTCGGCAACGGTAAGTCCTGACAAAAGTTGTGATGCTAATGTTTATTCAGACTTGTATTGACTGATGCGCTTGTTTGACTCTAAAGTTATAGCTTGATTTTATGATGTTGCGTTGAAGCAGCAATTTATGTTATAATTTGGTGAAAGAATACGACTCGTCCCTGTCTTTTTGTTCTATTGATATTAAAGCTGGACTAGCTCTTTTGTCAGAGCAGAAATATTATTGTTTAAGTAAAATTTAGGCACAAATCAGACCACAAAATGCTGTTTTTATCCTATTAGAAAACAGTTGAACTTTTACATGCTGAGCGATGATTGGCTGAGTACTGATCTAAAGGTGCATGAATGTGAAAACTAGTGATAAAAACTGTTTTTAAGAGCGAAGGTACAAGAACATGGATTTGATTGCATGTTTAATTCTGTGTGCGTGGTTTCAAAGTTGGTTTTCCATCTTTAAAGGGGCTCATTTAAAAACATTCAAATACTGATCTGTCTGCAAAATATTTTTAAACTGAACTTAAAGGTATACAGGAGGATTTTCCCACATATTAGTAAAGAATCGCCCTCCTCAGTGGAATTAGGAGGACCAATCGTCGAGATAATTCACCCGGAAGAAAAACTATGCAATATTCTGACCGTGTATTCTTTCCCCTCACAACCTTTGTCTAACCTGTGTGTTGTATGTGTTGCAGTTCTACCTCCAGGACACTAAGAGCAGCAATGGGACCTTCATCAACAGCCAGCGCCTGAGCAGGGGGTCTGAGGAGAGCCCGCCGTGTGAGGTCCTCTCCGGTGACATCATCCAGTTTGGGGTCGACGTCACAGAGAACACCCGGAAAGGTACGGAAACGTCATGTTTAATGGGGTTGGAGCTAAATGTTCAGGTCTTATTTGGAAAATTGCACAAACTGTCAAAACGTATTGCACAGAACTTTAATTCAAGCGTTTATACATTTATTAAACATTTATTTACAGTGAATCTTTTATTTCTACGAGATTAAGGCTGTGCTGTACAGATCTATATAGTCTTTTTAAATCTTTGGGAATTGTGTACAAGGTAATTGCTTCAAACATTAATCTTTTCAAATGGAACTCTTTTGAACTGAAATGTTTTTGAAATTGGATATTTTGGATAATTTCCAGAAAATTCACAAGCACAGTTCAAAAAAGATAGGTGTGTAAATGGGTTTGGTTGTGACTGAGCATTACTGGGTGAAGTGCAATTTGATCTATATTATTTGTTCAAATTCGACCTAATCCTAATGGACTGAGCCTGTGTCAAAATGTTCATCTTGTTTGTTTCTGATCACCATTTGCAGTGTGTTTCTGTGAATTACTTTTTTTCCCTTTTTCCCCCTCAGTGACTCATGGATGCATTGTGTCCTCAATCAAACTGTTCCTTCCAGACGGGATGGAAGCCCGCCGGCGCAGCGAGTAAGACACAAAAATACTAATTGAGTGTGATAAACAAAGTATATATTGAGGACAAAATCCATTTTCAATGCCATAAAGGTGAACAAAGAGTTCAACCAGATCTGCAGAGGCGTTTGTTTCCGGGTAGAGGCAGCTGGGAAGGGTGGAGCTTAGGGAAAAGACACAGGTAGAGCAGGTTAGTATAACTTTAAGGAGAGCAGCCAAAGTGAAAGAAGTCTGCGCTGACAGTGAATCAGCCGTTTGTGGACGCTCTGTTTGGAATGTTCTGATTTCCCATTCCGATTGAGACCCTGAAGTGCACTTTGTCCCATGACTCAAACAGAGGTAACTCTTTCTTATTTGGCTAATCATTTACCTTGATTGCAATTGGACTTTGAAGATCTCTAATCACAAAAACTATTTCAATAACTTCAAAACTTAGCTGTGTTTTGCCTTTAGACTTTTTTAGATTTTTTTGTTTCTGGATTTGTTTTTGTTCATACCATGTTTAGGCCTTTATTCAGTTTAGACAGGATTTAAAGTCATGTTGTTGAGCTTAGCCACCAGCAAAGTTACATAGTCCAGCTTTAATTCAGGGCCGTTTAAGCCAACTCTCTACATTCACGTGGGTGAAGTTTTGAGCAGTTGTTGGTTTAGTTTAAGTGTGTGTGTGTTTTTCTCACAGCTCTGCCCCTGTTACACATTAACACTGAGGTTTCACCTGTTGACTCTCATTCCTCCACTCTCAGCTCGGCCACATTTGTTATAGCTAATGGGAAAATATGCCACGTTCAATTACTCTGGTTTGGGAGTAATATAAAATGGCATTCCCCAAGCATAAAGCGCAGGTGTAGATGGATGTAGAGCATGTTTTTCCTAAAATAATGCTGCACAATACATTGATTTAATGTGCAATATTGACACGGCAAAAATGTCCAATAATTGTATTTTTTCATGCATATGTGTTGCCATTTGCTGCTAGAGCCCACTGACTCTTGGTACAGAGGCTGGAAAGGACAAAACACAACATGGGGTAGAATACATGAGCGACCACTGAAGTTCAAACATTCGTATTGATTTCTTTGGGGGAAAGGGAAAATATTGCTACACATTTATAAATATATGATAGTGGTGTCAAGGACTGTAAATACTATCTCTAATCTTACTAACGTGACTTTGTATTTTACCTGGGCTAACAAATACAAACCTAATTTTTGCAACATTGGCGTGATGCACTTTCAGTTTGTAAATGCTGTGCCCTTGATTCAAATCTGGAAGACCTCTGGACCTCACCGGCTGTAAAACCGGATCTTGCAATGTTGGATGGTGGTGTGAAGTCATGTGACCTTCAGAAACGTGTCGCTGTGGTTACCGTATCCCTGCCGTCGTCGTAGTAACACCTGTTCTTCTGTTTCAGTGTCATCCCGACTCCGCTGCCGCTGCCCTTAGACAAGGTAAATGAACCAAACCGTTACCGTTTCCATGTTGTGTTGTGATGTGGTGAAACTGCTGAAATGTGTTTTCAGTCTGGACCATAGGGTTGGACAAAGTGGGAATTAGAATGGTCTTTTATGCCCACTATAAAGACGGCACATTTTGTCCAATGTAACCGTTTTGTCCATACCAAATAAATGTATCTGAATTAAAAGATAATCTCACGTGATACACTGCTGTGGCCGTTACGATAACCAATTTTAATATTGCTGTTATGGGTGATCCAGATATTTACAGATGTGGATATATGAATGTGTATACTATATAATATAGTATACACATTCATATATGTTTTTGGCCAACTTAAGCACCAGTGATGTGTACATTTTTCCGCGTGTGTACATGTAGGCTTAGTAGTGAGTGTGGGGGTGTTTGTTTTCGCTCATCAAATACACTGAAATAATTATTGGCCTCTTCACATCGGCCCTATTTTGACACCTGACAGATATCGATGTGTAAAAAGATCTACATATCACTAATAATCTATCTTCCATATGTTGTACTTGTTTGTTTCAGGTTTCCGCCAACACTCCCAGTATGTACTCTCAGGAACTGTTCCAGCTCTCCCAGTATCTACAGGTGCCACTCTCGCTCATATGTTTTTTAGTCATTGTTCCCAGATAATTTTTAGGCCTTATCAATTGTTTTGTTGTCTCAGGAAGCCTTACATCGAGAGCAGATGCTGGAACAGAAACTGGCCACTCTTCAGAGACTTTTGGCCACGACTCAAGAGGCTTCCGAGAGCAGCTGGCAGGTACAGACTCCGGTCTATTAAAGGAGACATGTTGTGCCAAATCGCCTTTTCCAAGTTTAGGAGGTTATTACAACGTTGTTCCTGCATCAAAAATGGAGGCGCTCTGATCGGTCACTGACCAGCCACCGACCGGAGTGCCTTAGATGTTTTTTAGTTCTGTATAGTTTCTCTACAATTGCAGTATCCATTATGCAATAGTTATATTATATTTTTTACAAAACTACAGAACACAATTTCACATATCTAACTAATTATTTACACCACAAAAACACAGCCCTACATAATAAACGCCTAATTTCTCACCCTCAAAATAGTTACGTTTATTTTTTGGCCTCTGTCACGCCTTTTAGATCAGAGAGAATAACCTTCACTCAAAGGTAAAGGTGTACTTTATTGATCCCCGTAGGTGAATTCATCCTCTGCATTTGACCCATCCTGATGCCGCTAAGGCTTACGTCAGGAGCAGTGGTCGCCGTAGTAACAGCGCCTGGGAACCCATCTCCAGATGTTAATGCTCGGCTTGGTCAGGACTACTGGAGCTGGAGGATTTAACCTAGCGTGCATGTTTTTAGTGGTAGGGGAAACCGGAGTACCCGGAGGAAACCTACGCAGGCACGGAGAGAACATGCAAACTTTTGAAAGTGACTGACAGGGCTCTTTCTTGCACATAAGCAAAAGACATGTTTTCTACTATAGTGCATGTTGTGGTCTTATTTCCCACAACATGGTACTTTTACCTGACTTTCTGTTGAACAAACATGAATTATTTACAAAGAAATAAAAGTTAGGTTCCCCAGCTTTTCCAAGTTCCAAGTGCCTATTTGTACTATAATTGTTTGCTAAAAATATGTTTCACTGGTAAATGCTTTGACTGAAATATTCCATAAAGAATCACCTTTGTCTCTCAGGCCTTGATCGATGAGGACCGGCTGCTCTCGCGGCTGGAGGTGATGGGCAGTCAGCTCCAGGCCTACTCCAAGGTAAAGCACATTCTAATTTCTTTGTTGTTTCCGGAAAGACACATTTCTCTGCTACACGCTCGAAGTGAATGCTTTTTCAAATGAGCGTTTGTGTGGTCAGTCCCAGACGGAGGAGGGCATTCGTAAAGAGCTGCTGGCGCTGCAGGAGGACAAGCACAACTACGAGACCACGGCCAAAGAATCTCTGAGGCGAGTGCTGCAGGAGAAGATCGAGGTCGTCCGCAAACTGTCGGAGGTCGAGGTGAGAGGCAGTTTCTAACAGAGGTGATGGATATTGGGCACTATGTCAGAATATTGCTAAAGTTATCGGAAAAACTGGTTCAGATTCAGACTACTTTATTCATCCCACCAGAGGCAAATCATTTGAGCAGCATAGGGCATACCAACATAAAAAGGTGTGAGGTACATAACTTTTGTTTCATAAATGCTACATATTGGTTGTTCCATAAGAAAGGTAAGGAAAAAAGTCAAATTAACAAATCAGACCACAACTTGCTGTCTTATGCACAAGTCTGCAGAAGATCAAATGTTTTATTATTAGATTCAATTCAATGTATTTATTTTATTTTTGTATAACCCTACATCACAACAGTAGTCGTCTCAAAGGACTTTACAAAGTTGTCAATTCGCCAACACAGATCAGAGAATCAAACAGTTCGAACATAGGAAATGCAAAAAGAACAGATTGAAGTCAAAGTATTCTTTGTTTACTGAACGTTTTTTAAAGATCCTTGATACTATTAGAAATGCAGCCCTACAACTAATGAAAACGTAAAATAATCATCAAAACTAAATAGTCAGATTTTTTTGTCCCACTCCTAACATGACTTCATCCTGCGAGTTTACTTTGTGACCATATGTCTCCGTTCTTCTGCAGCGTTCCCTGAGTAACACTGAGGACGAGTGCACTCACCTGAAGGAGATGTCAGAGCGGAGTCAGGACGAGCTGCGAGAACTGGCCAATAAATACAACGCAGCTGTCAACGAGATCAAGGAGCTCACAGACAAGATCAAGGTATGAGAAGGACACTGGCACGGAAAGCAAAACGTGGGTTAAAACAACACTTTTTCTGCCTCTACTCATTGTGAAGACTCAGACCAAATCTAGCTGTAATTTAGACGGCAATAAAACCATACTGTTTAAGAGCCTGTAGCTTATATGTGGGTCAGGTGGAGGTTGCAGAGAGGTTAGCCTTTCAGAGTGGAGTTAGCAAGTTCTCCCTAATTTTGCCCTACAGGAGTCGAGAAAATATACCTTAACCTAATACTTTATTACTCAAAAGTCATATAAAGGAAAATAATTCGCAAAATGAGAGTAACAAGCAGCAAAGTTTGGGATTTTGCTGCTCTTTTCTTGAGACAGTTGTTAATGTTTATTGCTTCCTGTGGATGAGAATCTGGCTGTAGTTAAATGCAATTCCCTGTAGGTCAAAAAACACAAGTCTTCAGCTTATGCGATATTTTTTTCTCAATATGTCTATAGAGATGGGCCCATTACAGACTGTTTGTTGGAAGGCATTACATTTTTGGGGAAAAGCTTCATATTCAAAACATCAACACTTTTGATTGAAATGGATGGTTTAAATGCACAAAAAAAGGTTGACCTGTTTTGTCTGATGGCATCTGTTTGCTTCAGGCTGCAGAGGCGCGATACGACGAGCAGACTCAGAGGGGAGCATCGGAGCGCAGGGAGCTGGAGCAGAAGGTGGAGGAGATGGAGGAGAAGGAGCAGGTTCTTCAGGCCCGGATCGAGGCTCTGCAGGCGGACAACGACTTCACCAACGAGAGGCTGGCCGCGCTGCAAGGTACATGTACACGACAATAGCACTGGTGTCACTGTGCACGCGCAGGGTAAAGGATTGTCAGGTATTTATCATTGATTAATATATATTTATATATATTTTTTGATAATATTGTGCAATAATGAAGCTACTATAGGCTACTGGCATGATCAAAGCAGTCGTATCCCAGTAAACCTTTCCTTTATCACTTCTTAAAAAAACGAAATGAGCTTAATGAGAATATGACGCTATAGCTGAAAATATAAGTACACAATGCACTTCCAGAATTTGTTTTGGTAAAGTTTGTGTGATGGATTTGATTCTCTGATCTTTTGATGAGGTATTGACAACTTTTGTAAAGTTCTTCGAGACCAATGCTGTTGTGATTTAGGGATATACACAAATAAATGGAATTGGATGCAGTAATTATCAAATCCAAACGCAATCGTGTGTCTTTGAGGTTATATAGCTCCATTTTATAGTGTTGCATTTTTTTATGGAACGTAGGAAGAGATAAGTTATTTTGTATTTATTTTGCCTAACTATTTTTTATTTGCATTCTACAAACATGTTGCCACCAAGCGAACCAGATCATTAAACCCCTATAGGTGGCGTTTATTCCATTTTTATTTTAAGCCTCAGAGATTGTTACATAATGTGATACACTTTTATTGACGTTCTTTTTGCTGATGTCGCTACTGCCGACTCATCACTTAAACTTGTATAATCCCAAGGCGTGTCACTCTTACATGTATTCATATAACCAGCCTATCACGCGGTCCTCCTCTGACCACACCCCCTGCTCTGACCACACCCCCTGCTCTGACCACACCCCCTCCTCTGACCACACCCCCTCCTCTGACCACATTTATGGGTTTGCCGTTCACAGTGCGGTTAGAGCAACTTCAGGAGAAAAGTATTAAGGAGAACAACAGTTTGGGTGAGTCACATGACCGCTCCTGCCGCCGTCCAATCGCTGTCATTCTCTGCCTCCTAACTCCGCCTCCTCATCGATTTCTCTCACTGACTAAAGGACGACTTTGGGTATTTCATTTGGGCGTTACTGAGCACAGTAACGTTAAAATTACATTGGACACACTAAACCTATCTTTATAATTACAGATATTTTAGATTCTAGATTTATCATACTCTGTAGAACATTACAAAGCAACAATCTTTGTGTTAAATATGTGAAATTCAGCCCCTTTGAATGAAATGCCTACGTCGAGTCCATAAAAATGCATGAATGTCCTGGCCTGCATGGCTGTAAACTTCTATTCGTTCCTTTTGGTTTTGATCATCGCATCAGTCTATTCATTTCTCTCTTTCTCACCTTTTTCAAGCTTCAGTCTCTGCTTTCTATAATTGGATCTAACAGTTTTGGTTGTTGAACATGTAACTAAATCTGAAATATGTCGCATCATTGGGAGACGAGGGAAAGTGCAACATTCACACATTTTGGAGCGTTTTCTTCTGAATCACTCTTTGCCTTTGGTGGTGTTTTCATTGATTTTTGGGGGTAAGCTTCTTCCTTTTCCTGGTGATGGACTGAAATCCTTTTGGGCAAAACAAGAAGAAAATCACTGGTTACTTCCTGTACTTTGGCTGCATTCTCGGTGTGGGGTTGATCTGATGGGCTCGTGATGAGAAACCTGTGTCCGCTGTGGTCAGATGTGGACAAAGAACCGAGCGAAGAGGTCGAAAAGAGCCAAGGAAAAATGTCTCCTGTGGCCGAGGAGGAGAGCGAGTCTACAGAGGTCCTGGATGTTCAGACTGATCTCATCCCCACGCTCCAGGAGCTACAGGAGCTACAGGAGCTACAGGAGCTACAGGAGCTCCAGGATCTACAGGAGCCTGGACAGGACAAAATAATCCAAGATGAAGAGGACACGGATACAGACACCGACGGCGAACAAGACGATGGTAGATTTGTGAACAAAATTCTTTAACAAAATATAAATATAATCAGAATGTTTTAGCGTCTTCAGTCAGCACCTGCAACCTTATGTTACAGTAGTTTCACAAGGTTCTGGCAAGAGCTCTGGTGTGTACCATCTTCTGTCTGGTGCACACTGTGTTAATCTTGCTCAGTTTTTCCAATGTGGTTTGCCTGAAAATGGCAAATTCTTTAATGTTGAACCCACTGTAAAAATCTTGGTAAAATTTATGATTTTATTGTTGTGTCAAATAGGGTTGGGCGATATTTTTTTTGTACCGGTATAAGTAAATTAAATGATAATAAAATGTCTTATACCGGTGAAAACGATCATTTAACACTGAAAAACGCGAGCGGAAGACACGTTTGTGTGCGGCGCACTTTGATGACGCATCTGCGCGGCACGTGTAGCAGAGCGGCGTGCAGGGACAACAACAGAGCAGAGAGCAAACATGGCTGAGGGCGGCGGTGAAGACCATGGTGAAGACATGCAGATTGTAGAAGACATTGTGCCAAAACGCGGAGCTACCTCAAACATATGGGAGTAGTTTGGGAACTAGATAAAAAGAAGCAATTGTGTGTAACTATCGACAGTGGATCTAATGTTGTGAAAGCAGCTGCCCTAAACAACTGGACTCGAGTGGCTTGCTTCGGTCTCTCTCTCTCGCTCTCGCTCTCTCATATATAGTGCCATTGGTAAGCTTTATTTACTGTCATTCATTTTACTTCAATGCATGTGTTTGTCTACATTGCAATATAATTACAAATAAGTTATAATTATAGAAACGCAAAAGGATACAAAAATATATACAGTATTTGATCATTTTGACTATATTGGGATTAGGAAACATAAGCCAAAGTGATCAAATAATTATTTGATAATGCTACACTTTTTATATTACAAAGGACAAACTTTTATATATTTTACAAATTACAAATGTTCACCTTTATTACATGTTGCCTGCAATTTTCAGTATGTACAAAACAGAATTCTCTACAATTCAGTTTTGTTAATACGTTTTATATACAATAGCTGTATTACACATTTTGCTGCCAATAAATCAGTAAATGCACTTTGAGGCAAGTGTGTTTTAAAATTATAAGTGCTAAGTTTTTATAGCTTTTATATGAGGCTTTGTTAAAATTATCATATCGTGATACATACCAACAAAAATCGTGATACATGCTGAGGCCCATATCGCCCAACCCTAGTGTCAAAGTGAGACAAAAGATCCATTTTCAGGTCTTTAGAACAGAGATTCAGGCTCTTTTTGTACGGCTTCTGTCATTAAGACTTCCTTCTTTTTACGTGTTCATTATTCCTCTGCATTTGTCTCTTGTTTCATCATCTTCTGCTTTTAAAACCTCCTGTTTCTATTGTGTATTTGTCACTCTTTTTACCTGTTTTAGTTCATGCTTTTTCCCCTTTTTAACATTCCTAAATAAACAGAATCTTGTGTAATGTGCAATTCTTGTTTCTGTTAGACAACTGTCACCTAAACAACAGCGGAGGAGACTCTACTCGAATACAGCAGCTAATTGAATGTTCGCGTGAGTACTTCACTGCAGCTGGGACTTTGGCCTCTTTTCATTCAAGTTCTGGTTTTAAATCGGTTCATCTCTAAAAACTGTCAACTGTAATTCAGAATGAAAACGGTGCGCAGAACAATAGCTTCTTCATCTTTTGTTATTGCGTTCAACAGGCCTCTGGTTGAGGTCATATCCTACAGCAGGGCTATTCAAAACGCGGTCCAGGAGCCAAATCAGGCCCTCGGAGCAATATAATCCGGTCCTCAGCCCATGTTCACTGCAAAAAGCAATCAAATATTATGCAGTTTTCATTGGTCCATCTGCATGAAAACAAAACAAAAAACTATGGGAAAAGCAAATCAGTTCTTTCGTGTACAATGTCACCTTTTCTTTTTTTTTTTGCAATGTTTTTCCTGATTTAAGTCTGGCTGAGCCCTGGTTTATACCTGGTTGGTAGTAGCCCAGACTAAGATTTGTACTGGTTTGACATTTATTTTCACCAAAAATAATATTTGTATTTGCAGTTAAATGCTCAAAGTGGTGATGCATTACACAATTATCAGTCCCAGAGCAAAAAAAATCAGCCCTTGGAAAAAGTTGAATAGCCCTGTCCTACAGACTCAATACTGCAGATCAAATTACTTACTTACTTACTTAAATTGTGGTCATTTGTGGACGGAGCATTGCCTTTGACCATTTTTTTTTGTTATTCCTTTCCTTTGTATGTTTAAAACCATGTGTAATGCTTTTGTCTGGTTTCTTTAATGCCTAAGAACGTAAATTGCATATGATGACATTTCTTTCTTTTGTTTCCTTGTCTCTTTCAGCCGTAAAACAGTCAGTCAGTGCTGCTCTTCACAAAATTGCCAGATTCGATGGTAAGCTGAGATGAAATTCTGTAAAGTATCTTCTTCATGGTCTTTGATATTGTTTACCATTTATTACCTTGCTTTTTGTAGAAGCGATGGATGCTCACCTCCAGAACAATCAAACGTCTGAGGACGAGGACCTGGGCAGCCCGGACCGCCTCAAAGGTACTTTTAACTTAGGGTTTTGATCCAAAGGCGTCCGTCTTTAGACTGTGTTAGACTTGAGCTACATCCAGAATTGGTTCATTTAAGCATCGATTCTGGTCTATTTTGGCAAAGAATAAGTTGTTTTATTCCTAATCTGACTGCTGCATCTGATCAATTACTTCATAATCATTGTATTTATTATTTATCTTTTGGATGAAAAAAACTTGCGGTATGATTTTTGCTGGACATTATGTTTGTATTTTCTATTAAACAATATCTGTCTTCTCAGGAAGTTATATGGGTGACTAAGCCTAGAATGGGATGCCTACTTTTTTTTTTATTAATTTGGAGAATCAAATGCAAAGCTGGGGTACTAAACTTCTTTCATCAATAATATATATAAAAAAGACAAATCAGACCGTACTTGATATTTGTAAATACTTGTAAGACAGCGTTACTATAGGTTTAGATCTTATTGTCTGAGTTAAGGCGGTATCCTAAAGTGAATTTTTCTGTATGAAATCAAAATGTCAAAAGCGTGTTAAAACTATTTAGACTGTTTTAGAGCCAGGTCTGAGTTAGATGGATTTGATCACATACCGCAGTTTTAATGTGAATGACTTTGGCTTGAATGGGGATTGGAAAAAAATGTGAGTTATGCTCCTCCTCTCTCTGCCCTCTTTTTGACCCTGTGTCTCTGTGTCCCTGTCCTTTTTTCTTTTTTTGTCTTTTGTTTTGTCTGTGTTTTGCCCGTTTGTTTTGTGTGTTCATTGTTGTGTGTTTGTCCCGTGTCAGCAGGAAACGCGATGGACGCAAAAGAGTCGGACATGTCGGACACTCTGAGCCCAAGCAAAGACCGCAGCAGTGACGACACTTCAGGTTTCTCTCCGTTCCAGTTTTTCAATGAACTCAAAGATTGCATTTGAAAGTTAACCGTTGTCTTTTCTCAGATGGAAACATGGACGAACAGGACTTGAATGAACCTCAGAACAGAGTGGCTTTGCTCAAAGGTGAATTTCTCTTAACGTTTAACATTTATGGTAATTGTGAACGCTATAATTGTCATGCTGAGCTTTGTTTGTACATAATTGATGGTCACTCTTTGGTCTCTCTTTGGTCTCTCTTTGGTCTCTCTCTGGTCTCTCTTTGGTCTCTCTCTGGTCTCTCTTTGGTCTCTCTTTGGTCTCTCTTTGGTCTCTCTTTGGTCTCTCTTTGGTCTCTCTCTGGTCTCTCTTTGGTCTCTCTTTGGTCTCTCTTTGGTCTCTCTTTGGTCTCTCTCTGGTCTCTCTTTGGTCTCTCTTTGGTCTCTCTTTGGTCTCTCTTTGGTCTATCTCTGGTCTCTCTTTGGTCTCTCTTTGGTCTCTCTTTGGTCTCTCTTTGGTCTCTCTTTGGTCTCTCTTTGGTCTCTTTGGTCTCTCTCTGGTCTCTCTCTGGTCTCTCTTGCTTTGGTCTCTCTCTCTGATCTGTCTTTTTAGTCACGATAGTAATACTTCCATTTGTTTCTATACCAATGACAACACCCAATGCAACAGTAATTATTAAAAAATGCTCTTAAAGCTGGGGCACATAACTTTTTTTTGTTTCTTAAATAACCCACGTAGTTTGTCCAACAAAGATTCTTGTAAAAGTAAATTGTGAACGAGTAAAACCACAACATGCTGTCTTGATCTTATTAGAAAACATGTCAACTTTGGACTTCAGCATATTTGAAAAAAACTCTCCTTGGACTGAAAGCTGATTTGAGTGATGGTGGTCCTCTCCTCTTCACGTTTGAGTCTGAATAAGTTTATCTGTAGATGTGACAGAGGCCAAACATGCATGTGAAAACTGGTGACAATACGTTAGTTTTAGAGCCAGGAGTTAGTGACACAGTGTATTGCATAGACCTACGTTGTTGTGATTTGAAAGTTGAGTACCCCAGCTTTAACTGCATAATCTTGATCACTACTTGTTGTTGTGCCACATAATGTTGTAGTAGTTCTAATACTGTAGTTCAAAATTCTTCTAAAACTGATTACTAAATGTTTTTTTGCATCAAAAGTAATGTCCTATTCAAGGACTATGTCATATGATATCAAAAGAGAAAGCCCAACTTGCAAGTAAAAAATTTAGCCCTGAAGGTTTGAAGGTTTTTTTTAACTTGCAAGTCAAGACCTTATTATCTTCTTTATATCTTAAATAATTGAGTGTTGATTCTTGCTCGGATTAATATCTATCTTTAGAATCAATATTTAAAACACTCTTGATGACCCCACGAGGCCTAATAGTAAATGAATGCAATAATTGTGTGTGTGTGTTTTGTTGCTGTAGCAGAGTTGCACAGAGCGGGGCTGGAGCCGTCGGACACAGAGCAGGTCATTCACCACCTGCACCGCGAGCTGCTCGGGGCTCAGGAGAGAGCCACCGCCGGGAAATACAAATGCCAGCAACTGCAAGGTACTTAGACTGCATTAGGGATGGTCTGGTTATCAAACGGCAGACTTTGACGGTTTGTTATGGAGGAAAATATAAAAATGTCTTTAAACCCATTTTGTTAGATACTATTAGGGGTCCTTGATAACGTACTGAATGTTAAATTGGCCAAAACACTTCTTGGATGTATACACTCGAGTAATGGTCATTTTAAGGCCTTTCTAGAAGCTGAAATAAAAACATACTAAAACTCGTACTATTGCACTATTCAATTCAATTCGATACTTTTATTTCGGACACAGAGTAAAAGGTCCATATTAGAAGACATATACTATTGTTTGCGGTCTAGTCATATTTGTACCTGCCCTTATGATTTTTTTTTGTATGTTTATTGCGCAAATTATTCCCATTTCCCTGTTATCTCTACAACTATCCAAATTGTTGCCAAATGTTTTGCTAATAATCGATCTATAGAGGCATATGGACAGAAGGTGGAGAGTCTGGAGACAATGGACTTATGTATAAAACATCTCTGTGTTTGCAGGCGGTGATTTTCAAATTGGGGGGGGAAATTACTCCTCCCTCTATACTAAATATATACCCTTTCTACTAATTTCACCATGTATTTTCAAGTTGAGATGTCATTTCATATTCTAATGCATGAATGTACAAAGTGAACGGTTTCTATGACATGGCCAAAAAAATGCATAATAATCCTTTTACCCCCATCCCTCACACTGAGAAACTGAATGGTGAGATTGTCATTGTTTCTGATCTCTCTTCCATCAGCTCTTCTGGAGGAGGAGCACAAGAACAACCTCCGGCTCACTGAAGAGTCCACCAAACAGATCCAGTACCTGCAGAGTGAGTGATGTCACACTGGTCAAAAGTCCTTTTCTCTTTTGTTCGTCTAAGAATGGGTAATGTAGTCATAAATGTACATCTTGATTTATCTATGGACTTTTCCCCAGTGCATCGGACAATAATGTAGCAGTCCATATAATGCTTACATGGAGGAGGCCCCGCGGAAGACCTAGGACACGCTGGAGGGACTATGTCTCTCAGCTGGCCTGGGAACGCCTTGGGGTCCCCCCGGATGAGCTGGAGGAAGTGTGTGTGGATAGGGAAGTCTGGGCGTCTCTGCTTAGACTGCTGCCCCCGCGACCCGGCAACGGATAAAGCGGAAGAAAATGGATGGATGGATGGTTCTCAATGTGTAAAACCAACTACAAAACTTCTATAGTTGAAGATTATACCTGTGTTTTGTTTTTGAATGTTTGTGACTGATCTTTCTTCAACAATATTTTGGCCACCTCAAATTCTTAATTCTCTATCCTCATACTTTTTTTAGCTTTTAAAAATAGGCGATAAGATAAAAAAACAAAAAAGCATGTTAACGTTTTGAATCTCATGTGTTTGTGTGGAGCAGGTCAGCTAATGAAGCTTCAGGCCGACATGGAGGCTCTGAGGGAACAGAGGGAGAGCACCATCTGCAGCACCAGAGAGGAGCTGTACTCTGCTCAGGAGGAGGTGAGGCCTTATACGGGCACAGCTCTGGCCACTTCCACTTGATTAAAGGGACCGTCCAGGAATGGTTTATGTGAAATCTCAAGTGGTCACTGTTCTGCCAAATCTGCTCAGAGAAGGTCTACTCAACAAAAAAACTCTTGGGTTTCAAAAAAGGCAATAAATTAGACGTTTACTTTGGATGCTTTTCGACAAGTTAATCACATCTCCTGAATATACAGAAGTAAAGCAAAGTTTTGTGAAGTGAAGAAAGTATTTGGACTATTATAGGGCTGGTTATGGCCTGGTAAAGCAGTGATCTTACGCTCAAGTCTTGTTTTGGCCCTTGTTAAGGATGGATGGAGAAGTATGAAATGTCCAGTTTGATAATTATGATGATTGAAGAGAAATTATTTGCAAAAAGTTACTGTAATTTCTTGATCCAAAAGTCGATCGAAAGAACCGGGACCACTTTGTCCTGGTTATTGGCATTATTTGCAGCATGACAGACCCAATATCATTAACTATAGATAGATAGGAGAAATTCAGGTGTCCAGAAGCAGTAGAAACACACCCATTTATACAACCTAAACAAAAAGATAATTATAAAAATAGCTAAGAATAGTATTAAAATGCACTTTAGGTTACAGCAGCAGAGAGATGGGTGTAGCCGCTTGGTTCGGACCATTTTTCTAGTTTTGAGGGCTTGACTTTAATGAAAAATCACCAACATTTTCACCTGTATCCTGGTTACTGTTCCACACCTTGTCCTGGTTCTGTTATAGTAGTAGTAGTCGCTTCAGTTTTAGTGGTTGACTAGTATGAGAATGAGCATTAAAACACCTCAGTACAAACCACCTGTTTCTTTCTCTTTGGTCACAGATCCTGGTCCTTCGTCACGCCCTGGACTCTGCTTCGTCGGAGCGAGAGGGGGAGATCTCTGCTCTTCAGTCCGACCTGTCGTCTGTGCGCTCAGAGCTGGACCAGTGGAGGGAGCAGGCCTCAAAGTACGAGCTGGAGATCAGCCGCCTGCAAGAGGCCTTCAGTCAGCAGCAGACCAGCAACCACAGCCAAATACAAGGTACAGACCAGACTCTCAGTTTCATGAGAAGTCCACACTATTATTAGGACCAAAAATGTATTATATTATATCAGTTGTTTAAATACTAGGGCTGTCAAACGATTAATTTTTTTTAGTTGATTAATCGCATAGTAATGGTGAGTTAACTCACGATTAATCGCATTTTTAACATTCTATTTCAAATCCACTTCAATTGGAGTTAAATGAGATTTTCAAATGTAATGACACATTGTCATTCATACCAAATGTACTTAAATCTGTTTGACTTGCTCACAACCTTCTACTTTTGGGTACAACCAACAAGAGCTGTTAATGAAAGGGAAAATGTAGGTACCCCAGCTTTAATTTTGCGAGTTTGGTTGCATTTCAGCGTGTCTCCTCCTCTCCTCCGTGTGTCACACAACATCAGAGAATGGCCCTGTGCGTATATATATGCGTGTATTATATGACCACGTTACCGCTGTCACCATCACGCATGTGTCCGCGGCATTCTGAGTGATATTATTATAAATGGGCGGGTCATTCGAACATGTGATTGACTGCCAGCCTATTTCAGAACAGGTACTCCCATATTGCCAACCGTTTCTGATGATTTTTACTGAATTTTCAAGACACACAGAATATTGTGTACTATGACTATCTAAAATCCAAAACTAGATTCTGAAAGAATGGACTGTCTACTTTCATCAGCAAAAATAATTTTGTTTCTAGCTTGTTTCGTTCCCCTGTAATCCCCAGTCGAGTATTTAGGGATTTAGGGATCGAGTTTTATTGAAATCACCAGAAAGTGCATCTAGCTGTTTTCAAACCATTCATAGAGCAATGCTGCCATCTGCTGGCTCGATAAAATGGGAACGTGAAAATAGCGGGAAACGCAATGGCAGTTAATGCGTTAATTATTTTTTAACGCGTTAATGAAAACGGTAATTAACGTGAATTAACGCAATAATTTTGACAGCCCTATTAAATACGTTTATAGACATTAGTGGACATTTATGTAACAGCTGCCAATGGACCAATGGCTTCTATGTGGTTGTTATTGCATTTCCTCTGTTTGAACGGTTTGATTCTCTGATCTGTACTGTTTGTAAAGTCCTTGAAAACAATTGCTGTTGTGATTTAGGGCCATATACACCTACCTTTTAAATAGAATTGAATGGAGACAGAGGCCAAACATGCATGAGAAAACTGGTGATAAAATGTTTCAGTTTTAGAGCCAGGAATTGGTGTCATAGACTGTATTGCATAGACCTATGTTGTTTTAGTTTGAAAGTCTTGAGTACCCCAGCTTTAATTACATAATCATTGACAAAAATAAGGGCCTTTTTGGCAATAAAATGTTTGAATTTCTCCTTATGCCCTTCACAAATGTTCAGATAAGGCACCAATTCAAGGCAAACAACTCCTACAAAGAGAAGACATGGACAGAAACACTTTTGTATCTTGATTATTAAGATAAGAGAGCGTTTATTCTTCCCACAGTGCGGACATTTCAGAGAGAAGGCCTCCCACCAGCGCTGCACATTCGTTTGATATTGTTGTTGATAATGTGACCATAAAAGATCCTTTGTGTGCTGCAGCTTTTCTACTTTTACCACAAATAATCAAATAAGAAAATAAACCAGCATCTAGAGCCAAGTACAGCACTATCAGGAGTACATTTGGTGGACTCAAAGGCTTAGGGTTAGAAGTATATTTTGTGAAAAGAACGAATGAAATCTTTGTAGTCGCCTCTGTAACCAGCTCCTCCTCCTCTCTGGTGTCTCTTCTCCCCCCCTTCAGAGGAGTGTGTGTCGTTGCAGCAGAAGTGTGTGAGTTTGCAGCAGGACTGTGACGCGCTAAGAACTGAACGCACCACTCTGACTGACCGACTGCGCCACCTGGAGGACGAGCTCAGCAGGTACAGCCAGTCCTCTCACCAACATTTTTTAAAATCTCTGTTATATTGTTTTCTACTTTGACAAAGCTATATTGAGAAGTTTGGGCTTTGAAATGCTTATGGAAATGTCAGGGATGGCACATGGTATGACTGTGGAAGGGACTATGAAGATTAGGGGTGTGACGATTTTTCGATATATCGCGATACTTTCTCCCGCGATTCGATTATCGATATGCAGTTGCCAAGTATCTATCGGTTACAAAAAAAAGATTTTTTTTTTTTTTTACAAAAATTGGTATCAATACTTATATATATATATATATGGCTACATTACGCGTCTCTGTTCCATTTATTATGAAATAAAGTGTATTATTGTATATCGATAATCGTCATATTGTGATATCGTTATCGTGATAATATTGTTATCGTGAGCTTTGTATCGTATCGTATCGTGAGGTACCCTTAGGTTCCAATCCCTAATGAAGATATGAAAATTTTCCCGTATGTGCATTTAAATGATCGTTCCTACATGTTGTTTACATAATGGGATTTTGTATTAAAGTCAATTTGGGTTAGATACAATACTCCATGATACTGTATATTCATGTCTCCATAGAAAGGGTAGATCTTTATACAAAAAATGGCATCACAACAATTGGTTGATTTGAATATTGTTACAAAAAGAAAACAAAAACACGTTGGACGTTACTGGAGAAATTCTAGAGTTGGATCTATCGCAGAACATAAAACATAAATTTTTTGTTGTACTATTTATATAAAAAAAATCCATATGACTTTTATTGTCCAGAAAAAAAGCAGCACTGGTATCCATATTGGAATTGAGTTGTTGCCTTAGTATTGAAATAGATTTGAACATGTTGTCCCACTGTTGATTTAAGCCAAGTCAGACAGAAGAGAATGACGCATGATTGACAGTTGTCTGAGCCAATCACAGACCTCAGCTGAAAACAGGACAGGCCTCTTCAGACAGTGACAGGACATCACTGGAGGTTTGTTCTGTTTCAGCTGAAGTCAAACCTCCAAACTCTTGAGTGTGAGGTTTGGGCCTGTTTTTAATATAAAAAAATCTCAAAACAGACCAGAAATGTGCTGCTTTAACGGCTACAGCAGTAAATCTACACAAAATTATAATTTCCTAGAGTTATAATTTGGCTAGTCCCATACCTTTTCTCTTCGTGTCCATTAAAAGGTTTTGCTAATTTACCCTTATAGCTATTGATTTAAGCACGGACACTAGATTGATGGATGGATTTTTCTTTGTCAGCTCGAAGCAGCAGAGCCAGGTCCTGAGCTGCAGTCTGGAGTCTCTGGAGAAGCGTGAGGAGGTTCTTCAGGACAAACTGGGCTCTTTAGAAAACCAGCACCTACAAGACGCCAGCCGCCTAAAGACCCAGCTGGACCAGGCCCAGGAGCGCACCAGCACGCTCCAGAGAGAGGTGACAGTCTCTCCACGCATCATACACACACACAGACAATCCTAATGTCAATACACACCACAGCCCACAGCAGAGAGGCCACTAAGGCATTTGGATGTCTGGATCAAAGATGCCTGGAACTATACACTGCAATAATGGGACCAAAATTCAACAGCATCTTCAATGAGGGATAATATATCATAGCTCATATTGATCATGTTTGATATTTGTGGCTGCTCTGTCCAACAAGATCATAATTTAGAGGAACTGAAGCAAAGTACAGAACGTCTCTCCACTGACCATAGTTTTTCCACGTCTTGCTCAAAAAATGTACACAAGATTGATGGGGTTTCACTGAACTGGACAGATTTAAATTACACTCCTGTGATTATACGGTATTACATTTATAATTATAACGTGAATTTAATTTGATAGAATATTTGTTCTAAAATACCACATTATAAATTACAACTAAAGACCATGATATTGGCATACTTCTGTCCTTCCCTTTTCTTGCTGAACCACCTCTTTTCCTGTCAATATTTGATTATAGCGTATGATTAATTTAATTTAGTGTTATGAACAGACACATTTATAAAGGGTAAGAAGCTCTGGATCCATCAGGGCGTCAGTAGCTCAGTTGGTAGAGCATTGGCCTTTGAGCCAGAGGGTACTGGGTTCGAGCCCGACTTTCACCAGTCGGGGCGGCTGCGGCTGTAAAGTGCCAAATTGCCGTTGTGTTCTTAGGCAAGACTACTACCCCCATTACCCAGAATGAGTCTGGTGTGTGTGTGAATGGTTAGTGGTGGTCGGTGGGGCAGATGGCACATACTGGTTGCCTCACTTCTGTCAGTGTGCCCCATGGCAGCTGTTGCTACAGTAGTAGTTTTATTTAGTGAATGAGTAATTACATGTAAAGCGTCTTTGAGTGTCCAAAAAATCGCAATAGAAAACCGATGCATTATTGATTGACTGCGGAACCTTCCGCAGTCAACCATTGGTTTTGTATTTCTTTATTCCGTCATTTTTTTTGACACGTTTCACAGCTTTCACATTTTCAACAATTTCCACAAGTTATACATCAAAACGTTCCACATGTTTGGGAGATTATTGCTATTACTTTTGGGACTTCAGCGATTTCCGGTTTTTCCGCAATCGGACAAAAATCTGCATTGAGAATTCTGCAATGCATTTTAATAGGCCCATGCATTTTAATAGGACTTCAGCTCTTTCAGACATTTCTACAGTTTCAATGATTCAACAGTTTCAAGGATTCAACAGTTTCAAGGATTTCAGCAGTTTCAAGATTTCAAGAGTTTCAAGGACTTCAACAGTTTCAAGGACTTCAGCAGTTTCAAGGACTTCAGCAGTTTCAAGGACTTCAGCAGTTTCAAGGACTTCAGTGTAATCATGCAACCTAATAGGGATTTTTCCATGTAAACCAGTATAATGCAACTTAATAGGGATTTTTCCATGTAAACCAGTATAATGCAACTTAATAGGGTTTTTTCATGTAAACCAGTATAATGCAACTTAATAGGGTTTTTTTTCATGTAAACCAGTATAATGCAACTTAATGGGGATTTTTCCATGTAAACCAGTATAATGCAACTTAATGGGGATTTTTCCATGTAAACCAGTATTATGCAACTTAATAGGGATTTTTCCATGTAAACCAGTATAATGCAACTTAATAGGGATTTTTCCATGTAAACCAGTATAATGCAACTTAATGGGGATTTTTCCATGTAAACCAGTATTATGCAACTTAATAGGGATTTTTCCATGTAAACCAGTATAATGCAACTTAATAGGGTTTTTTTCATGTAAACCAGTATAAAGGATAACAGTTTAAAGGATATCAGGAGCTTCAAATACTTCAGGAGTTTCAAAGATGTTTAAAGTATTTTAACAGTTTCAAGGATTTCAAGGATTTTTCAGCTAAATTCCACATTAGATCTGTTCCGCAGTCAATCGCAATGGCTTCAGCCATTGCAACGGTTTCTAGTTATTATTATCCTCAATGCTGTGTGTACTTTTGATCTGCTGGAAGGTACATCAGAATTTCACTGCATATAAAGTGTGACATTAACACACCTGAAACTGAAACAAAAATAAGCAACACTGAAGAATGAACATGGATGAACTTTACTACTCAACACACAATACTCAAAGATTCACTACGGACTCTATGTTAAAGACTTCTCCTCCCTGACTGGTTTAAGCCATATGTTGTTGTTGTTGTTAGTACGAGGACACGCGGTCGCAGCTGTCGGACCTGCGTCAGAGATACGACCGCACAGAGAAGGAGAAGGTGAACATCCATCAGGAGCTGGAGCAGTGCAGGAGCAGCCTGAAGCTTCTGCAGGACAAGACCGCCGCTGTGAGTGCAGACAAACCTCCTCTGCCATTCATGATACGTCTTTAGCAAAGGAATTGTTCTATTAGTTTTCCTTTATTTTGTATTTCAAGTTGTAGTTTTATCTGGGTTAAATCAATAATCAAATATTTGACCCGAAATCAGAAATTGTGATATTACTGTATTTGCCTGTTTCACCATGAGCTGAAGTTTGTCCATGTGGCTGTTGTCTGTCATTATTATAACTGGACACAATCTCAGGACACGACATGGACTTAACCTGGTCCTAAAGCAGCGGGAGTAAACTATACCAGGCACTGACTTGACAAAAACCACTCTATAAACGATTTCTCCACAACTACATCCTAGTTATTAGTTCAGTAAAATAGATATTCAGCATTCAACTTGACTTTTAAGGTGCAGCATTTTCGAATTTCTGGTGCACCAGACAGATTTAAAGCTGGTGTACCTAACTTAAAAAGCACATGCAGTTTTCACATGGATAGAAAACATTTTAGAAAGAGCCCTGTCCTTCACTATATTATACTTTGGGCAGAGAGCTGATTGGCTGAATTAAGATTTTCCGATCTTTTTCACTTTTCTGCAGATGTGGCACTCCCCAAACATACATACATGTTAAACCTATCCTTGTTGTTAGCATTCAATAAGCAAAAAATGCTAGTACCCAATCTTTGAGAAACTCCAAGGCTCAACAAGGGCTAAAATTCAACTCACCCCAATCCCAAATTTCTGTCGGAGTAAAAGAGTTGCTAATGTACCGAAAATTTTATAAATTTTGTAAATACTATGCAACTACTGTATACCGCAGCTACTGTATACCGCAGCTACTGTATACCGCTGTACTGTATACCGCTGTACTGTATGCGTACTCTTCCATCACTGGGTGTTAAAGATTCAACAAAAAGAGTAATAGTTGCCTTGAAAGCAAAAAAACAGGTAAATTAGTAAATTACTACTGTGACACAAACCAGTCCATGTCCCTGTCTCCAGTTGTAATAATGTAAAGTTTCCAAGGCTCCGACCGGCTGTGTCCCGCGCTGATGCTCCCATCTTTTTGTGCTGATTTGTTTTTTTTCCCCTTTTTGATTTTGCTCCTGATTTTTGCTCCTGATTTGTCCCTCTCTTTAGCCCTCTCTCCTACAGCCCGTCCCAGCCATCCTCATGGGCCTGGTGCTGGCTGTGCTGTACTGGTGTTTCGGACACTTGTGGTAGAAGGTATCAGCTGAATGGACATGTGTCTGTGTCAAACCAGAGAGGAGCTGGCCAGGAGTGAGATGGATTCTGGGTCAAATCATGCGTTAGCGGCGTTACCTGTTTTGGTTCTTCAATATCAGGGAATGTTTAATTTCTTTTGTGGTATAAATCGCCAGAAGTTCAGAGTTCAGACTACTTCAACCCTAATATAAATCCAAAATTAGCTAGTTTGTTTATGGTAAAAGGAAAAATACTATGCAAACAATATTTCCTCGATTTTATCCACGTTACAACATTGTTCAGACCTGGAGTTGTTTTTAGATCAATCCACGCTAATATCAGGTACTTTTGGCACAAACATGTAGCTCTGTCTCTGTCTAAAAGCTCCTGTATCACTATGACATCACACTCACAGCAGTTTTCTGTATTTTAAAACGAAAGTATTGTCCATAAATTGGTTTTGGCAGTTTCTCAAAAAAAGTGTGTGTTTGCAGCCAGAATATTTCAAATTCAAACAAACCAATTCAACTGCTCTCTGGTGGAAGCATCGGGTGTTGCAAACGGAAAGCATTTTTTTCTATCTTTAGCACTTGTTTTCTATATTTTGTAAATTTTGACCCAGAGTTGATCTCCCGTGAGTCGTGTCTCCTCTCGTGTGTCTCCATCTTCATCCATGTCTCGCCGCTGCGGCTGCTGCGGCTGCTGCGGCTGGCTCACTCTCTCGTCTGCTGCTTTTTAAATAACTTTTATTCAAACAGAGAAATTGATTTTTTATTTGTATATATTTGACCCTGAAAGAAAGTAAAAAAGTTAAAGAGTTATTCTTAATTAAAAATATAAAAGGCCTGATGTCATTAATATTCATGTTTACAATTTTCATGCAGATCATCCAATCACAGAGCAGAATAAGGCTCTCCTTTGGGTTGCCAGTTTGTGAGGTGAAATTTAGCTGGTTTTGGCTGTTTTTTTCCCCCCACAAAATTCACAATAAAAAAAGAAATGGCACCACAGATGTATAAATATAAGCAGATAAAAACTATTCATACATAATGCAGTTCAGTTTTAGCTCCACTCCAGCCGGTGGATTGCATCAGTAATCAGGACCACATGTGTCACAGGCAGTTTAGATTCTGGCAGCTAAAGTTGGATTGTAATTCTTTATGACTTCAGCACACACTGTCTCTGCCCTAAACGAGTGCGTTCAGATGTTTTTTAAAAAGCCAGACTAGCCATTCTCGACTTTTAAATTTTTTCATCATTTCTCCTCATTTCTTGCATGAGTTTCTGTTTGTCATTTTACAACTTCCAGGTTTGTCTTCATGTTTCTCCATTTTCAGTTTTTCGCATTTGTTGCTTGTTTTATCGCCGGTTTGAAGGAAAGTTGAGCTTGGGTTGTTCTTCTTTTGCTGTTAACGTTATATTTTACGTGAAGCCTCTTGAGTTGCCTCTGAAAATCGCACTGTTTTATTTTGCTTGCTTCATATCCGTCCCAGCTTTGAAACCATCCGCTGGCTTGGCTTTTTTTTTTTTTCAACTAAATTACAAATTATATCAACAACAAATCATTTAAGTTATTTGTTAAAGTTTTAGGGTTTTTGTTGGAGAAAAAGTGTATTTAAAGCTGAACTCAATGGGAACAAAGGGGCTTCATGTGTTTGCTGCAAAGATTGACCCTGTCCACAAGAAATGCAGAGAAAATATTGATTTTCAGGGAGTGACTTACATGAACTAGTGAACTAAAATAAATGCTTTTTAAAAATGTTATACAAAGACACTGCCCCTTTAATTCTTACTGTCAAACATCGGCATAAAGTTGTATTTTTAGATCCTTCAGAACTAAGACAAGATTCCAATAGAACCGGGTTAACACAAGTATGCGACATATTTTCACTTCTACTTAAAACATTTGAAGTGGAAGCTCCATTCACATAAACGCTGTCCGTGGAAAATGCTGGTAAATTTCTAGGACGCGGAAAAACTGAAGAAATGTTTTAAGTTGTATTTAATCAGTTAGATTTGTAATTGCAGTCCTCGCTCATTCCCCGTGTGCCTTAAAACTCAGAAACGACTGGACTTTTCCATTAACAGATAATAATTAAATGCCATCTCCATAAAGATACCACCACAAAGCTTTAGATCATGTAAACTATAATAATAAATGCATACAAATAAAATGAATGCATTTTAATTAAGAAACATACTAATAGTAATCTTATTGGCCTATTTTTGGCATTTGCACTGATCCTTGTACATCTATACCTGTTTCTTGAGCCCAATGGGGATAGTCAGATTTCTACAACATGCAACCAGATCATTTGCCGTTTGTGAAGAAAATGTATGAATTTATTTGAATTTTTTGTTATTAACGAAATGTAGGCACTAAAATTGTCAGTGTCAGCTTTATTGTTAAAGCACTTTTACACCAGCTGCTCAAATGTCTTCAGACACAAAAGATAAAATAACAGCAGGAAATAAACAGAAAAATAAGTAAAAAATAATGAATACACAAATATCTAAAATACAAAAAAATAATAATAATAATGAATACACAGAAAAATATGTAAAAAATAATGAATACACAAATATCTAAAATACAAAAAATAATAATAATAATGAATACACAGAAAAATATGTAAAAAATAATGAATACACTCAAATATCTAAAATACAAAAATAATAATAATGAATACACAGAAAAATATGTAAAAAATAATTAATACACTCAAATATGTAAAAATACAAAAAATAAAAATATAAATGAATACACAGAAAAATTTGTAGTAATGTATACACACAGAAAAATATAAAATAATAATAATTGCGCATTCTATTTCTCTAGCGTGTTCTTTCTGTCCTCCTCAAACCGCAGAGCTCTGTGGACATGGTCTCTCTCGTGGTGTTGCTTTTGCTCGTCTGTCTCCAAACCCACCGTCAAACCGCGATGATCTAACCCTCGTCTTGTCTCACAGAGCGGCTGGAGCCCCTGGATGCCGGTCGTCGCAGTGATGGTCGCCGTGACAGCCGCCATTCTCTACCCCAACCTCTCCAAGAGCAGCGCCACCTAGTGACCCGGAGGCGGAAACTGAAAAACATCAAATCGACAAACAAAAGATATTGGAAAAAACAGACACTCACACACGCACACGATGTGATAATGGGACGGCCGGGGCGCTGCGGAGAGCTGTACTTGTAAAAAGTCTAATTGTACATAATTGTAGAGGGATCTAAGTGGTTTGTATGCAGGAGCAGATTTTTCGCGTTTATTTTGGTTTTTATCCTCGGCTCTCTCGTCCTGGTGGGGGCTTCCTGGTTTCGTCTCACTGCTGAATTATTCAACCGGCGTCGCAATTTTTTTTAAAAATTTTTCTCCGTTTCAGAGCTGCCTAAAAAAAAACATCACCAAACATTTGACGAGAGAAATCGACGCTTTCCAATTCCAATCTTCCTGTATTTTACTCTTTTGGTATTTTTTTGTACTGCAACGTGACTGCCACATTTACCGAATTTGACAAAATCGATCAAAGCATAAAAAATCTGAAGCATTCCTGTCTTTTTATAGTAAGAAATACAATTTAAAAACACAAAAAATATTGGGAGGACGCAATTGGTCAATGGCACGTAAAGGTTGATCCATTTCCTAATAACATTGAAATTACAGATCTATATTTTTGTCCGTGGAAAGGCTTCTCGCTTTGGTAAAATTGGAAGCTCCTGGAAAGCGTCGATTTCTCCGGCAGCCGACGTAGACGCTCCGTTCTCATTTCTACTGCGTTTGTTTTCAATAGTTTTGTTTTCTGGGGCTGGGCTAAAACTTGAAGCCAAATGAATGAATAAATAATGTTTGCTTTTTTTTTCCTGCTTTATTTTTGTAATTAAATGTGCAGCACAGAGGAAGAGGTGGAAGTGCCTCATGTAACTAACACCATAAAGAAATCACGTTTTTCTACAAGAGATTATTTTACACCGACAGTTTCAGTCTCACAGAAGCAACACAATCAGACGCCGCGTTTCGATCAAGTTTAAATTCATTTCATAACTTCAGATTCCAAATATTTTCTCGACCACTAGCACTGATGTTTGTATTACGATTTTGCAAATTCATTCATTCATTCCATTTATCCATTTTATAGAAACAATTAGCTCAAGACAATGTACATATTGTATTGAGTTTTACATGGTCAAAAACCCATCCTATTTCACTAAACACAGTTGTCCGGGGGTCCAGTGTCCCCGGGGGGTCCAGTGTCCCCGGGGGGTCCAGTGTCCCCGGGGGGTCCAGTGTCCCCGGGGGGTCCAGTGTCCCCGGGGGTCCAGTCCCAATTAACCCTCAGTTCTTATCTCGTCAAAGCAACTTAAAAACTGGATCTATTGTCAGGAGTCGGAAATGTATCTAATTAAGTTGCGGAATTTTTTTAATCTACTTGACAAACTTCAATGTCCAAATTTAGAATTATGTTCAAAAGTTACTGTTGGTACAAGAAATGTTTACCTACTGTTTGGGTTTATGGGGTTTCTGAGATAACTGCAATAAAGGTAAATACATCTAAACTAAAAAAACAAAAAATGTAAAGAAGGTTCATATTTTGCAAAAACGCAAACTTAAAAGCAGCAAATGAAGTCGAGCTTGTAGCACTTATGATCTGTGAAAAGGCGAGACATTTCTCAAACATGAATGTGAAATGTCTGAATTGGCATTAAGAGTGAAAAGTTTCCTCCAGGTGCTCGGGTTCTCCTACCTCTATTGAACATTTACAATAGTCTTCCTCATTACACCCTCCCTGACTCCGCCCCCCACCTCTTTACTCTGGTTAAATTAAGGTACGTTTTAAATAGATACATTACTAACAGATTGACTTGGTATGATTTTAACCTTTTTGGTCTAAAGGCATCCAAGGCGCACTGTAAAAAGTCCTTAAATGCACTTATTTTTCCCATTTCGCGTCTTTCAAATCATAAATCACAACTTCTGAGTTCAAATCTCACTTGCACCAAACACAGCGTCTGGTTGAGCTGCGTCTCCATTTCCGTTTTGCTTCCGTCACTTACGACGTCGACGTTTTTCGTTCCGAGCGCGACACGTGAGGATCTCGTGTCCATTATTCACTCTTTGTCTGTGTAAAAAAAAATTAAAAAATCTCGTCTCGTCGTCTTCGTGTCCTGAAGAGTTTAAACTACGAACAAATATATGAGAAACACTACAGAGAATTGTAAAATAGGTGTAACGAGCGGAAACGTGTCTAGATTATTTTGTTTAGAGAGAGAGAGAGAGAGCTGTAGAATATTATAACGAGGAGGTGTTGAGAATATGCAGGTGTTTGGAATAAAAGTTGTAGCAAGCTGACCCACCAACACGACTCACGAGTTTTTATTACCCCAGAGTGAAACATGAAGTGAATGGATGAATGAATGCATGGCTATATACCTCAATGACACTGCAAAAAATGAAAAAATAATGGTCAAAACAAGATTCTCCAACGGGACAAAGCTTATTTCAAGAACTGTTGCTTTATTTTCTCATTCCAAGGGAGACATTTCTTGTGTATTTTAAAAACAAGATAATTTTGCTTTGTCCCTTTTGCAAATCTCAGTTTTAAAGCAGTTAGAATGTGCTCCAATTAAAATCCATTTTGTCAAATTTGAGCAATTTTTGACCTATTTTTCATGACTTTTTGCAGTGAATTTTTTTGTTCCACAGATTCCAGTGTCAAACTAGACTTTATTCTCATTGTTTTTCCCACTAGTTTTCAAACCAGTGGGTAATGTACTAAGCAGCAATATTCTGCACATACAAGATTGACATGTTAAATTACCTGAAATAAGGTTTTTTGTTGCTTTAGTGCTGCAGGTGATCCATAGGGCAAGTTTCAAGTCTTACAACTAGTTAGATGGATTCAAATAAGGTTCGAAAGTTAGGAACCTCAGCTTTAATGTAATGGCAAGGTTAAAGAATAGAGGTAAAGGCGAGTGAGTTATTCTGATTAAAAACCTCATTTTCAAACTACTTTAATTATCCCACTACAGATAATTCCATTGATCAGCAGAAGGCATAAAAACATATAGAAAAAATTAAAATGAATTGGATTTTTTGGTACATTTATTTATTGAAGCCATTTCTCTTGAGCGAGTTTCTTCTTTGTCCCATTGTGAGCGATGATCCGGGCGTGAGCAGAGATTTTCAGTCGAGTCCAGACCTGTCCACGCCGTCCTCTCGGCATCCTGCAGCGAGACGTGACTGCAGTCCCCAGGAATCAAGACTGCTCCAATAATAAGTGTTTTAGAAGTGGAAAAGAGGGGAAGATGAACGTGTCTGAGTCAGGGACCATTCAAAAACAACAAATAAACTATGACATGGATACTTCAAAATGATACTGAGGCAGAAAGACACAAGATGATGAAGATGTTAGTGGAGAAACCTGCAGCTAGTGTTGTTCCTGGTGCATCGAGACAAAAGAATATTCTTGTATAGCCTTAAATCACAGCAGTAGTTATCTCGGAGGACTTCACAAAACCACTGAATTCGCCAACACAGATTAGTGAACCAAACAGCCATTGGTCCATAAGTGTGGTTGATTGTCGAGTGTCCTGGATCTAATACAATACAAGTAGCTTAAGTGTGAAGAAAAAAAACATTGAAAAACGCCATGAACACATCACCCCTGTGCTCAAGTCCCCTCACTGAACTGGCAGCAAGCAGCTAAGATGGATACTTCAGTATGTAAGAAAATCCAAATAATCCATCTTGTTCCTTGTTTTCAAAACCTGGTCCTAACACTAGTTTTCACAGACATGTTTTTGTGGCCTCTATCACTTCTACAGATCAGCTTTTTCAGACAGAAAAGGGACGGAAAGAGGACCGACTCACCACCTGCAGGATGATCTGTGAGGGGCTGGTGCTGTGTGTACTGGGTGGCACCTCTGGCCACACCCCCCCCCCCCCCCACCCAGAAATGGATTAAGGGGAAGAAGATGGATGGATGGATGGATGTTTTACTCTCTACTTGTATATTACTGTGTTTAACTGTTTCTGTATTTCACTAAGACTGTTTTTTTTACTGCATTAAAACTACTGCAAAAATCCGGTATGAATAAAAATGACGGGAAAAGTAATCAACATCAAACTTTTATTACAGACTCATGGTCCAGGATAAGACAAACACATCATATAAAAACACTTATCAGTCACTGCAATAAGCCTCACTTCTCAGAGCAAACAGCTGTACCAGTGTCTCCACAGATCTGACTGGTACCGTGGCACTGATCAAAGACTGCATCCAACCTCCTTTTTTATTATTCTTTGTTTCATAATATTCACATTTTCTGAGAAATGGTAGCTTTGGGTTTGGTGAAGTAACATGGAATACCTTTTAATTATGTTCAGGTAATGTTTTATCCCAAGAGGGTCAGTAAAAAAGAGAAGGAATGATAAGGAACGGGGTATTTTGTATGAATCCCTTTTTGAAGCCGTCTGCTGAAAGCTTTAGTGAAAGTACTTGGATGTGTGAAAGTAACGGCCCAAAAGTGTTTCTGTTTTTATTTTCTGTCGGAGTTTTTTGTCAAAGAGATGTATTATTTATTATGTCTTTTGTTAAGTTTGTCACGTCTCCATGGAAACGCTTTGGCACCGGAAAACATGGGGCCAAGGGCGAGGTGCGTTCAGGGACCTGGGAAACGGCTCAGATCCCGAAGTCAAAAAAGTACAGATAAAATATACAAATAAACTCTGGTAAAAGTATTGAAACAAATCACTTAAGTAACAGTACCAAGGTCCAAGATTTTGTATAAACTTTAGTGAAGAGAAAATAATCTTTTAATACCAAAAAACAAATACTTAAAGGCAAGTTTATTTGTATAGCACAATTCATACACAAGGCAATTCAAAGTGCTGAACAAAACAAAGTATTAAAATCATAAATAATCACAGAACATTAAAAAGAAAGATAAAAATATAAAATCCCTCAGTTGTATGCACAGCTAAACAGAACTGTCTTTAACCTGGTTTTAAACATTGTCAGAGAGGAGGCCTGTCTCACATCTTCAGGAAGACTGTTCCAGATTTTAGCAGCATGAATCTGAAAAGCAGCCTCCCCATGTTTAGTTCTGACTCTGGACACTAACAGGAATCCAGTCCCTGTGCTCCTCAGAGTCCGGGCTGGTTCATATGGGACTAACATGTCACTAATATATTTTGGTGCGAGGCCATGGAGAGATTTGTAACAAGCAGAGCTGTTTTAAAGTCTATTCTCTGAGCCACAGGAAGCCAGTGCAGAGACCTGAGGACAGGACTAATGTGGTCGTACTTCCTGGTTCTAGTCAGGCCTAATGTGGTCGTACTTCCTGGTTCTAGTCAGGACTAATATGGTCGTACTTCCTGGTTCTAGTCAGGACTCGAGCTGCTGCATTTTGAATGTACTGCAGCTGTTTTACAGCCTGTTTGGACAGACCTGTGAGCAGGCCATTGCAGTAGTCTAACCTACTGGAGACAAATGCATGGATAAGAATCTCCAAGTCTGCTTTAGACACTATGTTTTTGATCCTGGCAATGTTTTTTAGATGGTAAAAAGCTGCAGCTAAGCTAATAATGATTACTTAAAAGTGCAGCAAACAACAACACATTCATTTACCTAGAAGCATGGCTAACCACTTCAAATGTCACCATCTACAATGAAACTGGTCATTTTAAAATGTAAGTCAAATGTGTAAGAACAGTAAAAATACTTCTACTTGTCACCTATGATCAAATGAATACAGAATCTAATATTGAAAGAACGAAGCAACGACTAAACTGTTAAAGCTGGGGTATCTAACTTTTTACATCAATCAATGTTGCAGCCAAAAGAAAAGGTCTTGTAAAAGTATTTTCTTTAAAAAAAAAAAATCAAATAACACTTCAATCAGCTGTAATCTTCTGGTTCTAAATGGTTTGGTTTAGATTTGTTTTTTTGCCGAGCCCTCTGAGTCCATATGTGACGCTTTGGGCTAAGATCTGATTGGCTGAGTGAAGGTTGTCCTCTCTTTTTCACTTTTCTGTCTGAAAAATGTGATCTAAAGTCGCCAAAAGTACAAGCATGTTTTGAGAGTCAGTTAGTATTGTTATTTTTATTTTTTTAATACATATCCCAATTCCCCAGCAGGGGGCGTCTCAGTCAATTCAGGTATCCCCCCTCCATTCACCTGACTGTTCCCAAACTTTCCCAGGCTCCGTGAAGGCGGCGGGCGGGACCGAGGGCTGAGTTTGTGGACTGTGTGGAGTTCAGTCTCCTTGAAAGCAGCAGCAGGAACACACCACGACACACACCAGCAACAACACAACTCTGCACACGGGAACGCACCGAGAAAATAATAATAATAATAATAATAAAATCCCGGAGAGAAAGTGATCGCCATGCCCTCCACGGAGAAGGACCTGGCCGAGGACGCGCCGTGGAAGAAGATCCAGCAGAATACTTTTACGCGCTGGATCAACGAGCACCTGAAATGCGTGAACAAGCGGGTGGCGGACCTGCAGCTCGACCTGGGGGATGGCTTGAGGCTGGTGGCCCTGCTGGAGGTGCTGAGCCAGAAGAAGATGTACCGCAAGTACCACGCACGGCCCACCTTCAGGCAGATGAAGCTGGAGAACGTGTCCGTGGCCCTGGAGTTCCTGGAGCGAGAGAACATCAAACTGGTGTCTATAGGTGCGTGGCCAGCGTGCGTGCGTGCGTGCGTGGGGGGGTTCAGTCATTCTCTGTGTGTGTCTGTGTGTCTCTCTGTGTCTCTGTTTGTGTGAGAGAGACTTTATGTGTGTGTGTGTGTGTCTTAGTATCTGTGTGTTTGTGAGACTCTGTGTGTGTGTGTCTCTCTGTGTGTGTGTGTGTGTGTGTGTGTCTCTGTGTGTTTGTCTCTGTGTTTGTGTATCTATCTGTGTGTATCTGTGTTTGTGTGTGTGTGTCCCTCTGTGTTTATGGTCTCTGCATGTCTGTGTGTGTGTGTGTCTCTGTCTGTGTGTATGTCTGTGTGTTTGTGTGTGTGTGTCTCTCTGTGTGTTTGTGTATCTCTGTTTCTGTGTCTCTGTGTGTGTGTGTGTGTGTCCATGTCTCTCTGTGTTTATGGTCTCTGCATGTCTGTGTGTGTGTGTCTGTGTGTTTGTCTCTGTGTTTGTCTATCTGTGGCTGTGTCTCTGTGTGTGTGTATGTCTGTGTGTTTGTGTGTGTGTGTGTGTGTAACAGTTAAAGCTGGGTTACCTAACTTTCAAACTACACACAGAACCGTCTAAGTAGTCCCACGCTCTCCTACTTCTCTTAATGTCATTAATATGAAAAATGCGATTAAACTAAATTATTATTGATCATTTATTGATATCAAACAACCATCATCCCTCAGCCAATCAGAAAAAGTATATGTGAAAGATGAATTATTTCTAATAGACTCTGTCAGAACAAGAACAGAGAGGACGTCTTCCACAAAAACTGACAAAATTAGGTACCCAAGCTTTAAGTAAAGAACACAGGAGAGTAATGGGTATGGAGCAAACCAGCACAGGACTTTGGTTTTTATTTTAAACTCTGGACTATGGTCAGATTCTATAATCTCACAGGATAAGGTCGTATTGGTCAGACTCAGACAGTGTTAAGTTAATTCTGTGCGATTGAACAAAGTACGTAATGTGATTATTTTCACATTTGACAAACCTCGCGATCATACTTTCAATTGAACCGATTTATTGTTTGCATCACACATGTTTTACTTTTAGTGCTGTCATTGCGTAATAACAAAACATGCGTCAGATATCACAATGACATTTGCGAAACTGGGGCGTGACCAGATCGCAAACTCTAATCCTTTGATATGATCCTGTGATCTTATGCAAACTCATGTGAAATTACTGCAATATACAGTATTCTAACGCAGGCCTTGAGGGTTTTGTTCTGCACATTTTCAAAGTATTCTCCCCCAACACTGAAGAATTTTTGTGTCCGCAATAGTCAAGTCCTGCCGGTGATTTTGCATTGATACATATAGGTCGCAACACGTTTGGTTTTGGACAATAACTGGAGTAAAAAAACATTAATGAATTTTTTTTTTATGAAGCCCTCAAGTCGAATAATACCCTCTGGCCTGAATATCGACCGAAACATGTAAAGGTAAAACTTAAAATCCTTCAATATTAGCGCTGAGAGATAGTAAAGAGACTATACCACATGATCAGAGCTTTTTTTGGGTTTGCTTTTCTACATTTTTGCGCAAATTGAAGCAAGAAACACATACTGTACGCCTGTAAATATTTGGGCTGTTTCCAGGATTGTCCTTGCTCCCCCGTGGTGTCGAGGCAAACCACTCAGCCACACAGATGATGAAGATGTAATTGCAAATATACTAATTTTAATGAATAATTTTAATTTCAATTTGTAATCTCTCTGCCTCAAGTCACAAACACAAACCGTACAACCATATCTGAAATACTATCAAGCTATATTTTTAACATTTAAGGAAATATATTCACATTTATGGCTATGAATCATCCCACTCCTGTGTTTTTTACCACTGCGTTTCCCGTCTTTGAACGGTTTGATTCTCTGATCTGTTGTTGGTGAATTGACAACTTTGTTAAAGAGCGACTAAACGCCAAATCAACTTTTTTAACTCATAAACTCCATAAATATGTTTATTGTAGTGCTCTCTACATATCCTGGTCATTTTTTTGACATTTTAGTTCAAATTAGATAAAATATCACTTTTGAGCCAAAAAACTTCTGTGTGGCGCCCTCTCAACCTTTTTGGTGGTACTACATTTTAATTTGGTTCTGGCCTCTCCATTGACTCTGAAGTTCTCTATGACATCATTTGTTTTGTGTGACGTCAGTCTGTCAGAGCCAGTGATATAAACCCATTCAACTCTCACACACGCCCAGCTGCAGTTTGGAGTATTCTGGCGCCATCTAGTGGATTAAAATTAAATTACATGAGTCATTCTGAGATTATTGAGTGTGATTAGGTTCAGGTGTGTAGCTTTACAATTATCTTAGTGTGTAAACAAGGGTGGAATGAGACTTTCTGGTCTGTAAACTATTGCTTTAAGCAGCAATGACAACTGTCTGTTTTTTTGTGTGACAAGTGAGCTGTCAATCACAGCCCAGACCACGCCCAACTCTAAGCCCCCCTTCTTGTCCCTTGGTCCTCCAGGCAACGCCCTTTTAAGAGAACATTTTCAAATCTTCATGTGGGCGGAGTCAGGCTGGGCACAGGTGTTTAGTCGCTCTTTAAGTCCGCAAAGACGACCGCTGTTGAGATTTCGGACTCAACAAAAATACATTGAATTGAATAAATGAATCCAACTGTTTTCATGTATATAGTACCAGATATAAGTATGTAGTACTCGCTGAACCGCTACTTTTTAATACTTTACGAGACAAAAAAAGTGACATACCTCAGCTTTAAAGTCCGTTGATGACAGAGCTGTGAGAATGAAGGGTTGATGGAGTGAGATAAATGAGGTATTGTCGTGTTTAGTGTCAATAATCACACATGGTTCTAACGTTGACAAAATACACCAGACTCCAACTGGAAATGCCAAACCATAATCCAGAATAATCCAGAATAATCCCCAATAGTCTTTGCTTCCTGGTTTTTCCTCTGATCCAGATCCACACACTTCCTGCTTTTGTTGTGCGTCTAAAATGTACTGCTTTGTTTGAAAAGTCCCAAACTGTGTGTTGCATTTGTGTTGATGACCGAGAAATCTATGGGATGAGAGTTTGTATGTAATGTGTGTAATGTGTGTCTGTGTGTGTAATGTGTGTCTGTAATGTGTGTCTGTGTGTGTAATGTGTGTCTGTGTGTGATGTGTCTGTGTGTGTAATGTGTGTCTGTAATGTGTGTCTGTGTGTGTAATGTGTGTCTGTGTGTGTGATGTGTGTCTGTGTGTGTAATGTGTGTCTGTGTGTGATGTGTCTGTGTGTCTGTGTGTGTAATGTGTGTCTGTGTGTGTAATGTGTGTGTCTGTGTGTAATATGTGTCTGTGTGTGTAAGCATGTGTGTCTGTGTAAGCATGTGTGTCTGTGTCTGTGTCTGTGTGTGTGATGTAATGTGTGTGTGTAATGTGTGTGTGTAATGTGTAATGTGTGTGTGTAATGTGTAATGTGTGTGTGTCTGTGTGTGTAATGTGTGTCTGTGTGTCTGTGTGTGTAACGTGTGTGTAATGTGTGTTTGTGTGTGTAACGTGTGTCTGTGTGTGTAACGTGTGTGTAATGTGTGTTTGTGTGTGTAACGTGTGTCTGTGTGTGTAACGTGTGTGTAATGTGTGTTTGTGTGTGTAACGTGTGTCTGTGTGTGTAGTGTGTGTGTAATGTGTGTCTGTAATGTGTGTCTGTAATGTGTGTCTGTGTGTGTAATATGTGTCTGTGTGTGTAATGTGTGTCTGTGTGTGTAGTGTGTGTGTAATGTGTGTGTCTGTAGTGTGTGTCTGTGTGTGTAATGTGTGTCTGTGTGTGTAATGTGTGTGTGATGTGTGTCTGTGTGTGTAATGTGTGTGTCTGTGTCTGTGTGTATGATGTGTGTGTGTAATGTATGTCTGTGTATGTAATGTGTGTCTGTGTGTGTAATGTGTGTGTCTGTAGTGTGTGTAATGTGTGTCTGTGTGTTTAATGTGTTTCTGTGTGTGTAATGTGTGTCTGTAATGTGTGTAATGTGTGTCTGTGTGTGTGTGTAATGTGTGTCTGTGTGTGTAATGTGTGTGTGTCTGTAGTGTGTGTCTGTAGTGTGTGTCTGTGTGTGTAATGTGTGTGTCTGTGTGTGTAATGTGTGTGTCTGTAGTGTGTGTCTGTGTGTGTAATGTGTGTAATGTGTGTCTGTGTGTGTAATGTGTGTGTCTGTGTGTGTGTGTGTGTGATGTAATGTGTGTGTGTAATGTGTAATGTGTGTGTGTAATGTGTGTCTGTTTGTCTGTGTGTGTAGTGTCTGTGTGTCTGTGTGTGTAACGTGTGTCTGTGTGTGTAACGTGTGTGTAACGTCTGTTTGTGTGTGTAACGTGTGTCTGTGTGTGTAACGTGTGTCTGTGTGTGTAATGTGTCTGTGTGTCTGTGTGTGTAATGTGTGTCTGTGTGTCTGTGTGTGTAACGTGTGTCTGTGTGTGTAACGTGTGTGTAATGTGTGTCTGTGTGTGTAACGTGTGTCTGTATGTAATGTGTGTCTGTGTGTGTAATGTGTGTGTCTGTCTGTGTAATGTGTGTGTCTGTGTGTGTAAGCATATGTCATGTGTGTATTTATCAATGTATATATGTAATTTCATTTTATTTCTTTATTTTGAGCAAGTAAGTGGGCATGGAACTAATTATGGCAACATTAATCACAAACAACTTAGATAAATATCACACACAAAAAAATATATATAATTAACAAAAATAGTAATAATAACTAACATTGGGCGGCACGGTGGCAAGAAGGTCCTGGGTTTGAATCCCGGTCGGAACAGGGTCTTTCTGAGTGGAGTTTGCATGCTCTCCCCGTGTCTGCGTAGGTTTCCTCCGGGTACTCCGGTTTCCCCTACCACTAAAAACATGCACAATAGGTCTGAATGTAAATGAGAGAATGAATGGAGGGTGTTTGGTCGGAGGCTTTGATGGACCAGTGTGTTCTGGACTCGCTTCTGTCATCACCGTGTGTGGAAGGATTAGAACAATATCTGACTCTGAACTTTATA